CGAATGTGGTACCTCCTTTCAAAGCTGTTTTAATAATATAACTAGCTGGGTGGCCCGCGCAATTGCGCGGCTAAGCACCTAAACACAATTATAAATTTTTTGGTATAATTTTGCTTAAAATTTATTAAATAGCTATCTTGTTGTCGTAAGACTTTAAAAGACCAAATCTTATCATCTCCGTATTTCCAACTATATATTAAAATTTATTAAATAGCTATCTTGTTGTCATAGGACTTTGAAAGACCAAATCTTATCATCTCCGTATTTCCAACTATATAGTTCTTAAAAGTCAGACCAGCTGCTACCTCTTACTTCTGTCATATCCTTCTTTATTTGCTTAGATCTACCACTATTTCTATTCATTCTCCTTGAAACCTTTAAAAATTGGATCTTATAGTTTCGTTTTTATAATTTCTAGAAGTCCCGTCAAACGCTGTCATTATGCTCTTCTACGGTCCGTCCACTGTCTTTTCTCTTTATTGTCATTGGAATTTTAAAAATCAAACATAATTACTGTTCGGGTTCATTTTTTTACTTTCTAGAAGTCCCACCAAACTGTCAGGGGCTTTGCTATTGTACTCCTCTATGGCTCGTCCGCTGCCTCCCTTCTTTATTGTCATTGAGATTTTAAAATCGACCATGATTATCATTGTTTTTTTACTTTTTAGAAGTTACGAACCTTAAAAATTGGTAGTTTTTAGAGCTTATTGTCTTATTGGGTTTCATTTTTTATAGTTTTTAAAAGTCCCATCAAACGATGCCACTATACTCCTCGAAGGCCCATCTGCCGCCTACTCTTTATTGCCATTGGGATTCTAAAAATCGAACAAAACTATCGTTAGAATTTACTTTTTATTTTCTAGAAGTCCCACCAACCATTGGCAGCTCTGTAACTATACTCATATACACCCCGCCCGCTGCTTCTCCTTTTTATTGTCATTGAAAATTTAAAAATCGAATATGGTATCAATCGGGTTTATTTTTTTACTTTCTAGAAGTCCCGGCAACCGCCTTGCCTATTTGCTTCACGGCCTGCCTATCGTCCCTCCTTTTAATCATCATTAGGATTCGATTTGGTGTTTTATTAACAGTTTTTATATGTCGTATTAACTGCCACCACTCTACTCCTTTGTAGGCCTGCTACTTAATTTATCTCGTCAAATGTTTTAGATGGTCTTATACATGCATAGATCATACTGGCGAAGATATTGTACCTTAAATTTTATTTGCCATGTCTTATAAAATACGAATATGTTTAGGCCAGGGTGACCGACGGGGGTGGAGCAGGATCGAGCGCTCCCCCCCTCCCCGTGCGCACGTTCCCTGGCCCCACCACGTGTCTCAAAAAAATATTTCACCTGGTGTACTCATAATGTTTTACTATCTATAGATTTAATGTTGCAGTGAATTAAAATATTATTTTGTAACAAATCACCCACATATTTTGGAAACCCTCTATTAAGAAAAGTCGTTTCATTTATTTGTTCCACTAAAAATGTTTCACCTAGTGTACTCACAATGTTTCACTACGTATAGATCTAATGTTGCAGTAAACAAAACTTCTTTTGCAACAAATCACCCACATATTTTGAAAATTCTCTATTAAGGGAATTTGTTTTTTTGTTCCACAAAAAATGTTCCACCAAGTGTACTCACAATGTTTCACTATGTATAGATCTAATGTTACAGTGAACTGAAACATTCTTCCGCTATTTGCTAAAATATTGTTTTTATATAAGGTGAAATAACGCCGGATTTGATAATAAGCTAAAAAAATTTCGTCGGAATATATCCATGTGTGGTCTTGTTTTGAATATTTAATTGCAACGAATTTAATGGTGTAATCGGATCATGATTTGGATAAATAATTTAAGAGAAAAAAGAGTTTAAAGTGGTTTTGCACGCATGCATGGCTCTGACGTTATGCTGACGTTAGCGTCCGATTTTTTCACGCTTGGATGGGGCGCCCGATCGGTAGTCTCATCCTATAAAATAATGTATATCTATGTTGATTTCTTCGTAGCATACTTGCTTTGCTTCTAGATCGATTGTGGGCTATCTCCGCCCAATGTCTCTGCTATCTTGGCATGTGCATACGGCATGACATGCATGCAGTGTTCTCCCTCTTTACTATCAATGGCCATATATATATGGCACGTATATTTTCCAGCCACATATGAAACGTGGATCACTATAGTTCAATTTGCACTCTAATTACCATCTAAACATAGATTAATGTAATTTGTCTGATTACTGTCCATAAGACCATAGCATCCATACTCAGACAACCTGTCCGACTCCTAATCAATCAACATGTCCGACTTCTATTCATTCAACATGTCCGACTCCCATATTTCCTATTAGATCAAAGTTGCTTTCTATTTAGACTCAATATTGTCATGAATAATCTACACCACTAAAATCTAGTACAACTACGATTTAACGGTGTAAATATTTATCCTTTTATCCGATTAATGTGGGAATTTCTAACCCCCACAGCGAACGTGGTGCCTTCTTTCAAGGCTGTTTTAATAATATAATAGATAATAGATTTGGAACTTTCAGCCAGTAGACCATCCAACCAGTAACCATCATAAACCCAAAATTTTTGGTCCGAAATTGTGAATCCTTGTTATACTTAGAGATGCAGGATCACAATTCACATCAAGGTGATATAATAGCACCTGGCGAGAGGCTGGTGATGAATCAGAGGCCTCTGATCATCTGCTGCATCCATTATGGCCTCACTGCTAAAGCCTACAATCTTAATATTTTGGTACGTAAACCAACAATGCTAAGTAACTCGTGACGAAGGAATTACACACATCCCGATGTACTTGTCAAGCATCTCCTATAATCATCGTTCTCAAAGCTCTAAATGGTACTAAGAAAGCACCTTTGTTGTACATGTTATGGAGGGCGTGGTATGTCCGAAATGACCAGATTCATAGCAAAAGGCATGGCAAAAAACCTGGGTCTGTAGCCTTTCTTGTCGATTATGAAAACACATTGTTGCCGATCCGACAACTAATGATGACAAAGGGAAATGAAAGATGTATGTTGAACAAACTGAGAATGTAGGGCATGGTATCTCTGAAATGATCAGATTCATATCAAAGGCATGACCAAAATCAGCTTGTGCAGAATGAGAAATGGCAATGCCACCAGAAGGACATGCGAAGGTTAACATGGATGTCACTTTCAAGAAAGAAACTAGTGAATCAAGTGGTGGAATTAATTATCGTGAGAGATAGCAGGGGTCTGGTGTTGCTGGCAACTAGCCCTTGCAATTATGCAGCTCTGTGGTGCTGGCTGAGGCACTAGCCTGCTTAGAGTGACTCCGGGTGGCAATGGAATGGATTCATACGCCGCAGCTTCTCCACGCCCCCTTTGTCGGTTCAGGCATGCAGCTCATGTTGCGCCAGCCATGAAAATGATGGTCTTGTTCTTAGCGTCTGATGAGCTCGCAGACGCCGTATTCGTGAATCGTGATGGAGTAGGCAGCCATGGAGGTGAGGCAGGGCAAAGCTAGGGCACACAACGAGAGACGGGGGCGATGTCATTGGAAGTGTTGGCACGTGCTTTGCTCAACCAAGAGCGTGGGGGCAGCAGCCAACCTTTGGCCTCGTACATTACATCAACTAGATGATGCCCCGCGCTTTGCTGCGGGATATATGTTAGATAATGGAGAAATAATGAAATGATTTGGATTGAAATATTATGAAAATGATTTGAGAATGATGATCTAGCATGTGTATGTTTAGTTTTAGAATGAAGTAATTTGTTGGGCTTTGTGTGCTTAATGGGTTGATGCAGCATGCTTGAATTTAGGTTTTATAAGTGCTAATAAATACAATGCTTCCATGTTGAGCTTTAGGTGTTTATAATTAGTAGGCATTAGCTTCATAGAAAGAAGAGGTTAGAAATTTACATGGATGCCACAAATCTATTTTCCAGATATACCCTTGTACTACACCTACTACACCAACTTTCAGCTCTAGTAGAAATAATCTAATGGATGGCTCATCCAAGGGTACTTTACAAAATCCAATAATTTAGTTTCCTCAACAGCAGTAGTCCTCTGGTCATCCATCTACAGAACATCATCTAACTATATCATATAACCAAGATTAATTATCCACTCCTACCAAAAAGCGAGAGATTAACTTATTCACTGACAAGCAGGCCGAGGCATTAGATAGGAGCAGGTCGTTGTCTCCATTTCCCCATCTGTGTTAAAAGCAATTGAAATCCCCTACTAATCCCCATCACGACCATCTCCACCAAATCTGCCCCAAATCCAAATGGAAGAATTAGAATTCGTCACCTCTCCAGCCACTTCGCTTACTTTGAACAGTAGCAGCAGCAGCGAAGAGAAAAATAAAAAATCAACCGCAAGCGAGCACGGTGCAGGGACCAAGCAGATTGCAGGATAGCCCTCTGGGGAAGGTGATCCAGGAGGATTTGATGCACTGCTAGAAAAAAAAAAATTTTACAAGCGGACCAAAACGATTTTTTCAGGCAGCCATCCACTCCGCCTGCACTTCAAGGCTTGCGAAAATACACGATTTTTGCAGGCAGACATTTGCTTTGAAATTAAATTATTGTATGTAAGCCTTATTTGCTTGAAAATCTGCAGCTTGTATCCCAATGATAAGAGGTAGAAAATTGGACAAAGTTTGTTTTTTGTGAGAGAGATGTAGGATCGAATAGCAAGAACTAAGCCAACCAGAGAGGGTAAATGGTTGGTGTACCCAAAAACCAAAACTTTTAGCGGAATTAAAAGTTACCCACAAATCGATGAATCGCAGTCTGACCGAAGTAGATGCGCCGGTCTAACCGCCTGGAAACTGTCGGTCTAACCGCCGTAGTCGCTTTGGTCTAACCGCCGTTACCCCGTCGGTCTGACCGGTGGTGTCTCACCGGTTGGACCGCCGAACCCGAGCAAACACAAATTGAAGATCTCTCAAAGTAGATGACGACTTTATTACTTCTCTCTGTGTTTACAAAGTGCAACAACAGCACTCCTCACGAAAATCTTGATCAAACTCGAAACCCTAACTATTCTCATAACTCAATACTCTCTAAAGCAATACCGGGAGGCCACGCCCTTCCTTTCTATTTATACATGAGGTAGGCAGCCTAAAGCCACGAACCAAACTCATACAAGAAGTCCTAATCCACCTAGGAAACCTTCCCGTACAAGAAACCAACTTTACAAACTCCAATTGTACCAAATTTAGACTCCTTCCAAATTTGACTCCGCAACGCACACAATATCTCCATCGTATGTCATATGGAATCTTCACCAACCATGTGCATTGATCTTTAGCCTAAGTATTCCGCATGATATTTGACCATCCGGACGTCACCTTATCTCCAAGTTGACTCCCGATCCATCACCGGCAATACTCTCCTGAGGCATCAAGTCACCTACACATGAATCAAACAAAGAAACCATATTCTGAGACCAAGCTATCTCTAACTTGACTCATTGTTAGCAAACAACAGTATTACATACTCATAGTATCCATATAGAAGCTATAAACATGAACTATCCACGGATATCCAAAGAAACAGCCCGAAACCAAAACCGAAACTGATACAGAGTCCGCCGGACAAACCGTGGGCAGGCCGGTCCGACCATTCACATACCTCCGGTCTGACCGGCAGCACTTGCCCAGTCTGACCGGACCTGACAATCAGCAGCACCTATTCATCACCTGAAAATCCAATCATCTTCAAAACCACTTCACCAATAATCTCTAAATATGAAAACCAATAATCTCATATGCCAATTGTTCATCACACAAAGAAAGTTGAAATTATTTTGGGTTTCCAGTCATCTCCGTTTCCCATCTGTGATTAAATTTTGGTAAAATATGGCCGTGTTGCTTTTCAGAAATGCAAAATGAAATATATTACCTTCGTCTCAGAATAAGTTAATCTAGTACGGAATATGATATATCCTATCCAGATTCACAGTAGTGCGATATAACTACTAGGATATGTCACTTCCCGTACTAGCTTAACTTATTTTGGAATGGAGGTAGTAGGTTAAAGTGCCTCCATTGGCCTAGATTTCCATACAAAATCTGCATTTTCTTGCATCCCCAGTAAGTTGGCAAGAGATCAAAAAAGAGTGACAACAATTTAATTTTAGAAAATGATGACGAAAAAGAGTATAAATGTCAAGATGGCAGTGTGTTATTATTGGCCTCTATCTCTGATTGAGCAATGCAAGAACTGCAGCAGGTTGAGGACACTGACAAGAGCCATCATCCAGAAGAAGTAGTCAAGGTGCCCCTCATCGAGGTTGTCCGGGATCCACCCAGCGCCGCCGCCACGCGTCGTGGCCGCCACCACCACGCCGAGCACGCCGGAGTTGAGGTAGTTAGCCGTCGCGACGGCCAGGTGCGCGAGCGACGTGCCGAGGCTCTTCATGGACCCCGGCGACCTCTCGTAGAAGAACTCCAGCATGCCGATGCTGGTGAACACCTCCGCCATGCCCAGCACCAGGTAGCACGGCGCCTGCCACATTATGCTCATCGCCTCCTCCTCCGCCGCCGGTCGCCGTCGCCGCCTCTCCACCTGCGCCGAGTACGCCATGGCCACCGCGGACAGCGCGAGGCCGACGCCGATGCGCTGCAGGTGCGAGAGGCCCCGGTCGTTGCCGGTGGCGCGCCGTGCCAGTGGCACCAGCACGGCGTCGTAGACGGGGACCCAGATGAGGACGGCGACGACGTTGAAGGTGGCGAGCGAGGCCGGCGGCACGGTGAAGGGGCCGACGCGGCCGTCCATGGCCGCGCTCTGCTCGATCAGCGTCGACGACATCTGTGCGGTCACCACGAAGAAGACGAGCAGCGAAGCCCACACCGGGAACACCCGGAGCAGCATCTTGAGCTCCTCCACCTGCGACACCGTGCACAGCCTCCATGGGTCCGGTTGCACCGGCGAGTTGTCGTCGGAGTCGGACGGGATGGCAGCTTTGTCCAAGAACCTGGACACCATGCGGAGAGGGAGGGCAGGGGATTATGTTTTCTTTGAGATTAGATTTTCGAGAATTTGAAAATAGTGGGCCCATTGTTTGGTTCATAATTCTTAGACATTTTAGATAAGGTTGAGATTAAATTTTTATATCTTTGACATTCAATAACTTTAAATTATTTGTCTTACAAAGTACTATAATAAAAGGAAAATATATTTATTTATTGTATGTATTATAAGAGAAAAACATAGTTACATATATATTTTGTAAATCGTGTTAATATCAAAAATATCAAGAAGTATTATGGAACAGGCCAAGGGAGTAATAACTTTTAAGATAGCAAATAACCTTTACAAAAATTAGAATTGGAAAATCATTAATTAACATCTGTTAATTAAGTGGTATATTATCAAAGTAATCTATAGAGTGGCAAATAGTTAGAACATGCCTGGCAGGGGTTTAAGCTCATCTGGATCCTTATCCGGTAGAGCTGAAGCCCATATTCCTTTTCTTTAAGAGCAGAGCAGGTGAATCTAATTTATAAAACATTTTAAAATGATGGAGTTAACTTTTCCTAGGTCCACAACTCTAGATCCATTTCAGATTTTGGAGCTCTTCGAACATGCTGTTAATTACCCCATATGTCGCATGGCAAATCGCCTCAAGAAAGAACAAGGAATTATTCTCTGAGAGTAAATTAGAAACCGATGTATCCTTAAGTTTTTGGTTGCATTGGTGTTTTTAGGTGTTAAGTGTAGCTTTGAGGAATGATCTTGAGAAGTTTGTAGGATGGTGTTTTCCGTGTGATCCCTTTCTTGGTAACTCTTATCAATGAAATGAGACAAAGTTCTGCTTTTGTTTTCAAAAATAAACTGTTGATATCTCTTGAAGCAATCGACGAAGGTGAATTCCACATATAGGAAATTTTAGTCCACAAAACGCGACAGATTTTTCTTGGTAGGCGTGGTATAATTATAAGCTCAATGATCGTTCAATAAATTGTTATTAGAAGATTCCTGCTTAGTTTAAGGTTCAACACATACTCTAAACATAGTTGCACAAAATGCCACTCATATCATAAGAGTGATGGTGAAAAATATATAAGCTTATCACTAGGTTGTGGACCTTGAGGTTAATGTCTGCAGCAGTAACTAGACATATATTTTGATGATATGATGAGCAATAGTACCTGAATCGAGTGGTATGTTGAATCCTATAGCCACCTTCGGTCAGTGAAGGCAGCTCATGCAGGAGTGAGCTATCATCAGGCAACTTGAGCCTGTGATTCCTCGCAGCTGCAACCACAACCTGGGACACCCTTGTCAATGGACTCCTTCCCAGCTTCCTGTACCTGTACACCCTCCTACCGGCGACGAACATGGAGAGGCCAAAACCCATGAGCAGCATCGGAGTCGCGAAACCGATGCCCCACCCTATGTTGTCCTGCACCCAGACAAGCACGGTAGTGGACAGCAGCGTGCCCATGTTGTTTGAGAAGTAGTAATAGTTGAAGAATGAGCCCTTTGTCACCCGTTCTACCGGGTCGGCACCGTCGAATTGGTCAGCCCCGAGGGCCGACATGCAGGGCTTGATACCTCCAGCTCCAAGTGCAATGAGGTAGAGCCCTAGGTAGGCGACAACACGACGAATGTCGTCGCCATTGTTGTAGGAATCATGAAGGAGAAATGGAAGCGACGCTGAAGTCGTCAGAATGAGCATTCCCTGACAAAAATAGGAAATGTTCATGGAGCAATTTTACTTGATAGATTAGATTATTCAGTTAATAGCCTCTGATTGTTGCACTTACTATGCTGTAAACAGAGAGGCATATTACAATTGTCCTGTATCTTCCCCAAAATGTGTCCGCCAAGAAGGCTCCAATGAGTGGTGTGAAGAAGCAAGTTCCAATCCAAGTCGACACACTTCGGGCAGCATTGACATTGCTTTCCTGGAGCACACTCGTCAGATACCTGACTAAGTTCTTCACGACCGCAGAGAAGCACAGGCATTGAGTGAATTCAGCACCTAGTTCATATATGTTCAGACCCAATATATATTGGTTAAAAGTTGTGCAGGTTTAACAAAGAAAGTGTTAAATTTGTTTGGAATATTTCTGAACTTCTCTGAAATACCTAAAATGAAGAAGCATGCTCTCCAATTCCCTGTGCTATGCTTCAGTGCGGGCCTTCTGTCGATATCAACCGTTCCATCGCAGGTGTATTGCGAACATTGTTCCTGAATGACAATGCCAGTGCTAATTTTTATTACACAGAATCGGCGTTAAATGTATGTGCAAATTTGCTGCGAGAACTCATGTATTTCTTGTTTCTTTCTGATAAACTGAAGCCAAATTAATTATCGACTTTACATGTCATGTGTCACATGGAGATGCAATATATTTGGTACCAACTTAAGGTAATAGAATAGTACCTGTGGAGGCAGGTGATGAATTAGTGGCCTCTCCTCATCTGCTCCCTCCATGTGATAAACTTTTTGCTCCCTCAGATTCCCTACTTTGTAGACAAGGAAAGCATATATCTATAGTTACACATGCATTGAACTGTAGTAAAAAGTAATGAGCATCCATGAGTATATTTTTGTCAACTATCACAGTCTTTTTCTTGGATATTTAGATTTAGAGCTACCCCTGTTTCTTGTCATATTCAATCATAAAAGCCATTGTCTAAAAAAAATCAATCATGAAAATAAATAAACGAAAAACACAGAACTAAGAAGTGAAGTGTAAAACAGAAATAACCTTGAACAATTGTACTCTGTTTCATGAACTTTTTTCATTATAAGGTAAGACAGAGTTCAGGGAATAATCGCCAGTACATCGGCAAACAAAGTAACAGAAAGCACTGAACCATCCTTTGCAGAACGAAGGTTAACTGAATTAAGGAAACAGACCTCTCATTTTGTCAAGTGGAAAAAGACCTCTCACTACTAAAAAAGAACAAGTAGATTCATTCAATGCCTATATACTTTTTTTGTGCATGAAAAAAAGCTCATATGTAGAATTGATTCAGGAAAAAGAAGTGCGGTTTACCTGTAACATGCAACTCCCTAAAATGTTCTCAAACAATAGAATCCTACAATATGCTGCACAAGAAGTAGACTTTGCAAGCAGCCATGGATGATGGATCCTAGAAGCACTAGCAGAGAGAGAGAGAGAGAGCTGAGGAGAGTGAGGCAGTGAGCAATGGAGATGAGGGAAGAAGAGGCAGTCGGAGGTGGGAGGGGAGATGGTGAACTGTGGAGACTGGAGATTAGCGGAATATCAGTAGGTGAAACGACAGAACAACAAAAAGATCTATTTGTAGGAAACAGGATCACAGGAATCAGTCACATTGCAGGTATTCTCTTTATTTAATAACTAGTATGGTGGTCCGCGCAGATTGTGCGGCTAGCATCATTATATTTTCTCTCATATAATAGCATATATATTTTCTCAATGTATTATTCAAATATGTTAAAATGGCAACATAATTTTAAATTTTGTACTATCTTTACGAAACTACTAATGTGTAATATTCATATTGTATTTCATATATGTGTTAGTTATTAATTATTTTTAATATTAAATTTTAGTTATTTGTAGATTATATATATTCCTATATGGACTCCAGACTCGTCTTTTAATATTTTTTTTAATTCTGAATTTTCTGTAAATTGTATTTCTATATATACTTAGGCTCTTCTTCTAATATTATTATTTTTATTTCTGAATTTTTATTATTTCTAATTGTATTTCTATGTGGACTCTAAACTCATCTTTCAATATTCTTTAATTTTTAATTTCGAATTTCATTTACTTCTAAATTGTATTCCTGTATTGACTTTGCACTCTTCTTCCCATGTTTTTTTAATTTAGAAGTTTGGTTATTTGTAAATTGTATTTTTTTATGGACTCTAAACTCTAATTTTAATTTTATTATGTTTATTCCAAAATTTAGTTAGTTTTAAATTCCTATATAGACTCTATACTCTAATTTTAATATTCATTATTTTTAATTCTGAATTTCTATTATTTCTTAATTGTATTTCTATGTGGACTCTATACTCTACTTCTAATATTCGTTATTTTTAATTCCGAATTTCTATTATTCCCTAATTGTATTTCTATATGTACTCTATACTCCTCTTCTAATATTCTTTATTTTTTAATTCCGAATTTTAGTTATTTCTAAATTATATTTCTATATGGAATCTATACTCTACTTCTAATATTACTTATTTTTAATTTCAAATTTCTATTATTTTTTAATTGTACTTCTGTATGGACTCTGTACTCTACTTCTAATATTCCTTATTTTCAATTCTGAATTTCTATTATTTCTTAATTATATTTCTATATGGACTCTATACTCTTCTTCTAATATTCCTTATTTTTTAATTCCGAATTTTAGCTATTTTTAAATTGTATTTCTATATGGACTCTGTTTTTCTTTTTCCCTGATTAATATGAGAATTTCTAGGCCGTGAGAGCGAACGTGGAGACTTCTTTTTTTATTCCTTTAATAAGATAATAGATAATGGAAAGGCTAGATTCCTAGTGTATGTTGGCATGTGGGAATTTTTTTTTCTTGAAAACACACTTTTTGCATAGTGTTTTGCGTGAATATACCGATTTTAAGAACTTCTGAAAAAATATATTGGTGTCACCTCATATATAGCACGACACAGGTGTCACACTAATAGATTTCACGCTAACTATAGGATGATGGTGCCATAAGAGAGATTTCGTGCTAGTTTGGTTTGGTGGAGCGGTGGACGCAATTTTAAAAATGTCGCGCACTATTCAACCACTAAATTTTAAAACATTGAGCTAGGATTTAAAAATAAATAAAAACAATGACTGTGAGTAGTTCGAATATCACGATGGTGTAATCCAATACCACATAAATTCTAATAATCCAGTGCATCATATGAGTTCCTTTCAGTACGGAAATGAAGAAATACATGCACAAGGAAAAATATTACATTCGATGAATATTGCGTTCGGCTTTTTTCTCTATCACTTGTCGTATGTCCACATACACTTTTTTGAGCGCATATATATTTTTATAACTTAACAGAAAACAAAACTTCACTCATAGCTTTGAAATAGTAGGATGTATATGAGGCTATGATGCCCTTGCCATTATTAAATGAGGGGTACATGAGATGAGAGGCTGAGAGAATAGTTGCAAATAAAATAGGAAGAAATTTTTATGATGGGTGGTTGGAGGAAAAAGTAGTAGAGTAGAATACTTGATATTTAGGACAAAATTTGAATCCTTATATCCCCTTTTATCTGTGGAAACAGAGGGAGTAGGTTGGCGTGAATTACCATTGGAACTCCTGTTTTCCAGTTCACTAGTAACTTGGGTATTGGTAACCCACAATAGATCTATGTATCTATCTATACCTATACTAATTGGGCACTTTCTAGGAGTTCTCACGTTAATTAGAAATATCTAGCCATTAATTAATTTGTTGAATTATCATGACCGTAGATGAAAATAAAATCCACGTGTGATGTGGGCCACTTTTAAAGTCTATCTATTGACCCAACAGATCATAGCTTGAGAGATAAATGCATCTACTTAAAAGGAGATCACCGATCCTATCTCCTTAATGAGATATACGAATTCGGCTGAAAAAAAAAAGATATATATGGAGCAGCTCAATAAGAGATCTAACTCGCGGCACGACAGATTTCGCTAGCGACGGGGGACGCCCTCCAGGAGTCCAGGTTGCCCTTCGTTCTGATCATCGGCAACTATTTCGACTTTGTTGGCGTTGACGATCGAGAGACATGCATGCACGTCAGAGGTCAGGACACACTGCACTATCATCTGATGTTTGCATGCATGCGCACAAGTTCTGGGTCTCAGTGGGGAAGGCAAAAGGAGATCCATTTAGTGATGGCTGCTACCTGATCAATTAATCATGGGCACAATGCTTCATCTCGGATTAAGATTTTCTACAGGATTCGGGATGATGAATATTTCTTATTAGTTTTTCCGATAAAAGGAAATTAATTTGGAAGCAAACACACACACACACACACACATATATATATATATATATATATATATATATATATATATATATATTGATCTACTATGTTTCAGGTATTGCGATGTTGATCCTCTAACCGAAAGTTCACTCTTTCCTGCATGCACAGAAGATTTATACACCGTCATCGCTTCAAGGAATCCAAGTAGGTAACTTACATATTGTATGCAACCTATTTGAAGTATTCTTGATTTCTAATTTTCATAGAATAATTAATGATCATGTTACAATAAGTGTTAGGTAATCAGGTCCCTGAATATATAATTATGTTTATCAATAAGTGTTTAGGTAATTAGGTTGATCGATAGCAAAACTCCCATAGTTCACAAAAAAATTTGATCTATTCTATAATAATTTTAAAACAGAGAACTCACGTTAATCTCTATTTTTTCAGTGGCAACTAATAATTACTTTTCCATGTATGTCTTATCATGTTTCAAAAACTGTATGAAGCCTTATTGTTGACGTTCATGCAGTTAAATGTCGTGACTAATTCCAATTTTTAGAACTATATCATGAAAACTGTACTCATGACCTATTAATAACGAATTTCAAAAATATTAAATCAGAAAAAAGTTATAATTCAGACTGTCAAATTGGAACTATTAATTATACCAGGACCGAATCTACAAGTGAGACTCCAACATTTTTTTTCTTAACGGAACATCACAATAGTTACTTATCAATTCCAAATCAATAAATGAAATTTAAAAAAAACTAAATTGAGATTCCATCATTAGAAGAAAATGAGTAGTGAATGATTCCGATTTTTATAATTATTAAAATAGTGGAAATGCTATTAGTGATATCCCGAATGTATACATCTTGATCAACATCTATTAGTTATAAATCACAGAATTATTAAATCTTGAAAAAGGCTATACTGAGACTTTCAGACCAAATAAAACTCAATATTTTAAATATAAAATTTACAAATATTAAATTATGAAATAATATAATTTGGAATTAATAGCTGAGTTTCCTAAATAAGTACAAAATGCTACTTGGGATGGATCTTATGTTTATACTTTTTAATTTTGGTTTTTTGAACCGTTAATACAAAATATATTGTTTTTTCCTTTAGAGCTATAAAAAATCTACAAATAATTTTCAAAACAATATATTTAAAATTTTAATATTTAATAATTCTACCAATGATAGCCGTGCATCACACGGGTTGGCGACTAGTTACTATCTATCTATCTATCTATCTATACCTATGCTAATCGGGCACTTTCTACGAGCTCTCATGTTAACCAGAAAAATCTAACCGTTGATTAAGTAATTGATATTACAGTCACCGTAGATTATAAATCCAATCCGTTTGTAACTTTGTGGGCCATCTGTAAATCAATCTATTTTACACCGCTTCACATAGAGGAGATGAGGGAGTTATTACGCGAGTGAAAAGATGATTTCCGCCGTAAGATCTGTTCCAAGACACAGGAATACATCCAAAAAAATCAGCCACACCTGGCACAACCGGAATCAATCGGGTCGAAGCTATAGGCACACGCAGCGGCCGGTGTGGAAAGACCCATGATCGATTCATCAGTCACCGGAAGTTCACGTCCATGCAGCCAGCTAGCAGTTGCAGAGGCTTGATCATCAATTCATCATCCTTCATGCCATTGATCAGATCCAAAACAAGTGTGCAATGAAGATTTAGCCATCCAACGACCTCTTGGTGAGTCATGTATGTTCATGTATTAACTATTATGATCAAAAAAAATAATGTAAGTTAACGCCATTGATTTTTGATTAATCCTAATCAATGTTCAATTTATATCCATGAGTCATGCTGATTGCCTCGCTTTTGATATGTACGAAGGATTAGCTTGACGAAGGCTTGATCCAGCCCAATATTAAACAAGGAGGTTACTATGTGTTTACAAAATAATACTCCTATATGCATAATACACTCACATCATAAAGATAGATTGATCTATGCAAATCCAAATTAAATCGGAGCGTGGAGATCAGGTTATACTAATTCTTTTCTTAAATTTTGATTTTGTTAGGGTAGTTTTTTATACGTACCTATCTATTTTTCAATCAGTTGAGGACATGAACAAATTTTATGACCTAATTCTTTTAGGCTCTGCTTGCATTCGCATACAAAGGATGAGCACAAGTATATATGTCAATGATATTGTTTTTCTGATCTTTTATCAATTAGCCTTATTAATTTCTTTCACTATTATCACAATGTCATATACTAGGTTAGCTATATATTCGCCTACTTTTTTTACTGAACAAACCTCACATCATGGCCATCTTTAGTTGCAAATATTTCTTTTAATACTAGAGGGTATGTGTTTGCAATAATTAATTATTACTTCATATAGACGGGCAGAATTTTTTTCTGGTCTTTTTTGCCTACAGGTGAGTTAACCAAGACTAAACTATCTATTTCTAAATTCAATCCCATGCTGGGTATAAAAACAGTTGAAATCCAGGGGAAAAAATAATCACCTTCAATTGAATAGGTTAAAATATGAGTACATGTTAGGTACAACCCATCTATTACAATTTATAAATTCATAATTTAATTATTATAAGTTTAGATATTCATATTAATGAATTTAAAAGCAATAAAATTGGACTCAACTACAAGTATAACTTTGTACTTATCAGTTCTGATTCTGAATGCGATAATTTAAAACATAAGAATAACATAATTAGATCTACTAATCTAACCAACTGTTTATACTTACAAAGTACTATACAAACTCTTCATTTTTTTTCAGAACTTAATACTTTATGATTTCATAATTAAGAATTATGTTCCTATCTCATACTCTCAACTCAGTATTTTTTTTAGAGATTAATAATAGCAATTAGCAATTGATGTTAAGTGTTTTTTTAACCAAGTCGTTATAATTCATAAGATACCCAATATATAGTTATAATTTAATATTTACAGCGTGTTAATAAATATCCCATGCAACGCACGGGTTAACGGCTAGTATACTTAATTTGGCATGAACCATGACGAATGTGCACCCAAGAAGAGTGTAGGTATAAATGTCAAGACGACAGCGTGTTGTTATTGGCTCTATATCTGATTGAGCAATGCAAGAAGTGCAGCAGGTTGAGGACGCTAACAACAGCCATCATCCAGAAGAAGTAGTCCAGGTGCCCCTCGTCGAGGTTGTCCGGGATCCAGCCGGCCCCGCCGCCGCGCGTGGTGGCCGCCGCCACCACGACGAGCACGCCGGAGTTGAGGTAGTTGGCGACCGCGATGGCGAGCTGCCCGAGCGCCGTGCACAGGCTCTTCATCGACTCCGGCGACTGCTCGTAGAAGAACTCCATCATGCCGATCACGCTGAACGCCTCCGCCACGCCCAGCACCAGGTACGACGGCGCCTGCCACATGATGCTCACCGGCGCTGGCGCCGTCCCCAGCCGCCGTGCCTCGACCACCGCCGAGTACGCCATGGCCACCGCGGCGAGCGCGAGGCCGACGCCAATGCGCTGCAGGTGGGAGATGCCACGGTCCTTGCCGGTGACGCGCCGTGCCAGTGGCACCAGCACGGTGTCGTAGACGGGGACCCAGACGAGGACGCTGATGACGTCGAAGGTGGCGATTGAGGCGGCCGGAAGGGTGAACGGGCCGACGCGGCCGTCCATGGCCATGCCCTGCTCGATCAGCGTCGACGTAATCTGCGCGGTCACCACGAAGAAGACGACCATGGACACCCAGACCGGGAACATCCGCAGCAGGATCTTCAGCTCCTCCACCTGCGAAACCGTGCACAGCCTCCACGGGCTCCACTGCGCCGGCGAGATCTCGTCGGACAAGATGGCAGCCTTGTCAAAGAACCTGGATATATACCACGCAAATGTTACAAGAGTGGATGAACCCAAGATAGCCGAATTCCACCACAGTTTTGCATTTTTAAATTTTTTGACAATTGAAACTAATCCAGGATGTCCATAAACTGTCATGCTACTTGGTTCTTAAAATTTACTTCCTCTGTCCATGATTATAAGGGATTATTCCTCATTTAGCACTAACTAAGACTCTGTTTGGATCATTTAGTCCCTCGACTAAAAAACTTTAGTCCACTACTGTTTGGATCGAGGGACTAAAAGAGACTAAAGGCACGTGAACCAAGGGAGAGAGAAGAGAGAGGTTGTTACTTTAGTCCCTATAAGTACCTCCAAGAGAGACTAAGGCCCTGTTTGATTCAGCTTAGGATTATTATAATCTGGATTATTAGGAGTAGATTATTATGCTAGATTATTATAATCTATAAGCCAGATTACTATAATCCAATAATCTCCTCTAGAGAAGCTTTTTCCAGATTATTGAGTGGCTAAAGACCCACTACCCTTAGATGCCTCAAATAATCCAGAGAAACAAACAACTCGTAGCTTATTTTATGTTAGCTTATTATAATCCAGGTTAGAGTAATCTGATTTAATAATCTAGATTACAATAATCTTAAACTGAAACAAATAGGGCCTAAATGAATTAGTCCCACGAAGGAAACATGGCCTAAGGAAGAGGGAAAAAGTGCATCTAAGGACATATGGGGATTAGGGATGGTGGGAACGGGGTATATTTTATTTTTCCTTTACAGGGTGGGGACTGGGGATTAGTACTAGTAGTACACATGATTTTCTCTGTGTGTCTTTTCATATGTGAATGGATGGGAGTGGGATTATTGATTGCTGTTGTAATGATCCTCTCGGGATAAACAAAATCCTTTATAATTTTGGACAAACCCAGGGACCAAAATCCCCTATAATTGTGGACGGAGGGAGTATATGTTCAACCTTTTAATAATATTTGTCAGTATATTTTCAAAAGTGTTTGATGTTTGTATTTTGTATTTGACATTCAGGAATATTAGTAGAGGATCAATGTATATGTTTTTATAAATGAAATGATATGGTAAGTGATGACAAATTACCTCCTACGAGGTAAGAGTCAAATCAACTACAGATGATTTTCTAAAACGTATGGTCTAGAATAACGTGGGAGCCTTATTGACAGTGAGAATTGTTCCCGGGAAATACATTATTTTGTACTGTACTAAATAATACTACATTAAATATAACAACTTTTAGCTATTCAGATACATAGATATAGGTTGCTATATTTTAAGACGGGGAAAGTATAAGTTGAGTATTGTGTCCACAAACTCTAAGCTGTAACTAGACATAAACCTTGATGGTTGATGCAATGAGCAATACCTGAATTGAGTGGTGAGTTGAGTCCTGTAATCATCTTCAGTCACTTTTGAAACCTCATGCAGGAGTGAGCTATCGTCAGGCAATTTCAGCCTATGATTCCTTACAGCTGCAACCACCACCTGGGACACCCTTGTCAGTGGACTCCCTCCCTGTTTCTTGTACCTGTAAACCTTCCTACCAGCGAAAAACAGGGCGAGGCCGAACCCCGAGAGTAGCATCGGGATCGCAAAACCGACGCTCCACCCTATGTTGGCCACCACCCAGACAAGCAGAGTCGTCGACAGCAGTGAGCCGACGTTCATTGAGAAGTAATACCAGTTGAAGAATGAGCCCTTCGCCAGCCGTTCCACCGGGTCAGCACTGTCAAATTGATCGGCTCCAAAGGCTGGAATGCAGGGCTTCATACATCCACTTCCAACGGCAGTAAGGTAGAGCCCTGTGTAGACCGTGGCACGGCAAATGTTCCAATTGTAGTAAGAAGAATTCAGGAACAATGGTGATGATGAAACCGTCACAATGAGCATTCCCTGACAAAACACAACTCTTCAGAGCAGCAAATTACAGAGGAGACTGCAGCTTATATCATTCAGTTGCTACTGATCTGTTTTGTTGCACTTACGATGATGATAATAAAGAGGGAAATAACTGTCGTCCAGTATCTTCCCCAATATGTATCAGCCAAGAAGGCTCCAATGAGTGGTGTGAAGAAGGAAGTGCCGATCCAAATAGACACACTTTGTGCAGCGTCGATGTTGCTTTCGTGCAGCGCACTCGTGAGGTACATGACTAAGTTCTTCGAAACCATGAAGAAGCACAAGGTTTCAGCGAATTGAGCACCTATGACATGTTCAGGACTCGGTAGGTGAATTACGTATGTTTAATCAAGGAAATTGAGGAGCACAAACAGAATAATTTTGTGAACTTCTCAGAAGTACCTAAAATGAAGAAGCATGCTCTCCAATGCCCTGTACTCTGCTTCAGTGCAGGCTTTTTGTCACTATTAACTGTTCCATCACATGTGTATTGTGAACATTGTTCCTGAATGACAATGCCAAAACCAATTTATGTTACACATAATGACAATTTCTGCAAAGATTCGCTGAAGAACAATATACTGCAAGAACTCGTTTCTTGTTTCTGCGCCGCAAACTGAAGCCAAACTATCAATGGTAGAATGTAGATGTCTTGTGTCTCATGGAGATGCAATATTTTGTTACATACCTAGGCAAAAGAGATCATGGCAAGGTAGTAGAATAATACCTCCGGAGGCAGCTGCTGAATCAGTGGCGTCTCCTCATCTGCTGCCCCTGCCTCCATGTAAGCCTTGTTGGAAAGAACCCAACCACTAAAAGAACTCGAGATTAATTCAGTAGTATAATCCTTCTACTGATCACGCACTTCGTACAAGCCATCCTCCATCTGGGCAAGATAATATAGGAAAATGTAAGAAAGTCAAGAAGATTATATGGAGCAAATTGTATCATGACTCACACTTCTTTTCTGATAGATTTCTCATATCCGATTTTCGTCTTAGAATAACGCCATCACGCAATTTCGATATTAGAAGATATGTAACACTATTGACTGCATATATTGTGAACGACTAATTTCTTGCAAGCAAACACCATATTCTGTCAGCTTGGAACTTAAAAATTTAATGATAACAAAGATAAGTTCAACTTTTTTGGGGGGTCAAATTAACTACTTTGCAGGGAAGGAAGAAATCATATATTATAGTTTTTCTTCCATCCATATATATTTGCCAGCAGCTAGAATCTTTGACTACGATATTTAGAATCAAAGATACCCCTATTTCTTATCCTATTCAATCTTGAATGCGAATACACAAAAAACTACGAAATCAAGTTCAGAACAAAAATTAGCCCTGAATTATTTGATCCATCCCACAATTTAACCTGGGGGAAATGAGCTCCCTACTCATAAAGAACAAGACTGCTTCCTTCGATGCTGATATCTTTTTTTGCATCCATAAAAAAGTTCAGGTGTAGAACTAATACCACAAAAGAAGAAAGATTTGCTTGCAACTTGCATAGAGATATATATAAATACCTAAAAAATGCTCTGAAACAGATAGAATCCTACCAAAAAAGTGCAGAAGAACTAAATAAACTCTGAGCCCAACGGTAGAGAGAGAAAGAGAGAAACCTGAGGAGAGGGGGCAATGGAGGGCAGGGCAGAAGAGGGAGACGGAGCTGGAAATGGAGATGGTGCCATGTCCATCGCACTATCGCTGTAGCAGTAAATGAGACGACGGAGCTACCAAAGAATTGGGAGAGGGACTAAAATCAGTCACATTGCTCATAATTATTGTTGGACCACTGTGTTCTGCTGGGACCTTTTCTATTCACTGACACGTAGCTGCGTTCGACAGCAGCACAAAAGAGAGAAAAATCCACTCGTTTTCCATGCCCCGCGCTTCCTTAAAAAAAAGGTTAAACGGTGTTCTAACTTCGATATTAGCTAGCTGAGTAGCACGCGCAATTACGTGGCTAGAACCTACAAAATTATTTATTTTTCACATGATTTTACTTTAAATTTATAAAATAGCCATCTCGTTGCCTTATGACTTTAAAAGATCAAACCTTATATTTCTAAGGTTTCTAATTTTATAGTTTTTTAAAGTCATACGAGTCACAATCCCTTACTCCTTTATTTGTTTTCCTGACCTACCACAGTTTCTATTAATTCTCCTTATAACCTTTAAAATTTGGACCTTTTAGTTTTTATTGTGTCATCGGGTTTCGTTATTATAATTTTTAGAAATCATGTCAAATATCTCTACTATACTCCTTTACAGCTTGCCCGTTGCCTCCCCTTTTTAGTGTTAGTGGGATTTTAAAACTCCAAAATGATTATTGTTGGTTTCATTTTTTACTTCTAAAAGTCCTGCCAACCACCGTGCTTAACGGCATGCCTGCTATCCTCATCTTAATCGTCATAGGGACTCTAAAAATCATATATAATCATTTTTGAGGTTTTATTTATAGATACCTCATCAACCACAGCCACCCTACTCATTTATGAGCTCGTTGCTCCTCCTCACTTTATTTTCATTTACTACCACTATGTTTTATATTGACGGTTCTTTCAACATTCAACATTTTTCATTCTTACTTAACTTTTATACTGATGGTTTTTATTTATAAATTGTATTCCTACTTAAATTTTATTTTTATTTTTTATTCTAAATTTACATCATATTGTATACTATATGTGTATTGCTTCCTTTAATAATCAATTTTATTTTGAATTCTAGAAATTTCAAAAACCTAATCCTACTTGAACTCTCTTTTTTATTTTTTCTAATTTCATATTTTATTTTAATTTTTATTTGGGTTTTAATTAATCTCATATTAGGTTCTATGTAGAATCTACTTCGAATATTATTTATTTTTAATTTTGAATTTCAACTATATTTAAATCGTATTTCTACTTTAACTCTCTTTATTTTCTCTAAATTTATGTTATTTATAACTTGTATTCCTACATTAACAATCATATTTATTTTTCTAATTTCAATATTTTTTTATTTTTAATTTTAGTAATTTCAAATTTGTATTCCTATTCGAACACTCTTTTTTCTTTTTCTAATTTCAGCAATTTATTTATTTTTTATTCTAAATTTTAATTAAACACGTATTGGGTTCTTATATGGACTTTCAATATTACTTATTTTTAATTTCGAATTTCAATTATTTTTTAGATCGTATTTCTATTTGGACTCTTCTTTTCTTTCTCTTTGATTAATGTAGGAATTTCTAGCCTTCACAGAACGTGGTGCCTTCTTTTCGAGTTGTCTTAATAATATATTAGATATATTTTTAAAAAAATTAAAATAATTAATACTTAATTACTAATATGCTAATGGCTTACTTGTATATCTTTTTACCTTTTCCTTTCCTCTCCTCTTAAACACACCTTGGATGTATTTGAAATTACTATCTCCAAATTAAAATGTAGCTATTTCTAGCATAATATCTTGATCCAAAATAAAACTATTTCTACACCTACCTACTCTCAACCAATCAGAATCATTCTCTTTCATCTATTTTCTCTTTTCAACCAATCACATATATACTCTAATCATTCTCACCAACTTTCTTAATACCCGTGCCCACCTAAAAAATGTTTACATTTTGATACAGAGGAAGTATAAGTTTTTTTTCGGGGAAGAGAAAGTACTCCCTCCATCCCAAAATGTTTGACGCCGTTGAATCTTTTAAACATATTTGACCATTCGTCTTATTCAAAAAATTTAAGTAATTATTAATTCTTTTCCTATCATTTGATTTATTGTTAAATATACTTTTATGTATACATATAGTTTTACACATTTCACAAAAGTTTTTGAATAAGACGAACGGTCAAACATGTTTAAAAAAGTCAACGGCGTCAAACATTTAGGGAATGAGGGAGTATAAGTTAGCATCTTCTTCTCTCTCTTTTTGCGTGTTTTCCAAACAGATAAATGATGCGTTCTTTTTATAAAAAATTGTATAGGAATCTTGTTTTGAAAAGTTATGTTTATCTATTGTTTAATTTTTTACCTTCTATCTAACTAATTATTTGCTAATAAACTACTCCCTCCGTCAAAAAAAACCTATAGGTGTGTCCAGGTTCAAACTCAGGATTGAGGTTTTTTCTTGGGACGGAGGGAGTCCCTTAGAATTGAGTTTCTACGCCGAGTTCGAATGGGTTGTTGGCTGGAGGTTTGTGATGCACGCTGAGAATGCAAACCCGACAGAGACGTGTGAGTGGGCTCGTCCCGTGACTGGCCTGTACATGTACACCGATTTTTTTTATTTTTTTATTTTTTTAAAAAGATTTAAAAAATAAATTTCTGATTCGAAATTTTACAATAGTAATACTCCACCCGCCCTTTCGTTGGGCGGGGAATATAAATCACCCAAGGGGAGGGCAGGGAAAGTGAGGAAGAAGGCCGTGGCCACGAATCCACGATGACGATCGCGAAGCTGATCCCCCACCCGACATTGTCCTGCAGCACAGTGGTGGCAAAGCAGGTTTCCACTGTTCACCATGATGATGTATATATAGGTTGAAGAAGGAGGCCGTCCTCGCGCTGCTGTCGACCTGGTCTGCTCCGAACGCCAGCCGTTGCCTTAGAGCAAGGTCAATAGTGTAGCTAGCAGCTATAAGTTGGCTATAAGGGTACCCACAATGGTTATTTATAATCTCTCTACAAGAGATCCATGTCAGCATATTTTCCTACTTAGAAGAGATTAAATGAAGAGAGAGAGAAAACTATCTACTAACATGGAGATAGTCTATAGAGAAAAACGAGGCAATGGATTAGAGAGCTATAGATACCCATGTAGACATACCATTGAAGTGGTTTACTATTAATCTAGTCTATTGTTGAGGTGTACATGTTTTATAGATATTAATCTAGTCTATTGTTGAGGTGTACATGTTTTATAGATAGCACCTTACTTTACCATTGCGGGTGCTCTAAGCTGCCTTGGTTAAAGCACAAAAGCATTAAATATTTGTATGGATATATGAGCTGTTGTGATCAATACTAACCTTTATCTTTGTGTATATTTTGGTGCACCAACGAATGCACACAACATGATCAATACCAAATCAGGAACATGGTTTCAGACAATAAACCATTAGATACCATCCTCACATCGATCAACGGAGCCGGCTGGGGAGATTGTTGGGCATCAATTTGGCTTCGATTTGGCGGGAGAGAGGCATTTTCGCGCGCATCGGGGGCAAGATTTAGCGGGATCAGAGAGAGGCAATGGCGGAGGGCTGGCGTGCGGCGGGGCTATGGAAGAGGAACACGAGGCGCCGGCGATTTCGCGCGCACAGGCGGAGGGAATTTTGCACGCACGGGCAGAAGAGGGAGAGGAACGCGAGGCGTCGCCGGCGATTTCGCGCGCAAGGGGGCGGAGAAGATTTCACGCGCAGGGAGCGGAGAAGATGCGCGTCCAAGGAGCGAAGAGGAACGCGAAGGGAGGGGCGGCGGAGCGATGGGATTTTCGGTGGTTGAGATGCGGTGGAGGAGGGGATCAGGGATTTTTCTTGTGGGAACTACATAACGTGTTTTTAATCACCTTCGTGGGCTGCATGCGAGCGATACGGCTTCGGATGAAGCGCTAGCGCCCGGCGCCAGGTTAAGCGCCTGCTCATTTCTCTCTCTTCAATTTTGCTAGCTTAATCTAGGATTAGGAAGGTGATAGAAAATTTGGAGCCAGCTTAATCACGTTATTGTACCTGCTCTTATGCGACGAGGTACAGGCGTACAGCCCGAGATAGACCATTACAGGTTGAAGGTGGTGGCCATCATATCGCTGGAGGACGTCATATGCTCGTCGGGAGTGTTTGTGATATGCTCTAGAGGCAATCATAGAGATGATTGTATCACATACTATATTTACATATTTATCTGACTTTATTACTTGAAATAGATAGCTCATTATTGATTAATGAGTATGAGACTATTTATGTTGTTTGTTACTATTTCTAAAGGATCCCTGATCAAATATCATATGTATAACAAATATATTTAAATGATCAGCACATGTATTAATTGATGATCATGTCTCATGAATTATGGTATAGAGATAACAAATTAATAATGTGGACACATGTTGGGGAACATATTGTTGAATAGACCCAATATGAGATATTGTAAGAGCCATATGTGTTGTGTCATCAATGATCCCATTTAGTCTTGATGTTGGATCCTTAGACCTAAGATTATCATGATTCCTAGGGACCGCTAAATGCTACTCCGTAATTGGGTAGTTATAAAAGTAGTTTTCGGGTATGCTATGAAACATGTAGTGGGATATGAATAATCAAAATAGGATTTGCCCCTCCTATGGAGAGGTATCTCTGGTCCCCTCGATGTTATAGATTATGGAAGTGCATGGCCATACCAAAGGTGATTGAGGAGTCTATCACAAGTTATATAATATATCACAGGCTCGAGTGAATGATTAAGCTATTAGAGGATGGCACATATCTAGCCTTGAGCTTCATCGATATCGTGAGGCAAAGGGGTTCATACAAGTATACACTAGAGGTTTAGCCGATATGATCTTTATGTATGCCCAGTGGATCAATATGTTCTACTAGGGACCGCTGTTGACACGTGGACCGAAAAAGAGTTTTCGGGTTATAGCCGAGTGTGTATGAACCTACAGGGTCGCACGCTTAATGGGCCAGAATAAGGGGATTGGATGGAGATCCAATATGAGCTTAATTTGGATAGAGATCCGAATGGAAGTTCTACGGGCCTAAGTCATGGATCCTATATATTCGTGAGGGGTGTGACCGGCAGAGGTAATGCATCACGTGAGAAACCCTAGCTGCCACTCCCTTCCCTGAGCAAAATCCTAGCCGCACGCGGGTACTAGCATATCTGCGCGTAGTATTCTGTCCCTGTACGTGTGGATACTGGTAGAGGTGCCGCTGCTTTGCGGTGCTGATCGGCGTGGGATTACAGCGAGGAGAACGCACGAGGAGGAGAAGATCGAGCCGGTACGATCGACTACTTCCTCTACATCGACGTGCGCTACTTTGCGAGGGTTCCTTTGCCTTCTTAGCGCTTTCTTCCGCTGCGCAGCGCGTCGAGTGGTAACGATTTATGATCTAATACTTGCATGGTTCCTAGTTTATGCGCTAGAAAATTTTGATTTATACTATCATAGCCTGTGCGTAACCCAACAGAGAGAGATGTCGAGACCATACTGTTAAGACATAAAATTCCCTAACAAAAATGCAACCTTTTGGAATGGTAACTTTTGGACAAAAGTGACAGGCTTTTCAAACTACTAAACGGTGCGTTTCGTGTGAAAACTTTCTATATGAAAGTTGTTCTAAAATATAAGATTAATCCATTTTTCAAGTTTGTAATAATTAAAACTCAATTAATCGCACGTTATTACCTCCTCGTTTTGCGTAAAATACTTAATCTTTTATCTTCATCTTCATTTTCAAACACCATCTTCTTATCGCACTTATAATTATGTAAAGGAAAAAGTACGAATTACGCCCCTGAACTATCACGGTCGGTCGAATTACCCCCCTAAACTCGAAAACCAGATATTACTCACCCTGAACTTTCAATACCGAACGAATTACCCCCCTCGACCCAATCCAGCGTGGTTTTGTCTTACGTGGCCTACGCGTGGCAATCCAGTCAGCACCTTATTTATTAAAAATATATGGTCCCACGTGTCATACTCCTATTCCCATCTTCCTCCCTCTCCTCTCTCTTCTCTCGCCTCGTAGAGCTCCACCGCCGACCGGATGATGAGGACGCCTGAACCGGATGCCCGCCTCGTAGAGCTCCGCCGCTGACCGGATGATGCCGCCGTTGGCCTCCTCCTCGTCGTCGTCGTGGCGGCGGTCGTCTCTCCTGGCGGCGCCGCCGCCGCCTCTGCCCTGGTCGCCGCGTGGTCTATGGTGCTGGCCGCTAAGCAAGCTCTTGCGGAACAAGTCGAGCGGGTGGAGCGCCCGGTGTTCCTTCGCCGGTGGCGTCTTGCACGACGGTGAGATGAACCTCAGCACCATCTTGTTCACTTCATACTCGACGTCACCCTTTTTCAAGTAATCCGTTAATGGTGAGCTTATAGCTAGCAATGGTGGAAGAGAGATCGATCAGCATCAATGGTGTCCATTACCATTTCTTTGGGCTTCTTTGCTGGTCTCGACGGCGACGAGCTTCTGGAGGAGGAGGAGAGGCAGTTGGTTCTCGATGATGAGCATGTCGCGGCGGACGTACGGCACCATGTACAGCGCGCCCGTCGGCGTCGGCTCCTCGCCCACCGCTGCCTCCGCGCCCACTCACCTCCAGCCTCGGCTCCTCGCCTGCCGCCCGCAGCCATCCCCGCCGCTGGCAGCCCGTCGGCGTTGGCTCCTCGCCCGCCCGCCGCCTGCAGTGTTCAGTTGTTCACCGACAGAGAGAGGGGAGAGAAGGAGAGGAAAAAAGGTGCTGACAGCTGGGCCCCACCTGTTTATATTTTTTTTTTGCTGACTGTATCGCCACATGTGTGCCACGTAGGCTGAAAACCGCTTCGAATCGAGTTAGGGTGGTAATTTAGCCGGTTTTAAGTGTTTGGGGGTGTCAAATGTCCGGTATTATAGTTTAGGGGGTAAATCGTACTACCGCAATAGTTCCGGGGAGGGGGTAATTCGTACTTTTTCCTTATGTAAAGCGGGAGGAAAGTAAGCGCTGTCCAGTATCTACCCTAAGAAGTGTCAGCCGAGGAAGATGAGAAGAGTGGTGTGAGGTAGCTGCCATATCTCCTGCTCTCATACCAGGTAGCAGGTCACTAGATTCTTGGAGATCCCATAGAAAGCCAAGCACTCACTGAGCACATCACCTAATTAGTAATTACGGACAAATTAATTTCAGTGATTTGAATCAAAGCAACCAAGAAAGAAAACACACTAGTATCAGCTACATATGAATTGCTACCTAGGATCATGAAGCATGCTCTCCAATTCGCTGTGTTGCGCTCGAGAGCAGGCTGGTTGTGTATGTCCACTGATCCATCACCTTCTGAACCTGCACCCTCCTGCATAAAAAATCAGCAAAACTGTTGGCTGCAAAAACCTGAAACTACAAAGTGATTCTTGGATGTTAATTTGTTCTAATATAATGATATTTACCTGTGCATGAGGTTGAGGATAAAGCAGGGGTGCTCTCTCCTGATCATCAGCTGTTTCCATGGTAACCTACCTGAGATGAAAATATGTATATAAGTGGCCTGATCAGGAGACATGGAGAATTAATGTTGTTGCTGATGAAAATAGACTACTATTACTACATTATTTGCAAAAGAAATAGTTGAGCTATCAGCATTACATTATTGGGTTATTGCAAGGAGCTAGAAAGATGGGAGGGTCCAGTGGAGATAAAAATAACTTGTTTGTATGCAGAGGATTGAGGCGTCACAGTAACGTGCAGATCATGAGGGCATCGATTATTCATGACTTGTATTTGTATTTTTCCTTTGTTTTCTTGGCCATGATCAGTTCCTTGCAGTGTTGGTCAATCAATGTCGTCGTCTCCTTGTTGCATGGACATATCTGTACTTGAATAGAAAAGCACGATCGACCTTGGAATCTAAAAGAGCAAACATTCCCCATTTGCTATATTTATTTTATTTTATTTATATTGCTTTTTTTTTTGTTAATATGGCTTGAGCTGGGCTAGAGTTGCAATCTTCAGGTATGGTTGATACTTGATAGGTCACAGATTTTTGCTAGAGAACTGTAAATTTTCTAGCGTGGGTATTATTGGAAGTCCAATTTTAGGGTGAAAACAGGGTAAGTTTTTGGGTTCAACTACTACACGAGCGAATCTAGCTCGCGGGAGCTGACCCTCAATGTTGTAATTTGTGACTCTAATCCTAATGGAAATGAGAGCGAGAAATTCCTCACTTAGCTCTTTGTATCATGTAGGATAAGGATTTCTATTAGGACTGAGATTTCTAGGATAAGGAGTACCTATTTAGAGAAGGACTAGCACAGGTGTATCTAGCTTAAATTATCCTTATGACGTTGATGTTTTGTGTCATTTGCTACCGAACACTCCAAAATCATGTCTATACCATATGACACTCTGGTTTTGTCTTAATTTGCCAAAAGATTATTGTTTTATCTTTTTTCGCTTAATTGAAGAGAGAGGAAACTTTAGAAATGATGCATTTATCCCTATGCCAAGTTGCACGCGCAGCCGGTTATATTTTCATCCAAAATTGCAGATATCAAAAGTATTTCAAGGCAGGGGATAGAATGGAAATCTCTGAAAGGTGAAACAAAAATTATGGAAAATTTCAAATTTGAATATATTTTCACTGAATTTATTTCTTTTCTAAAAAACAAAACTCATGCCAAATTTAATTTGGTAGACCGATGCAATAAAAATTTCTGGAATTTCAAAAAAAGAAAAAAATATTGGCTGAATTAAAAATACTTAATTTTTTTTTCTGGGGAATGATATCCTAGCGTGATCGATCTAGAGGGAGAGGGGGAACAAGACCCGAATTTTCAGAAATTACTCGTCGAAATATAGAACTCCTTGCTGCAACATGGCAAAGGGGTAAAGTGTCATTTTCAAAATATCATCTTTCTGTAAATTTTATGATTTTACAACCACACTCCCTCCTCACTTAGACAAAGAAATAATAGGAATTATTCTTGGATGTATTTGAAAAATGTACTGAATTTTTTTAGTGTGCACAACAGATAAATATGATAATTGCATTATGTATTTCAGTAATTGAGGTTCAAATACGTTTAGATTAGGTAAAATTATATCCCCTACATCTGTGAAATGCTAAGGATTTGCCAAAATATTTAGTGGAACTGATGATTATCACAGAATTCATGAAATTAAATAGCCAATATTTATCCTTATGTAAGTATTCTAGTATTTCTTCTTTTTCTTAAAACTGAAAAACCTAGCAAATTGACTCGTATACCCATGTCGCCTTCTTCCTCATCACCTCTCCTATTCTTATCCACAAACGGGTGACAATCTCGCTGGGTTACTATGTCTATGTTCCAAACGGCAACACCATGGCGTTCAATAGCTCCTTCTATCATATCTCCTCTACAGTGAATTTTCCGAAATCCCATTTCTAGATTGTCCTGCTGGTGGTGCTAATTGTATCGGGATAGGAAGGTCTTTGGCTAAATATAGCTTTTGTTATATACGCCACTTTGACTATAGCCGGCTTTGTGTACTACATCATTTCACGTACGTTACATATTGACTACATCGATTTTTAGCTTCTATAAAAGGGTGCATATTGTATATTTTTGGTAATGGATTTAGGCTGAGTTTCAAAAATGAAGTTTTCCTTAATTTTTAGTGGCACACGAAACAACGCGAATCATTAATACATGATTAATTGAGTATTAATTATTATAAACTTGAAAAATATGTTTATTTGATTTTTTTTTTAAAAAAATAAAATTGCACGTTTTAGCAGTTTGGGAAGCGTGATCATGACAAACAAGGGAGAATCAACATCCAAACTCATTTTGTCTCAGCCTTAAACTAAACTTGGCCTTTGGCTATACATCTAACATAGATGTACAAGCTAAGAGAAACTGTATATATCTTGTAGAGAATTTTTACTCCTTGAGGTTTTGAGGTACCATGCGGTACCAAATCTGAACCGTCGATCCGGCCTCATCGGACGGATGAGATTGCAGCGTACCGCCTAGTACCGCACGGGCTGATATACGCGGTACCGCAGGTGGGGGGTAGGAAAGTAATTTCGCCTTATGCCGCAATAGCGAGAGAGAGGCCGATGATTCTGCTCGGCTCTTTCCTTCTCTCGTCCCTCTTTCGTTCTTTCGTCTCTCAAAGAAACGAAGCTGGCCTTCTTCTTCCTCCGCACATCTCGAATCCGGCCTTGGCACACATAGAGGTATTTCCTTCTCTTGTTTTTCTGTCCGATTTCATGGGCGCACGCAGAGGGAAGACCTCTCTTTGATTCTCTCAGCTCTCTTTCTTGATCTCGTATTTCTCTTCGATTTACATGTGGGCGAAGGCAGTTGGAGCAGCGCAGATGATGGGGGATGGCAGATCCCTAGATAGGTCCATCCGCTCGTGGCCCCCTTCGAGCAATGGAGGTGATCTTGCCGCATGTAGGGTGGGGCTGGTGTTTAGAACTACGCAACAGCGGGTAGATTGGCCGCGTGCATCTTCATTCAGTCGTGCCCTAGTAATCGTTAAGACTAAATGAAGATGTGCTTAGTCTTAATGTTCCTTCTATTATGTACTGTGATGCCTTTCTATGATGTAATTAAGTTAATGGATGAACCATCTACATATGTTTAATCCTAAATGGATGCTTCAGTATTGAAAATCTGGCTGTTTCGGTTCTGCCTATGATTTTTTGCTGCTGCTGTTTCTGAACTGACTAGTGTCTACTAGTTGCCCATGTGGAAGCTAATGAAATCTGATGTTTGTTTCACTGATGAAAGCTGGTGTTTATTTCACTGATGAAAGCTGGTGTTTCTGCTTCTGCCGTATAACATATTTGGCACTAATACACTTGCTAGCATGGATATTTGGGATTTAAACACAAGTACAAATCCAGGAACACAACATGTGAGCTTTGCATTCACTGATTAATAGATGCAATTTAACTGAAACAGCCAGATTTAAACACAAGTACAAATCCAGGCACACAACATGTGAGCTTTGCATTCAATACCGATGCAGTTTAACAACAAGCTGGGCAAAATACACCCTTAATCCATAAGAAAGTTTGCAAATATAAAATGCAGTACTTCTTGTGCAATACAGGTTTGGAACAAGTCTGCAAATAATAAGAAGCTGGACAAAATCAACCCCTAATCCATAAGAATGATGGCTGGCGGCGTTGCTCTGTCCGGGATGGCTGGCGGCGACGGACAGAAAAGTGCTCAGGCGGCGGGCAACGGCGGTGGGCACCTGTGCTCAGCCGGCTGTGGTCGGGCGGTGGGCGGCTATGGTCGGGCGCCGGCCGACGGCGGTGGCAGGCTGTCGTCGAGCAGCGGCAGAACTAAAAGCTCCCAGCCAGCATTGACGCCGGCGGCGGAACTAAATGGCGACACCGGCAGATGAGAAGGGGCTACGGCGGCGGAACTGCTGCGGCGGACGACGACTCGTGCTGGACTTGAAGGGATTGTTGCACCTGCTTTGGCGGTGTCGACCGAGTGGCCCAATGAGCGAGCCTCTTTTTTTCCGATCGTGCCCCTCCCAAATCAATGGCTAGATTTGATTTGGTACCTCATAATACTAGTACCTCATTGTACCTCATGGTACCTTCTCAAGGATGAAAAAAGAGCTCTATTTTGTATCAATAGTTAGTAGTTACAAGAGGTTGTAAATTAAATATGCTTTGTGTCTGAGGTTGCATTTACACACTTGGCGTGCAGTTAAAGGGGTTCATCTATGTAATATTAGTGAATCATAAAATATTTTCGAATTCAATTTTTGTACAGTCCTACAAATGCCATACATAGAGTGACATTTTTGGGTGGGTCGATCAAGAAGCAGCAGTGCTCCCTTTGTATCGCATGGCGCAGAAGACAAATAAGAGCAGGTCGAGGAGCAAGAGAGCAGCCATGAGCCAGAAGAAGTAGTCGAGGTGTCCCTTGTTGAGGTCGTCGGGGATCCATCCGGGGTCGCCGCCGCGCGTGGTGGCGGAGGCGACGACGGCGAGGAGGAACGCGCTGAGGTAGTTCCCGGCGGCGATGGCGAGCTGGCCGAGCGCGGTGCACATGCTCCTCATGGAGCGCGGCGCCTGGTCGTAGAAGAACTCCGACTTGCCGATGCTGGTGAACACCACCGCCATGCCGTGCATCAGCTGCGCCGGCACCTGCCACAGGATGCTCGTCCTGGCGGCGCCGGCGCGCGCCGCCGCCAGCCGCCGCTCCTCGACCAGCGCCGAGTAGGCCATGATGAGCGCGGCCACGGCGAGGCCGACGCCGATGCGCTGCAGCTGCGTGATCCCCTTGGGCTTGCCGGTGGCGCGGCGCGCCAGGGGCACCAGCGCGACGTCGTAGACGGGGATCCAGAGGAGGACGCCGATGGAGTGGAAGGTGGCGAGCGAGGCCGGAGGGATGGTGAAGGGGCCCACGCGGTTGTCCATGGCCGTGCCTTGCTCCACCAGCGTCGACGACATCTGGCTGCTCACCGAGAAGAAGAGCACCAGGCATGCCCAGATGGGGCACATCCGCACCAGCATCTTCACCTCCTCCACCTGTGTCACTGTGCACTGCCGCCATCGGCTCACCGGCGCCGCCGCCGCTGCCACGTTACCCTTCTCCCCGCTTAACGACGATGGTGTCACCACTATCGCAGCCTTGTCCAAGAACCTGATCATAATTTGTTTTATTACTGGCAGTAGAAATTAATAATCTAGATAGTTCATCGTTTTACAATCCAATGGATTAATATTAGTTTATTTTTGAATTCCAACATAAGGCTCATAAAGCAATGTTAAGTTCAATTCTATATACTCCCTCCGTTTCAAAATGTTTGACACCGTTGACTTTTTAGTACGTGTTTGACCATTCGTCTTATTCAAAAAATTTAAGTAATTATTTATTCTTTTCATATCATTTGATTCATTGTTAAATATACTTTCATGTACACATATAGTTTTATATATTTCACAATTTTTTTTAATAAGACGAACGGTGAAACATGTGCTAAAAAGTCAACGGTATCAAACATTTTGAAACGGAGGGAGTATTAGCAGTACTGTAAATGTACCCAGTAACCAATTATATCAAAAAATTTAAGCCGATAAAGAAATATGAGCAGGCTATAATTTCTATTTAATTATTTCGAGACTTTTGACTCAAATCCATCACACGTTGATGCTCAAATAAATCATATTTTGACCAATAATAAAACAAAGGAATACCTGAATTGATCAGTATGCTTAATCCGGTGATCTGCGACTTGAGCCTCATACAGAAGCGAGCTATCATCCGGCAACTCCAAATGCCATTTCCTGACGGCGGCGACCACCACCTGGCAGACACCGGTGAGTGGGCTCCCCCTGACCGGCCTGTACCTGTAAACCCTCGAGCCGGCGAAGAAGACGGCGAGGAAGAAGGCCATGACCACGACGACGATCACGAAGCTGATCCCCCAGCCCACATTGTCCTGCAGCCAGACCAGCACCGTGGACGCCAGGAGCGACCCGCTGTTGATCATGAAGGTGTACCAGTTGAAGAAGGACCCCTTCCTCCTCAGCTCCGCCGCGTCACCGCCGTCGAACTGGTCCGCCCCGAACGCCGACGTGCACGGCTTCACGCCGCCGTTCCCGAAGGCGACGAGGTACAGCCCGAGGTAGACGGCGACGCTGTGAAGCTGGTGACCGGCGTCGGAGGACGTCATGCTGGATGGGAGTGACGTCGACGCCATTAGAGTAAGCAATCCCTGACAGAATATGCGACGTTTCAGAAATCTCACACAAAACAATATCCATTTCTCAAGGGCAATGCAAATCACATGTCTATTAAAAATTCACTGAAGTAAGAGAAGTTTTTACCAATTTTGGAATGCAAACGCCATAAAAATTCTCAAAAAGTAAGCAGGTCAATTCTCAATACAGTGAAAGAAAAAACAACTCCTGACAAAACGAAAACAACATGTCTATATATAAAAAATTCAGGAAAAAAACAAAACAGTTCAAATCTCAATACAGTGCAAACAGTGCAGAGTTGTCTTTGGGAAGGATAATGGAGTTCAGTCCAGCCTCTGCAACAGAGTATTCAATCCTTACCAGGATGTAAATCGGGAGAAAAGTAAGAACAGTCCGGTATTTCCCCCAATATGTGTCAGCCAAGAAAGCTCCAAAGAGTGGCGTGAGGTAGCAGGCGCCCGACCAAGCAGAGGAATTCCTCGCGGCGTTCACTTTGCTCTCGTGGAGAATCTTGGTGAGGTAGGTCACCAGGTTCTTGGAGATCCCATAGTAAGCCAAATTCTCACTGAATTCGACACCTGGTTAGGTTGAGTGATTAACTTTAGTTTGCAATTTTAGTTCAAAAGGTTGTGAGAAACAGATATATGGAAGATCAGCGATTTGAATTGAATTGCTGTTGCTAATTATTCTTGGTACCTAGGATCATGAAGCATGCTCTCCAATTCCCCGTGCTGCGCTTGAGAGCAGGCTGGTTGTTGACGTCCACCGATCCATCACCTGTATACTCTGAATCTGCATCCCCCTGCAGAAAAATCATCCAAACTATGAGCTGCAGAAGCTGAAACTTGAAGCAAAGAATCTTGGTGGATTGTTCGACTTTGTTCCAATGATATGCATGCAGAAGTCAAGAAGCAATGGTAGGTAGGTTAGATACCCGTGAAGGTTGAGGTTGAGGTTGAAGCAGAGGCGCCCTCTCCTCATCTGCTGCTTCCATGGCCATCTACCTGATGAGAACTATACCTTGAGAATTCAGAGTGAGCAGAGAGGATGGAGTAGGTTGATGGTGAAGAATTAGCTGTACGGAGCAGCTCGATTCCATGGCAGCATAGCTACTAGTAGTAGTAGCTGAGCAGGAGGGAGGCAGGGAGAGATGGAGAGGGGAGGATAAGAAATTTTGTGTGCACGGGAAGGATTGAGGCGTCAGACTGACGTGCACAACACAGTGATCATGTATTGTTGACCTGTATTATTTTGTTTTCGTTTCTGCATGTGCAATGATCTGTTCGTCCTATTGCAGTTAAGTCCCTGTCGCCTCCCTGTGGGTTGGACCTACAAAAATAAATAATAATTTAGATCTGGCAAATCGGTACAAGAGCTAACATTCTCTGTTTTTGGTTTGATATTTCTCCCTTTTTTTTATTTGTACCTTTTGCCAATATATGCCTCGATCAAGTTTTTTTCTTAACCTTTCAATACTTAAGATATTTTTGCTAGGGGGTTGTAGATTTTTCTATCCAGGTTATTCTAGGAAGCATGGCTTTGATACTAAAATTGGTAAATTATGATACAGCTACTACACGTCTAAGGTTGTGTTTGGAACTCAAGGTTCCCAATCCTTGTCCATCGTATTCCGCACGCACGCTTTTTAAACTACTAAACGGTGTGTTTTTTGTAAAAAGTTTCTATACGAAAGTTGCTTAAAAAAATCATATTGATCTATCTCTTTTTAAAAAAAAATTAGCTAATACTTAATTAATCACGCGCTAATGGACCGTTCCGTTTTCCGTTCTTACTATGTACGCGGGAACGTCCGATTCCGAACACAGCCTTAACATTGGTTGTTTGCTTTGGTCTTGGTCAACGTTACTGCTCTCAGAGTCATTGGCGGCTCCATGATTTTTTCGCAATTATGGTTCTCACAGTCAAAATTATGGCTAGGAGCGTTTGGAACACAAGAAACAATAAGATTTTCAGAAACAACTCTCCTTACTTCCAAGTTTGCTTGGATCTTTTCAAAAAGGAATCTAGCAAGGTTATCTATAGAGTAAAAGATTGTTCAATACCCCAAATGCAACAATGGCTGCAAAGTTTGTAACATATCTTTATTGTACAGGGTAAATATTGTTTCTATTAAATATATTTATGCACTCCTACAGTATTTTCCCTAAAAAAATATGCAACCTTTCACAAAACAATTCATTTCTCAAAGCAATGCAAAGCACATGTCTATAAAAAATTCAAAAAAATAAGACAAGTTTTACTATTGCCATGAAACTTCTCAAAAAATAAACATGTCATTTCTCAACACAGTGAAAAAAAACAATCCCTAACAAAATGCAAACCTCGTGTTGGCCCCCTTTTCCAACTAACACGAGACTCGCCTAAAGATTTGTGGTGTTAACGAAGTTACCAACTATCTCTATTATCGAATGGACAACTGCGTCACGCCGAAAGGAGTGGTTCTCTCAACAGTGATTAAAAGTAAAGAACAATTGTATTGCTTAGTGAAATTTTGTTTGGATCCCCCTATTACATGGCCTAATGGGGTTATTTATAGCCCTATTACAGGTTCCCCTCTCTAGCGTTTAGGCTTTACAGGGGAATTTACATGGTTATCCTTATGATAGGGACATTATTGGGGGTACACAGTGTCCTTTACATGTATGGGCCCCTATTGGGCTAAATGGCTTGGCCCATTTATTTGGCAAATCCCCCCGAAAGCGTAACGGCCCGCTGGGCCTCCTCACGGTGGGGTTTGGTACTTGGCGAAGCCCGTGCCTTCGCGCCGAGGCTTTTGCCTCACCGTCTCCGCCCGTGAGGCCCTCCGATGAGGTCCTTGACTGGTGAGGCCCGTGTAATGCCTTGCCACGGCTTTCACCCTGTGGCTTTCGCCCATATGGTTTTCTTCTCGACCTTCACCGCTTGCCTCCGGTCTGAGCCTGTTGCCCAAGTTCTTGGTTTCGGCAAGTCCGGCCGAAGGCCCTTCGTGGTATACCTCCAACAATCTCGATTTAGAAAATCTCTTGACCAAGATGGGTTTAGAAAGATCAAAACCAGTTATCGGAGGCAATTTAGAAATCAAACCAGCCTCTAGGCTGATTTTGATCGATTTCAAGCTAGACACCCTTCCGTGAGCGAATAGGAAGATTTAGGGAACAAGCCTACTGTCCATGGGCATTGGACCATAACACCTACGAAGTGTATTGCACTGTTGCAGTGAAGGCAAAAGATTTATGGTGCAAATCAACAAAGGTAGATGAAACTACGATAAAGTAGAAAATATGGCTGAAAAGTAATAGTAAAAGTAAAAGTAAAAGAACGATTCAATTAATTGTGTAGGGGGTATGGTCAGGGGTTAGAATTGAATCAGCCATAGCCCTTATAAAGGGGTTGGTCTTGCCTTCAGAGGGCCTTCTCCATGTCCTATTTGCATTAGAGATCAATTAGAATTCAATAAACCTCGAGCCCAAGTAAGGAAACATGAGAACTCTCTTAATTGGACTCGGACTCGACGCTGGGTCTGACTGCCGAAACACCATAGTTCACCCTCTAGTCTATTCGGCCACACAACGGCAGTAAGACCGCCCTTGCATTCTATGGGAAGAATCATACTATGGTGCTCTTTACTGGTAGTAGAAGTTTATCTCAACCCTTCATCTTTTCTCATCCAAGGGATCGTATTTTTTCATACTACCAGTTTAATTAGTGGTAGTAAATTAAGGAGGGGTATACTTGCCCACTAAAATAAGGTGTGGGAGGGTAAAATCATAAATTTGGCTCTCCTCATTGATCGGCCGAACCTGAGGGCCATGGAGGCTGCTTGCGTGCAGCAGATGAAGGCTCAGAGTCTTGGGGGCCGGTGGTGCGTCAAGCACCTCCGAGGAGGGCGACATACCCATCGTCTCGGTGGACCGAAGCAAGGCTACATGCACAACCAATTTAGCAAGGATAAATAAATTGGCCACACATACATTTAATTAATATGGTTGCAAATCAAATAGGAGTATTATTCTTGTATACCTTGTCAACAAAGTGTTTACTGTATACATAGCAAGAAATAGTGCGGTATATTCATATATACGGAAGACTTCTACATCACATGCTCCGATAGACGCAACAGTAGAAAACACGACAAGAGCTTTGACACTATTGTATAGATTGCAGTATTGCACAATCATGTACTATACACATGTTGTTTCTCTGCTTTAAATTACAAACAACATAAACAAGAAATACATGCTTTGAATCACTCTATTTCAAATGAAAGGAAATTGATTGACAAAGTAGGTCACACAAAAAAAAAGATATACATTGCTTATTAACCCTCTTCTCTTCCAATTCTCAGTCTATGGGCTAGAGAGTTCGTTGCTACTAAACTGAATGCAAAAGAAGCGTTGTGCTGCTACTTGTTCCGATATCAGCATCAAAGCTCTTGCAATTTTCCTCGATACTAATCTCCTCAAAGTACTGTTGAGGACTTACATTGTAGTTTTCTTGTCCAAGGTTTCTAGATCTTCGCAGCATCATAAGCCGTGCAGCTACCTCCTTCATATCAGGTCGTTCCTCAATCTTTTCTTTTAAACAATCCATTGCCAACCTACCAATTTCTTCTAAGATCAAGACATCTTCTTCAATTGCAATCTCCTTATCAAACAATGCTCTCCCACTATTTTCTCGATCATACGCCTTTTGGAACTCAATGACAAGGCTATAGTTCTTGTCATATATTGTTGGCTTTCTGCTAATGAGCTCCAACAACACAACTCCAAAACTATATACATCACTCTTCTGTGTTAAATGACCAGTCATATAGAAGATTGGGTCTATGTAGCCCATGCTCCCTGCCACAACCATGGTAAATTCTTTGTCTGCAGTAAGAAGCTTGGATGTTCCAAAGTCTGAGATCTTCGCAATGAACTTATCAGTTAGAAGTATGTTAGCTGGCTTAATATCACCGTGTCGTATGGTATGACTTATGGACGAGTGCATGTACCTTAGACCTTCTGCAGATTGAACTGCAATATCTAGGCGTAGGTCTAGTGATAGAGGAACTAGACGATTCGCATCACCATGGAGAATGTCTTTGAGACTGCCATTAGCGGCAAACTCGTACACTAACATTGGAACATCCACTTCCAAGCAGCAACCCAAAAGCTTGATAATGTTATTGTGCATCATTTGCGATTGTATGATAACTTCGTTTGTGAAATCCTCTTTTCGAGCTTCATTTACCTCAATGGAAGTCTTCACAGCCACCAGGGTATCATCTTTTAGTCTCCCTTTGTAAACCTTACCAAATCCTCCTTCACCAATAATATCAGAATTGTTCTTTAGGATTTTCTTAACCTCATCTTTGGAGAAAATCATGATATTGTCCACTTTCTGTAATACTGAACCACCATTCTTCTTGAAATATTTGTTCATTTTTCTCTTTTGAAGCATCATTAGTGTGAAAAGAACAACAACAATCAGGAAGGATAATCCTAAAGTGATACCTACAAAGATCATAAATTCATGTGAGCCAATCAATGAATTGGAATTTCCATTTTATAATCTAAAGTGAAGCAAATAATGCTCACTTGGATGAATCTTGTCATAAGCTGGATGATACATACATTAACATTATGCATGTACAACATTCATGTTTAGCTCAACAATTATTTACACATGGCGTAACATTTTGCCACAGCATGTAGCAAGCTAGGGGCCAATATATGTCTCTCCAAGGATATAAGAAAACCTAGTATGAGAAAACCTCAAATCATTGGCCTCTATCATGTCTTAGTTTTTGGAATTTTAGTTTTCCAATACTATATAAAGTCTTGCTAAGAGTTTTGTTGTAACATCTCAATTTCCGTTTTCTAGTTGCTCAAGAGTTTTATTAGAGATCATCAACCTCAGAATGTTCTACTCCCTCCGTCCCAAAATATAAGCACTTTTGGACTTCGACATGGTCTTCGATATGCTACTTTGACCAATGATATTTATAAAAGTAAGATGTTTTAAATAAAAAGAATTACATATTGTGATAGTTTGTTTAATGATAAATCTAATAACATCAATGTTACATAACTGATCTTTTTTATATTTTTGCTATTAATAGTCAAAGTTACAAATATTTGACTTGACACTATGCTAAAAATGCTTATATTTTGGGACGGAGGGAGTAATGTTTTTCTCTCCTTCCATTTTTCTCTATTTCCTCTTCTCCTTTATTCTCTTGCTTTATCCCCCATGTAGGGGATTCAATAAATAAAGACTTGAGAGCACATAACAATTTTGTCTAGCAAGTTTCATAACTAATTTCATTGTAGAGTGAAGTGCATGGGCAATCCCTAAACTTGTGCAGGTGTGTCATCTAGTTCTTTAACTCTTAAAATGTATTTTTCAGGTCCCCGAACTTGTCTTGGTAGTCATATATATCCAAACGGAATCCAATCCACAATGTACATTGACGTGACATGCCATGGCGGCACCTACATGTTAGTGAGACCCACATGCCAGACACATTGAAAAAAGTAAAAATAAAAAGAACATATTTTCTCCTCTCTACCTTAGAATTTTTTATTTACTTTATCTTTTCTCCTCTCTACCCAAGAGGAAAAACTGTGATTTTAATTTTTTTTATATGTGACTGACATATGGTTCCAAGCTACTAACATGTAGGTGCCACTATGGCATTCCACATTGGCGCATGGAGTGTGTCGGAGCCTATTTGGATAAGTATGACACCCCACCCAAGACAAGTTCGACAACGTGAAAATATATTTTGAGAGTTCAAGGACCTGATGACCCACCCACACAAGTTTACGGACCACCCATATACTTTACTTTCATTGTAACTAGGTGATCCCCGCGCTTTGCTGTGGGAATTACTAAGTAATTCTCAATATATTTTTTTTTGACAATCAAGCTAGGAGTGAAAAGGAAAAAAATAATGAAACATGTACCATGAAATAAACAAATGATACCCACGCTTTAATGTGAAACATATTGATAAGTATATGTTAAATATTATAAAAATGATAGATAGATTTGTTAAAATATAATGCAAATGATGTGAGGGGTGATGATTGGATATGCTTGCATATTGATTTGTAGAATTAAATAAATTGTAAATTGATGTTGTATGCTTGCATGATGTTAAATATGTAATTATTGCTAGTGAGTTATGATGTGGCATGGTTGCATCTTGAGCTTTAGATTTAGTGGGCTATAACTTTATAGAAAGTATAGGTATGCCCATTGCATTGAATCTCTTGAGGCACTTGTAAACATTTCAAATTAAATAAAAAAATTAATGGAAAGTAGTTGGGTGAATTCCGTGTTACACTAGGTCGAGTTTTCCTTGTTTCACTTTACACCAAATTTAGTACATGTCTACACTTACAACATGGTATATTGGGATAAATTTTACTTTGTACTAGGTTTATGTCACTGAATGTGTGGGACATCTTGTAAAGCATAAGCGGAATCCATGATACTCCATGAAGTTAGATCATTTTTTCATGAAATTTCTGTATGTTGATTAATGGTGTATGATGACGTACGTGTTAGCTGAAAATTATTTCAATACACGTTATCGTGAATGGAAAGCCTATCATCACGAAGGTATTAGTGAAATAAGGTACTACCTCTATATTTTAATGTATAATGTCGTTAACTTTTTGTCTAACGTTTGACCATTCGTCTTATTCAAAAAATTTATGTAATTATCATTTATTTTAATGTGACTTGATTCATCATCAAATATTCTTTAAGCATGATATAAACATTTTTATATTTGCATAAAAATTTTGAATAAAACGAATGGTCAACGTTGGTCGAAAAATCAACGGCGTCATACATTAAAATTAAAATAAAAATACGGAGGGAGTATAATTTTGTGATACGAATGCAATTTATACTTAAAAAGTATGTTGAAGGCAAATACCAACAGCAAGCCGTGCTGGAAAAGGAAATTTTGAACTGCACTCCTGTTTCTTTGGACCATCACCACTTGGCTGGTAACCCGTGTGGCAGCGGCACTCGTAATCTCCTGGAGTGTTCCTACAGACACCGTGGCAAGGATACTTGTTGGGGTGTGCGCACTCATCGATGTCTGCAGATTTATTCGAATATAAGAGTTAATTTTGGCCTCTAGAGGCAGTACGAGATTCCATATATGGTTAAACCATTGCTGTTTTTTATATATGATATGTAGTTGTCTTTAATAATTTGTTTGACTATTTGCAGTTCATAAAAAAATTGTGCAAATGGAGAAAATTAATACTAGGTATGTATGCTTAAAGTATTTTAGTTGATATATATCTCAATATATATATAATATTCCAAATCTTCTAACCTTAATTAACCAAGTAATTAAATAAATATTGTTGTCCTAAGTTTAAACTATATATGTCACATATTAAAGAATTAAGGTAGTAGTTACCTTTGCATCCTTTATTGGGATCGTCGTCGTAAGGGTTACCCTCGTAGCCACTGCTGCAGTTGCAGTAGTATCCGAGGCCGTTGGTGGAGTTGACGCACGTGCTGTTGACGCTCACGCAGGCGTATCCAGCTGGCATATTCTTCTTCGACGTCTCCACCTCCGGCGCCGGGCAGGACGCCACGTCGCGGATGGCCCAGTCCAGCCACACCGGCATCCTCTGTTTCCGGTCCATGTTGAGATCAGACCTCTGGAATTGGTACTCTTCCTTGTCGACGAGGAAGGCGTAGTCGCAGGGGCTGAAGTCCACCTGTTCGCCGCGCGGCCATTGCTGGAAGGTGACGACGTTGTCGGTGAGCTCCGGCGGGATGTCGACGTGGCAGCAGCCGACGCCGGCGCACTTGCCGTTCTTGGCGCTCAGCGAGTCGCTGCAGTAGGTGACGCAGCCGGCGTAGTAGAGGCTTGTGTAGAGGCCTTTTCCCTCGCTGTCCCCGTGCTTGTTCCATGCCACGGTGTTGCATCCCAGGACGACGAACTTGTTGCGCTCGTCGGAGATGCGGTACACGCCGGTCTTGTTCAGCTCCACGTCGCCGTAGAACTGCTCGGTGACGTTGCCGCTGGAGTTGTAGCACCTGTACGCCACCGGCAGCATCACCTTCACCTCCGGCCGTGGGAACACCGTCAGATTCTGCACCTGGATGGTGTCGTTGGCGGCGGCGAGGGTGGGCACCAAGCCGCCGTTGCTTGTGTTGCAAGCGATCTCGAAGCCCGCGCTGCGGAAGCAGCCGCCGCCGATGCCGAACGGGTATGGAATGTCGACGTCGCCGCACCTCGCCTGGCAGCCGGCAGGCCGGCCGGCGATGCCCACGGCGGCGGAGGACATCAGAATGAGCAGCACTCCGGCCAATAGCCGCAACGATGCCATCCGATCGAGATATCACGTACGTGTGCTAATTATCGATCTCGGTTGATTCCTAATTGCTTCGTTCAATATATATATATGTACTTGCTCTCACCCGCGCTTGTTCATTGCCTGCAGCTTTATTATACTCCGATCGACGACCCAGTCAGGAATGGCAGAAAATTAACGACATGCTAGCTAATTACTTTCTTAAGTTTTCTTTTTAGTCTTGTCTTAAATCAAACGTTTATACTCGCTCTGTTTCGGAAAAAAAACTTGTCGTTCAGAGCAGGTACAATAGCAGGCTACAAGTTAGCTGTAAGCACATATGGAAGAGAAAAGATAGGATACAAAAGGAAAGCGGGTTACATATTTATAACTAACTGCAGCATAGACTCCAAAATATTGTGTGTATGAGAGGTGAGACCATATATTAATGTTGTAGTATATATTTATATTGTATGAAAGAGCTATTAGATTTGCTATAGATGACTTGGAGCTGGTAGCTGGCTATACTATTAAACTTGCTCTTACACAAACCGCAAAAATGTAAAAGATTGTGGGGATAATCTCATTAAATATATCCTAATTATTTTTTTCAAAGCATATGAGCCAATAGGAGTTGTGACTGTATTTATATATGATGACGAGGGTAGACAGGAAATATCATTTTTAAAAATGCTTTGCAATGTGACAACGACAACCAATGATAAGTAATATAAAATGGAAGGAGTAGCCTATAGATAATCAATTTTTGAAATTAATACAATTTATGTTGTAAATTATATATTATAAAACCATTTTCTAGAATCTAAGAACCGAAGTTTGAAATGTCAGATTTAAACTAAATTAAAAAAAACTATTGTAATTTGAAACGGAGAAAGTAGATAGGATCTAGGATTGAAAAACTAAATGTGAAAAGGACTGCACAAAACAAAAGAACAAGACAAGGTCGAGACCACAATGTGCCACATGGTGCAACATGCGAAGAATTGTCTAAGCTTGCAAGCCTGGCATCTATATGTTGAAAACACGCCCTTTTTTTTAAGAATTCAGAACTTAAAAGGAGAGGATTTCAAAGCTGTCTTAGTCGGACAGTCAGAATGAGAGCATAAGTGAGAAATATTTTGACAAACTATTTGATTCAGATTTTGTCTAGATTTATCCCTGGTTTTTTTGGCAAGAAAGTCAGCCATCTTATTAACCTGTCTTAAAATCCATTTGATGTTGAGAGCCTGTGTTCTGGAAATAAGTTCTGAAAGTAAAGGATTTAAGCTCTAATGATGATACTGAGAATAATAGACTTGAACCTGCAAAAGGCTAACTAATTCCCTATTGTCTGATAAAAGAGTAACATCAATAATATTTAACTTTCGACAAATCAAAAGTTAAAGCAAAAGGGATCTACTTGTCCAGAATATTATCTCAAGAATACTGCTTTGACTTGTACGTAGGTATATAGAGTGGCAGCAGACAGATTCCTACCTAAAAATTTGTTTAAACGTCCTAGAACTTACTCCAAAGGTGTGTTTAGTTCGCGTCAAAATTAGAAGTTTGGTTGAAATTGAAACGATATAATGAAAAAGTTGGAAGTTTATGTGTGTAGAAAAATTTTAATGTGATAGAAAAGTTAAAAGTTTGAAGAGAAATTTTGTAACTAAACTCGGCCTAATTTAGGTATGCATGTGAACTGTACCGAGTTCACAAAATCAATTGACTGCTGCGCCCACAATCACGTGGTAATCACTTGGGACACCAATGGCATCTTTCATGAGACCCGATTTGGTAGACAGGGTAATTTGTAACGATTTGTGATAGAGAAACGGATTGCTCTAGCTGCTGATGTGGACAGTATATCCGGCAACTAAATATCTTTTTTATCGTTACTGTTCTCTAAAAATAGATGCTACGCTGTAACGTATAAATGGTGGGAAGTTGGGATCCGCCCCAGGGGATATGTTGAACATCGATATGTTGAAAACTTTTGTTCCACACAAAAGTTTTACACCCTATCATATCGAACGTTTGACAATGTGGTGCTACAGTAAATATTTGCTAATGACGGTTAATTAGGCTTAATAAACTCGTCTCGCAATTTACAGGTGGATTATGTAATTTATTTTATTATTAGATTACGTTTAATACTTTAAATGTGTGTCTATATCCAATGTGACACAGCAAAAAAAATTTACCCCGGATCTAAACACATCCTAAGCTTGTACACCATTTTTATATCCAAAAAATCTCGGTAGAGAAAGACTTCAGAGCTAAACAGTGTTTCAAACCTTGCTTGGGCTAGGTAAAATAGTCAAAGTAGCTTGCTTGGTTCTCTAGCTAGCAAATATCAATTTGTGATTACAATTATTTTTGAAAATAGGAACGTTAACATAATAAGTGTCAACTTATCTTGCAGTATTTCAAGTCCTAGCTAGCTGAGCCCTTCTATATATATATATATATATATATATATAAAAAGCAAATCCAGACATGAATATAGTACTGACACTATAAATCAAAATTGTGTTTTTTTTTGTGTGATGTGTAGATTGAATTTAGTACTTATTGTTTGTAAACAATGTAATTTTATGTATGTTTGAGATAATCGAATGTTACATTAATTAATGAAAACAATCTGTGCAAGTAGTACCAAATCGAGAAAAAGTCTAAATACTAGATGTGACAAAAACATCTATGCAAGTAGTACCAAATCGAGACAAAGTCTAAATACTAGATGTGACAAAAATAACAGGGTCAATGTCAGCTAGTGAGATGGCGGGAAATAAGTTTTATCGTCGAGAGAAAAGCAACCCAGTTTGCCCGCTGTTGACGGAAAACACGGCGGTCTGTGATCTGCTTAACTCCAGTGTAGATCCAAGGCTAGTCTCGAGTGTGTTAAGGATGTGTGTTAACAGTGAAATTTGGTAAGCTCCGAAGTCATCATCGGTCTAGTGCCAATATCGGTTTCAGAGTCCTGGAATCGGCCGACGGGAATTATCAAGTCGCCAATAGTCGGATTATTGCTATATTCGGTTAAAGAAATTAATCTACTAAAGGAAGTTTATCCAGAAGAGACCGAGTTCAAAGATGATGCGCCATGACAATTTATCTATTAGTTATGAATAGTCTGTTAGTTTCCTTTTATCTTTAGGAAAGTGTGTTTAGTGTCCAATAAGGACTTCTATCTTTAGGAGTCTTTTTTTCCAACAAGAACTAGTTATCTACCCATGGGTATAAATATGTACACTCAGGATCATTGTAAACTATATTCACATATCAATAAACTTCGTCGCATCGCTACTCTTTTTACTTTTCTACATTTTCGGCGAGTTCATGCTCCGACAAGGAGTAAGACTTGTTATGGTTGTTTTTGCATCGGCGGGGCTAGGGCTTCGACACTCCGATCTTGTCAATATAAGCACTTACTATCATATATCTTAGTTAATCTAGCTTGGTAGTTCGATTTACTTGTATCGGCTGAGATTCGCTTTAGGTTTTTTTGTCAGGATCAGCTAAATCGCTTTACCAGATTAGATTAGCTAATATATCTACCACCCTGAAAATCAGTCAAGGACTTGATTGTCTAGATATTATGTTTCTTTTCATACTTAGTGCTGCATCAGTTAAGTTTGATCTACTAAGTCGAGCTTAGAATCATAATCACTAGTCTGCTTGTTGATTGCCAATAAGGGTTTCATTGGGGTTTTAGCCGATGAGATATCTGGATATTGCATCGGCTTATAAGGATTGCATACAAGTTGGATTTAGCCGATAAGAATAAAGGTTTTACTATTTATCTAATCATTTAGAAAAAAAAAAGTGTGTATACGAACAACAGGCCAGTACGTCAATGGCATAACACCTATCAGTCTGGAAGAATTATACTAAGTACATCTAAGGACTGAAGCTAGTTCTTATTCCTGAAACAATCTATTGACTTATTAAAGGTATAAAAAAAAACCCTCCACGTTCGCTCTCACGGTCTAGAAATTCTCATATTAATCGGAGAAAAAGAAAAATAAAGTCCATATAGAAATATAATTTAGAAATAATTGAAGTTCGGAATTAAAAAAAGGAATATTAGAATAGGAGACTAGAGTCCATATAGAAATACAATTTCGAAATAACTAAAATTCGAAATTAAAAAATAAAGAATATTAGAAGAAGAGTATAAAGTCTATATAGAAATACAATTAAGAAATAATAAAAATTTAGAATTAAAAATAAGGAATATTAGAAGTAGAGTATAGAGTCCATATAGAAATTTAAAACTAACTAAAATTCATAATAAAAATAATAAAATTAAAAGTGGAGTTTAGAGTCCGTATAAAAATACAATTTACAAAGAACTAAAATTCATTAAAAAATGGGAATAAGAGTTTAAAGTCAATATAAGAATACAATTTAGAAGTAATTGAAATTCGAAATTAAAAATTAAAAAATATTGAAAGATGAGTTTAGAGTCCGCGTAGAAATACAGTTAGAAATAATAAAATTTAGAACTAAAAATAAATAATATTTGAAGAATATAGAAATACAATTTACATATAATGAAAATTCGGAATTTAAAAATAAAAAATATTGAAAGACGAGTCTAGAGTCCGTATAGGAATATAATTTAAAAATAACTAAAATTTGATATTAAAATAATTAATAACTAACACGTATATAAAATACAATATAAATATTACACATTAGTAGTTTCATAAAGTTAGTACAAAATTTAAAATTATGTTATCATTTTAATATATTTTAATAATAAATTGAGAAAACATATATGCTATTATATAAGAGAAAATATAATGATGCTAGCAGCGTAATCTGCGGGGGCTAGAATGCTAGTTTAATATAAACGACGACCTTCACTAGAAATGGTAGTAGTGGCCTCTTGCACGGAATTTTTTTTTGAAAATAATACAATTTTAATGGAAAATTACAAAAATATATGTCGGTTAGACGAAATTATAAGTTTAACACCCTGTCAAACAACCGTGGTTTGACAGGGTACCTATCGAACAACCGTGGTTCGACAGTTGATAAAATAATTAAAAAACAGAATAAACACTGTAGCCCCTATCGAACGCTGCCCATTCGATATGTCCTCCGATCGTTCTTTGCTGGTTCGATATATCCCTACCGAGTACTCATGTACTTTTTTTTATTTTTTTCCTGGACCACCTACTCCACAGTTCGACAGGTACATGTCGAGTTGATCTATATTTTAACAATTTTCTATTAAAATCATATTATTTTTTTAAAAAAATCTCTTGCACGAGGAGGAGGATGGCGGCGACAGCTATCCGGTGGTGGTGTTTGTAACTGTGGTGGCAGCTTCCTCAGCGGTTCGACGAACGGGCTCCGGACGAGAGAGGCGGCAGCGGGATCATGGGATGGCTCGTGCTCGCTCCCTCCTCCCCTCTCGTGCGTAGCACCGCCGATCTGCCAATCTGCCATGTTTATTTGTTTGCTTGGCCTTTTGGTTCGTTGATTGTAGCTGTGTTTAGATCCAAACTTCAGTTCTTTTCCATCACATCAATCTATCATACACACACGACTTTTCAGTCACATCATCTCTAATTTCAACTAAAATACAAATTTTGAATCCAACTAAACACAGCCTGAGAAAATTAACCAGGCTCCTAGATCTCGTAAATCTCGGATTGTCGGTTGGGTGGATGGATTCGATATCCCATATTCCAAACTGATGTGCACAAAAAATTGCCAGTTGCTTGATTTTTATTGAATTACAAAATTCATTTCTGCAACTAGTATAATCTCTTATGTTATTTTTGGGACTTGGGTGCTATCTTTGAAGTGAAGACTAGTCAAAAATGTACTATTTGGCTCACGAGCGAAACGAGGTAGCTCGAGGTGCCATGCGAGCTGACCTCCCGTCATCACCCGCACGGTTGCCTGTGCTGACCCCGACCTTCTACTGTTGCCAGCATCGTCCTTGGCAGCCGCTAGCCACCACCTGCCTGCCCCGATCCGAGCGAGAATATATGCCAGATCTAGCTAGCCAAGGGAGCACCGAGATCTGACAAGGAAGGAAGGAAGGGATGTCGGATCTAGCCACAGGAGCACCGGACACAAGCTTTGCGACCCCGTACCCGTAGCGTGAATTCACGACGACTAGCTCTCGGCGACACCGCGGCGGCGACTCATGGGTCGCTGCCTCCTCCCTTCCTCCTCGGCGGCGAGCTTCTGGGTGCAAGCTGTTCGGCGGTATGCCTAAGCGGGGTGCCCAACCAAACTGCAACTGACGCTCAGGTCACCACCGCCCAACTCACAACTGATTTCTTCTTCTTCTTTCTTCTTCTTCTTCTTCTTCTTCTTCTTCTTCTTCTTTCTTCTGCAAACCAGTAGTAGAATCTTGCAAGGGTCTGGTTAAGTAACTAACACACGCCATTTTCTGTTTGCTCGGTGGGAAAAAAACTAGTGACCATAGTAACACTCTTATTATGTGTTCTGCCTCAATTGAATTTATATATTTCTTTTTTTTTAGTGAAAACTTATATGTCCAAGTTGTAGTTTTGGAGGAAATGTTTAAAGAATTTAGACCTTGATCGGTTAATCCCTACCACAAGGGGATTAAGGGGGATTTGGAGGGGATTTATTCCACCCCTCCAATCCCTCCCGATTAACCAAACAAGCCCTTAGGGATGTAGATGGTCATGTGTTTCTTCAACACTGATGAGATTCCCTCTAGATTTTATAGGCCAATTCATTAAAATGATAATTGTATCTCTCTTGTATAACTCGTTGATGTTATGATAACCCTCTAGATTTCGTTGGTGCTTCATGTCTTATGTATAAATCTGGTCATGAAGCTGTGTTCTCTCTGTGCCTCGTGGAAGAATACACAAACATGGCAAGATTAAGTAAGCTAAGGGTGGCCATCATCCAGAAGAAATAGTCCAGATGGCCCTCATTCAGATTATCCGGAATCCACCCAGGTGCTCCACTGCTCGTCGTGATCACTGCGACAGCGCCAAGCACGAACGTGTTGAAGTAAGCTCCTGAAGCGATTGCGAGCTGCCCAAGCGCTGCGCAAACGCTCTTCATGCTGTCTGGCGCCTGGTCATAGAAGAACTGTGACATACCGATGCAGCTGAAAATCTCTGAAACCCCTTGCAGAAAGTATGCTGGTGTCTGCCACAGGATACTCATTGGAGCAGCTACATTGTGGTCTGCTAAGCCACTTGATTGCACGATTGCCAGCCGCTTCATCTCGAGCAATGCTGCGTACACCATCATGATCATGGACAGTGAAAGGCCGATTCCGATGCGCTGCGCATGTGAGAAGCCTTTGTCCTGTCCGGTGAAATGCTTCACCAGTGGCACTGATATGATCTCATACACAGGAACCAAGACAAGGACGCTGAGCACGGCGATGATGGTGAGGGATGCAGGTGGGATTGCAAATGAACCAACATGGTTGTCCATGGCCATTCCCTGCTCAATGAACGTTGAGGACATCTGCCCATTGACCGCGAAAAAGATCACGAAAGATGCCCAGGTGGGGAACATCCGCAGCAGCATCTTCAGCTCCTCAACTTGTGTCACTGTGCAGAGCGACCATGAGCTCATGGGCTTGATGCACGTTTCGTCTGATGGGGGCAGTACAATGGCTGCCTTGTCAAGGAACCTGAAGAACACAAGAACATGGTTATAACTTATAAGGAGGATGGATTCTAAAATGGTTATGAAAAAATTCCAAAAAAATTTGAACTTACATGTTTGTGAAGTGATATATTACATATTAACCTATCATGTTAATTTTTTTGAAAATTTTTCATAACCATTTAGGTGGCATGCAAGAAACGGGTGGACGTCCACCCGAGTGTTTAAAACCATAGTTATTAAGACCAGACCGGAAAAAACCGGAACCAGAGCCTCCAGTTAAAAGACCGGATATGCAATCAAGCCGGTATAAACCGGTTAGGCCGGCCGGTTTTTATGAAAAACCGCTATGGAACCGGAGAGAAAACCGTTGCTGAACCGGCCTCAGGCAGCATGTGTATGCAAGGGAGCGGTGGGGGGAAAATGAAGGTAAAATATGCTTTTGGGGGGATTCGAACACAGGACCACGTGCGAGGGAGGAGATTTAGCAACCACTGGGCTAGCATCCTTGTTGTGTTAGAAAGGAATAAGTAATATATTTACTAACTATTGAACCGGGTTAACCACAATGAACCATCAAACCAAGAGCCTCACCGGTTCAATTACCGGTTCGGTTTCAATAACTATGTTTAAAACAGTTTCCCAACTTATAAGTGGTAATTTCTGTTCCAACTTTGCAATTTTCAAGTGGCATATTCTACCGACATATTTATTTCAATATTTCCTAAGATGATTCAGGAGCAAATTTGTTGTTTGTCACCCTCTGACCATACTTGCAATATTTCATAAGCTCAAAACATGGTAACTGTTCCTCAGATGTCAAGTCTTACGTACAGTTTTTTTTTTTTTTTTTTTTTGGGGTGGGGGGGGGGGATAATTGAAGTACCTGAATTGATTGGTGGGCTGAATTTTATGACTTGCTTCAGTTGTTGAAGATGAATTGGATGGCTCATATAAAAGTGACTTATTTTCTGGCAATTGCAGATGGCACTTCCTAACAGCTGCAACAATCACCTGACAGAGGCTCTTGAGGGGGCTAAATCCCAGGTTCCTAAACCTGTAAACTCTTGAGCCGGCAATGAATACAGGGAAACTGATGATCATGAACACAGTCGGGATTGCGCAACCCACCCCCCATCCAACATTGTCTTGCAACCAAACAAGCACTGTGCTTGACAGCAAGGTGCTGACAGTAGTCATGTAGAAGGACCAACTGAAGAAGGAGGCCTTCTTCGGTAACTCCTCCAGATCAGTGCTATCAAACTGGTCGGCCCCAAAGGATGAAGTGCATGGTTTCATTGCACCACTCCCAAGGGCAGCAAGATAGAGCCCTAGATACACTACGGAACGATGAACATTGCCATGTTCAGAAGATGTCAAGAACATTGGAAGTGATGCTGAAACTGTCACGATGAGCATTCCCTGACAAAATGGAAATATTCAGAGTCTGCAGAAGGTACTAGCTGATAGTGCAGACCATATCTGTGAGCTGCATTTGCGCTTACAGTGATGTACACCGGGAGGAAAACAACAATTGTCCAGTATCTGCCCCAATAAGTGTCTGCCAGAAAGGCACCAACAACCGGTGTGAGGAAGCAAGCTCCAACCCAGGCAGAGACATTTCTGGCAGCATCGACCTTGCTTTCGTGGAGCACAGTGGTGAGGAATGTGACTAGATTCCTCGAGATTACAAAGTAGGTCATGTTTTCACAAAATTCAACACCTGGTATGCATAAAAACATTCACAAATCACAACAGAAGAAGACAAACAGTTTGAAAATGATGTTTATTTGTTGCATCAGTTGCTCTCTAGTACCTAAAATCAAGAAGCACGCCCTCCAGTTCCCTGTGCTGTGCTTCAGGGCTGGCTCCTTGTTGATGTCAACTGAACCATCCCTTGTGTATTCTGAACCTACATCCTGCATTAGAATACAGAAATCCTTGAGTTTTCAATTGAAAGCTGCAAAATCAAAGTGCTCCCTTTACATGCTGATAAGTTTGGGAGATTTGGTGTGAACGAAACCGGCGAGTTTTCAAAAAACTCGCAATGCCACACTAGGTGACGAAGATATGGATGAAATCCAACACATGGATAGGATCTGGGGCAAAAGATTTAGCGAGATTAATGCTGTAGCCTTCCTGCGATACTTGTAGGTCTGCTTTTTTCTCTGCTCCCTCTTGTCTGTCCGTCGTCTCCTCTGTTTTTTTTTCTTTTGCTCCTTCTCTGTTTCTCACCGTTTTCGGTGATGCTGTACAGTTTCCTCCCCGTTTAATATAAAACCAGCAAAGCTGGCTCAGGAAAAAAAGAAAGCTGCAAAATCTTTTCAGACAACTTGAGAATAGGAGACCATATTCTTGCTTCTTATTTTTCACTCAGAACTCATAATATTGTTGATGCACTCCTTTAGGAAATATGGATACCTGGTATATCTCTCATTTTCTGTGTGTAATCAAACATGGGGTCCTATATGTGTACTGCGCACTATTAATTCTTTTTATCCTTCTGGATATTCAGAAATATCCCAATTATTGTCCAATAAAAACATATAAGATAGCCAAATTGCTGAATTTCTCTTTTGAAATTGATTTAAGACCTGCAGGTCGTCAGATGTTATAACTGAAGGTAAATTCCAAAGGAGAAATGATACAACTGATGGAGAAATTCTCTTCTGTCCCAAGTTCTCAGCTGAGGCAACTATCAAACCGAAGCATTGTATATCTTGATAGAAGAAGATAAGAGAAGAGAATACCTGAGATTGGAGAGGAAGCAGAGGCCTCTCCTCTTCTATGGCGGCCATGGCTGCAGGCTAAGAGATGGAGCACAAAAAGGTGAGAACGAGAGGAGGTTTAAGCAACGGGAATGGGCACTCAACTTAAAGACAACCAGTTTGTTGTCAAGCGTCCCTACACAAATCGCTCACTCTTCCTAGTGACACATTTGAGACTTTGGGGACATAAAGAATCCATTGAAGCTATATGTCCTTTTCTTCAAACTTTTGTACCACACAAATTGTCCTTCGAATGCTGATAACTAGACACCTTATTGATGTATTGAAGATTTTTAAAAAATATTATGAAAACACTTAGTGCCCCACAGGAGTGGATACTGGATAGCAGTATTAGTGCCCTCTTAGGTACGGCCTGTACTACCGAGCTTCTTCATATTAGCTCTGTGATTTTGACATGTAACTGCATGGGCAGAATCAAAATCACGGAGGTAGTAAATAAAGATTTACTTCCTCCATTCTAATATAAATGTAAAATAGTACAAATACGATATATTCTAAAACTACGAATCTAGGTAGTCAACGGTTCAGATTCAGTCTTAGAATATATCATATATGTACTACGTTGCATTTGGGATCGAGAGAGTATTTCAGTACTTTTGATAAAATTTAACAGAAAATGTGAGCAACCATAGACTAAAATTGCCATGATATTTAGAGCCTGCGCCGACATGCTGATGCAGGTGTAACTGTGGAACCCATGGCCAAAAAGATAGTATCCCTGGTGAATGCTCTCTTTTATTTATCTCGTTTTTACGTTCTTCCTGCCAACGTCGAATATGTGGTTGAAAATTTTTGCCCGTGGTGTGTTCGGAAATTTTGGCCCGTTATCCATGGGCCTTAGCCCTTAGACCTGCATACCACAAACACGGCTGTCCATGTGGACAGAGTACAGAACAGTCCAATCGGAAGTGGGCTGCTAAATACCATATCCTCCTATTATGTTCTTACTTTGTCGTCCATTTCAGGTGAAGTCCAATTTACTCCTTTTAATTATTGCAATAGTCTTCTATAAAAAAACAAAAGCTATTGCGATACTCCGATCTTACTCCATAATTTTGATATCGGACACTTGGTGTCCTTAACTTTTCAAACCGAATGAATTGCTCTCTCAGTCACAAGTAGAAGACGGCTTAAGCTTAGGTGAGGCCCGTAGTAGACATATATCTTTGGTTCATCGGGACATTTAATTATTTGTCACTGTTAAGATCTGCCAATTAATGATTTGCCACTCGTTGTTTATGATATATGGGCCCTCATATGTGGGTCCCTATGTGTTTATAACATGTGGATGTGGGTCTAGTGACAAATTATTTAGAACTACTCGTAAGAGTGGCAAATAGTTAATTATTCTTGGTTCATAACTCTGCATATGCAATGATGTAGTTATTTTGAAGAACGCTCGCTTAAGTCTCGCTCGGTTATTCGCAAACTTAGGCATATTGAAGGGGATTTTATTTCATGCTTGTTGTAATGTGAAATTATTACTTTTTTAATCTTATTCGGTTAGTTTCAAAGAGAAAGCGATTGGAAGGGATTAAGGGGAATTAATGCCACACCTTAGAGCAAGTATAATAGTGAGCTATAAGTCTACTATAATCTTACGTGGAGTAGAGAGATAACACAAATATCAAGGGTGTTGACTCTCATGTAAGAGCTAGCTTAACACAAACTTCCAGACAAATACATTAAATGTATAAGTGAGATAAAGAGAGGAGAAGAAAATCGTAGCCAACCTTGTAGCTAATCTATTATATATGTTGGCTTTAAGATGGGCTAATAGCAGGAACTGAGCTCTATTATTTATCTTTGCTCTTAAAAGGTGTGTAGTTATTATCTTCCAAATTCTCCTTAATCCTTTTGTTGGTAGGATTTTAATCGAACAAATGTCTTAATTACCTTTAATCCTTTTCTAGACCTTCCTTTAGGGATTAACGGAACAAAATTAACCTTAGTTAGAGCAGGTTTAATAATATCGTCAATTTGCTAGCTATAAAACAACCACATCGTCTATAGCCCGTTACTATAGGCTGCTCATATAACAATGGTCTTTATTACTATCATTTGTGGTAACAGCTAATATATATTTTAATTGATATGGGTCCTACTAATTACTACATTATTTACTATTGTTCCAAGCACGAACCAATCTCCATCAGGCTTATTTCTCTTTCTTCATTGCACCGCGTGCTACAGCCGGTGATAATTCTATCGTCGACTCGTGGTCTCTCTCTACCATTCCCAACGCTATCGCCAGTCCAGCTAGGTTGGCCTATTAGACATGCTCTTAGGTCAACGTTGCAACATATGATACACATCCAAGATATCAGATTCATCTCGTGTGCTTTAGTTTTGATGACTGACCGACAATATATGTTTCAACCACTGTACAACATTGATGTCGGAGATTATTTCATTACACTCGAAGGTTGACGTCACAAACTATGCACCACAAGTTCGGCCGGGTCGTGCATTCTGTTCTGATATTTTCGATATGATTGGGACGGCACAACCGTACATTGAAATTTTGGCATATTTACCAATAGTTTTCATGCAATTTGTGCCAATCATAAAGGACGTACGTAGTACGTATACCACTGCCGTCAGCAACAGTTGTGTGGAATTGCAGCTGTTGCGCATATATTTACATTGCCAAATATGCCATACGTCATCCAATGGTGGTGACGATTTTTTTTTTAAAAAAAAATAGCATACATTACAATGTCTCCACAAACACGTAATAACATTAATTTCAATCTACACATCATATAACCAAAAACACAAATTTGAAATAAATAGTACTATCACGAATTCACGATGCATCACCGAATTTGTTTATTATATATTCTTCATTTTGAATAAATTAATTTTGAAGTTGATCTGTTGTATCACTACTAGAAAAAAGATTTTTCATGGCGTTGCCCTATGATTTTCGCTGGCGGAAAAAATACGAAAACCGCCAACAAGTACATAATGAGGGGGGTGAGGGGCACTTATCGCCAGTGAAAATGGATCTTCACTGACGGCAGCGTTAGACGGGCCGCCAGCGAGATATCTTTATTTTCACTGGCGAACCACTTAAACCACCGCCAACAAAAATGGAGAATCTTCACTAGCGTTTAGTTAAGAGGTCCGATTGTAAAAATAAAGTTATTTTCGCTTGCTGCTGCTAAAGAGGACCGCCAGGAAAGTTAGCCACATGATAATATAAACGCGTCCCCATCGATATTTTCTCTCTCTCTCTCTCTCAAGTCTCAGCACTGCACCGTGCCTCCTCCTCCTCCACGCCCGCGCCTCTTCCCCATTCCCACACCCACGCCTCTCCCCCTCCTCTCGGCAGCCGGCAGCCTGCGACGGCGACGCCAGCGATACGCACATGGTGCACGGGGCGCGGAGCTGACCGTGGATGGTGCGGCCTCCCCTTGCCCTCCAGATCTGGCGAGTCTCCTTCCTCCTTCCTCCTCGTCGAGCTGCCGCATCGACCGGCGCGAGAGAGGCGCCGGCGGCAAATCCGGCCGCCAGAGGGCCGCAGGCGGCAAATCCGGTCGCGGGAGAGGCGCGGGCGTCGGATCTGTCCGCCAGACAGCAGCGGGAAGTGCTCGGGCGGCGGGAGTGGCGCGGACGACGGATTCAACGTGGTGAGGGTGCGGGCTTCGGCAGGCGGTGGTGGTCGCGTGCACGCGCTTCGGCTCGGGCGTGGGCTTCGGCGGGTGGCGACGATGGCGGCGGCGGTGGTCTCGCGGGCGGGCTTCGGCGGGCAGCGACAACAGCGACCGCGCGGCGACCACGACGGCGGCCCTGGGCTGCCTTGAGCGGGAGCTCGACGACGGCAACTTGGCTCCCTCACCGATGGCAACCTGTTGTTGTTTTGGGATTGTGACTGTGATTTACTTCTGCAGCTAAATGTGAACTGTGATTGGGGATTTGGGACAATGATTTAGGATTTGGGGACAATAATTTCGAATTTGTGATTTTCTGCAGGTTGTTATGGATCCAAATTTTCAAAAAAAAAAAATTTGCTCCAAAAATATATTCGCTGTCAGGTCTCTTAACTCTGCCGCCAGCAAAAACTGACTTTTGCTGGTGGCTATCTTAGCTTGGCCGATTTTCGCTGGCGGCCGACTTAACTTTGCCGCCAGCGATAACTGATTTTTTCTGGCGGTCGGCTGTCCGCCAGCACAAATGACTTATTTTCACTGGCGACACTGGCGGCACAGCCAGCCGTCAGCGAAAACATGTTTTGGCCGGCAGGAAAAACCTTTTTTTAAGTAGTGTATGATCGATGGATGATACATGCTATGTTAATACTCCCTCCGTTTCGTTTTATTTGACGCCGTTGACTTTTTATCACATGTTTGACCGTTCGTCTTATTCAAAAACTTTTGTGAAATATGTAAAACTATACGTATGCATAAAAGTATATTTAATAACGAATCAAATGATAGGAAAAGAATTAATAATTATTTAATTTTTTTGAATAAGACGAGCGGTCAAACATGTGCTAAAAAGTCAACGGTGTCAAATAAAACGAAACGGAGGGAGTATAATGTTGCTAAGCAGGCAGGGCACACTATAAGAAAATGGATCAGTACGTGTGAATGTTGTGCTGGCTAAGGATACAAGAAGTTCAACGTTTGAGTTTGACGATTTGAGGATGGTGCAATCTGCTAGTGCTAGCTAGGTTTGTCCACACAAATTTAAACTATAAAAGGTACTCCAATTTCTCTCTTTGATATATTAATTAATGGACAATATGCATGTACACAAGAAACGGGTACCAATCTAATCATATCCACATTTTGCTCGATATATCGTACTGGCCAGTACTGCCTCTTAATTATCACTACGTAAGCAAAATTAGTAATACTAATTGTATTATTGTATTGCCAAGTAGTGACAGGTGTAATGGGAAAGTGGATAGGAATAAGGTGTTATGAAAATTAAAGATGCCTATAAAAGTGAAGATTTTTATTTGCTATTTAATCAAAGGAGTTGTGTTGACTAAAGATAATTTAGCAAAAAGAAATCGGAATGGTAGTACAAACTGTTGTTTTTTATGTATAATGAAACTATCTAACATCTATTCTTTAAATGTCATTTTGCTAAATTTCTATGCAGAGCAGTCTTCATTTCCTTTGGTTTGCGAAGTCCCTGTAATGTCTCTCACATTTTGGGAACCGGCCTGTTGGCATGAAGTCAAAAACCAAGAAATATATTTTAATTGGTGCATTTGCATTATGTTAGGCTTAATGGCTTAATAGAAATGACATGGCTTTTAACATAACTCCAACAAAATGGTATATGTAGGTATTATTCAGATCAATATATTGGCTTCGATTCTGGATCAAGCTACAAAGATGTGAAGAGGACAAGGAAGCCATGCACACCGAATGTAGAAATTTAGAGTTAATTGTCATGCAGATTTTCACCAACTTTGTATAACGATTTAGCAATAGACTTGAACTTTGAATTAGATGTTCATTTCTTGTGATTGGTGTTGGTGTGTTGGTTTTTGTCATCTTTTTGTCTCCCTTTCTTTTATTTTGTTATACTTTACTTGGACTTTGATCCAAGAACTAAGTGGCTGAAGTTTAACTCAGTTGAAGCAAAGAGTGGGTTTACAACTACTCCCTCTGTTTCATATTATAAGCCATTTTGACTTTGGTATAAAGTCAAACTACTTCATATTTGACTAACTTTATAGACAAATCTAGTTATATATATTTACAACACCACACTAGTTTTATTAAATCAATAATTGAATATATTTTCGTATTATATTTATCTTGGGTTGAAAATATAACTATTTTTTTATATAAACTTGGAGCAGTTTGATTTTGACCAAAGTCAAAACGACTTATGATCTAAAAAGCGGGGAGTGTTATGTAAAACGCATAAGTTCAAAGATTTAACCAGGTGCAATATATATGCTAGGTGCTCCACACACTATACAAGGTATTTTCAGTCTCTCTCTCTCTTTTTTTATTACACGCAACACCATACTCATATATCTACGAGTACGTCCTCTAACACAAACTATACAAACTATAAGAGACGAAAACCAATTATAATGGACATAGGAAAAAGTACCAATATATTATATCTGCATTAATTTTCCTTGATTATATATATTGGCCGCTTACTCTTATCACTATGTAAGCAAAATTAAATTCATATTTCCTCCGTGCCAAAAATAAATTTATCTTAGTGTTGGACGCTCAAAACAAATATAGTGGAAAAAAGATTAAAGAGTCATTCATCAGTACCAAAGCAGTATTATTGGGTGGATTGGTAAAGAGTATGGAAATAATAAATTTATCTTAGTACAAAGGGTAGACGAACTAAATTCTAGAAATGGAGTTATTTTAGTAGCAAGTGACAGATCGTTGATTTCTGCTCTCCATATATATATATATATTCCTTGACTGGATCATATCGTCGTCGATCCAATTGAAATATAAATATGCGCGGGAAGAGGTAGCTGTTGCACAGAAGTTGAATGGCGTTCTGGCTAATTGCCGCCGGCGGCCTGCTGCTTCTTCTCCGTTTCGCTTTCGCCGCCGACGGAATCACCGGCTGCCCGGATAGGTGCGGCGACGTCGATATCCCTTATCCATTCGGCATCGGCCCCAACTGCTCCCGCGGGGACGGCTTCGACATCGCCTGCAACACCACCAACAGCACCGGTGTCCTAGTGCCCACCCTCGCCGCCGCCCGCCGCCATGCCATCCAGGTCCAGAAGCTGACGGTGTTCCCGCGGCCGGAGGTGAAGGTGATGCTGCCGGTGGCGTACACGTGCTACAACTCCGGCGGCAACGTCACCAGGCAGTTCGACGGCGACGTGGAGCTCAACAACGAGGGCGTGTACCGCATCTCCGACGAGCGCAACATGTTCGTCGTCATCGGCTGCAACACCGTGGCGTGGAACCAGCACGGGGACAGCGGTGGCAAAGGCCTCTACCGCAACCTCTACTACGCCGGCTGTGTCACCTACTGCAGCGACTCGCGGAGCGCCATGGACGGCAAGTGCGCCGGCGTCGGCTGCTGCCACGTCGACATCCCGCCGGAGCTCACCGACAACGTCGTCTACTTCGAGCAATGGCCGCGCGGCGAACAGGTGGACTTCAGCCCCTGCGACTATGCCTTCCTCGTCGACAAGGAGGAGTACCGATTCCGGAGGTCGGATCTCAAAATGGAGTTGAACCGGAGGATGCCGGTGTGGCTAGACTGGGCCATCCGTGACCGCCGCGGCAACGACTCCTCCGTGGCGTCCTGCCCGGCGCCGGAGGTGGAGAAGAAGAAGCCGGCCGGGTATGCCTGTGTGAGCGCCAACAGCGAGTGCGTCAACTCCACCAATGGCCCGGGATACTACTGCAATTGCAGCAATGGTTACGAGGGTAATCCCTACGACAACGATGGATGCCAGGGTAAGAATGTTTGCTCATGCATTTAATTCTCTACAACATTTTTTTTAGTCAGGTTGGGCCAGAGCCCAACTAAATCTTATTAAGATTGGAGAGAAAAAGTTACTCCCTCTGTTTCATATTGTAAGACTTTCTAGCATTGTCCACATTCATATAGATGTTAATGAATCTATATGCACATATATGTTTAGATTTATTAACATCTATATTAATGTTGGCAATGCTAGAAAGTCTTACATTATGAAACGAAGGAAATATATAAATAACAATTTACATCGATATTAAGCCAATGAAAACGCACTACCACATAACCCCTACTTATGTCAGTGCACCGACCCACCTAACATAATATATTAACGGTCAGAGATGACGTGGATCATCTACATATGGAAATTGGCATGTGGGCTAAGGCCCATATAGACAATAATTGTTAGGGAAATCATTAAGACCCATTTCAAAAAAAAAAAATGGATGTAGTATATATGTAAATATTTAGTACCATCGTCTTGCTAATTCTAGAAGATGGATAACTTCTTAAAAGAGGGTGAGTGTGCGCTCTCCTAGCCACTTTAGTAATATGTGGTGAAGATAGCTAGTGAAACACGTGCTTTCGCTCGTCTCGCATGTGCACGCGATAAACACTTGAATGGTTCACCATGGTGACCCCATCTATAATGGGTTACCAACAAAAATAATAATAATAATAATAAATGGTGACCCATAACTGATCGCGCAGCCAAGATAAAGGAAAATGCAACCAAAAAATGTGCTAAGATAAAGAAAAATACAACAAAAAATGTGCTGAAAATACAACTAAAATTGTGCCCGTAGGTCAGCTCGCCAGTGCTGTCAATATGCCTGACTACTCGTAGCTATTAGCTGCTCCAGGGAGACAATATGTCAAGGCAGGCTGTCGCTATCCACATAGAGGAGCAAAATAGAGATTATGCATCGAAGGAGAGCAGGGCAACACCAAGGAAGCTTGAGAAGAGGGAAGATGGTTGACTAATCAGATCTGTCACCATTGTCATGGCCCTCAGAAAGCCCACCTTCTATTGTCAATGACATGCATTGGAACCGGAACCTCGATGAAGATGGTTGACTAACCAGGTCCCTCACCGTTGTCATGCCCCTCGGAGTTCCATCACCATCGACACGAATGTTGCTATTATTGCCATCGTGCGTTATAACCGGGACCTCGATGAAGAGGATTGACTAACCAGATCCATCACCATTGACATCCCCTCAGAAGCCCATTGCCATTGGCACGAAGGTTGATTGTCGCCACTGTGCATTAGAACCGGGACCTCATGCCATTGCACCATAAGGAAAGGGCAGACCAGTCGCACCCACCATGACCTTTAAAGCAATCAGATTAGGTGCCCCTGGGATTGGGGAATCCAAAACGGGTCTCCCCAAGGTCGAGGGATGCCGAACCCCACCGCCTCGAGCTCGGGGGTTGCTCCATGAGGCGATGGAGTTGAGGGCGTTGGCGCAGAGGCCAAGAAGAATCGATAATTAATAGATGGCAATGCTAGTGCGGAGGGACATGGTGAGCTTGGTCAAGGGGATTGCCAGTTCTCAAGGTGGAATGGAGAAGAGCCAGCGAAGGTGAGTCTTTGCTAGGTTGGCTCAGTGATGAGAAAAGAAATCTCTTAGGTGGCGCCAACCTCGATGTCTACAAAGCACATATCTGGCCTTTGGCATTAGATTGGAGTGACATGGCAATGAGGTCGGTGAGTTCTTGGGTGGCTAAGACCTTGAGGACAACGGATGGCCTCCCCTCCTCCCTAAACCCTAATCCCTTCTCCCAAGGCATAGGTGGAGCTAAATGAGATAGGCACCAATGGATCTGGTAAGGAAAGAGTGGTGGGCAGTGGTAGAGGAAGAGTGGTGGACTGCTCAGAATGAGAAAAGAGAGAGACCATGCGAGAGGAAGAGAGATATATAGAGAGAGAGAGACCATGCGAGATAGACTCGGGGATGGGCATAGGTGGTCATACATTACGTACCATCCATCGTCACATATGTATCTTATCATCTATGATGGTTCACATGTTGCCTTGTGTCACAAATGTGTTTGTGACGGTTCGTAGTTACCATCAATTACAAATAATGCTACATGTACAACGGGTTGACCCCTATGACCATATCTTAAAAGGGTCACTATTTGACCCATCAGAGATGACATTATTGAAAACAAATCTGTTTAACTCATCACAGATGATCCATCATCGATACCCATTTTTGTAGTAGTGCCAGTTGTGCATTAAAATGAAGACATTACATTAAAAACCACGAAAGCTACATAGCTTCCTTAATCAACAGGTTCTTTGAATAAACATGCTTGTTTCCAACTTTTTTTGGTGTTTTTATGTGTTTACTATAACTTTGGAGAACAATCTTGAGATGCTTGTATGACGACGTTTCAGTATGAACCCTTTCTTGATAGATGTGTATCTCTTCTTTATCAGTAAATGAGGCCGACCTTCTCTCTTTGTTTCAAAAAAATGTTCGTTTTCTCCTTGATGTTGCCAAACAATTGTCTGGATGCCCATGAGAATTTATTGAACATCCTCATATTTCTTCCTTCTAAACTAAGGTTAACTTCGAATGAACCGGCCAATGAATAGTTTATATGCACCCATGTATGCAGATATCAACGAGTGCGATCCATCCAACAAGGACAAGTACCCCTGCTATGGGGTTTGCAAGAACATTGTAGGAGATTACGAATGCAGCTGTCATACTGGTTACCAGCCAAGTGGTGGTGGTCCAAAGAAACAGGAGTGCAATCCAAAGTTTCCAGTTGCAGCACAGCTTGCCCTTGGTATGCGACTATTTATGTACCTCCGTGTATACTATTTTGAGTAAATTGAATTAATTTTACACTGATTTATTTTCATGCATACTTTGACTTTACGTTGAGTGCAATCACTAAACACCTAGTACCTAGTGTAAAATAGAAGAAGGTACACAGCGTACACTCAACTACTTTGTTTCAAGTTTGGATTTCCAGCTTCTCAAAAAAGAAGTTTGGATTTCTAGTTTTAAGGAGCCAAAATTAGGGTAGGAAAGTGCATGCAGATGCTATTATGTTGTTATAGATTAAAATAATTCTAATATAACATGTCCAATGTACATATATAATATTAATACAACAATAGTTGATAGTTATGTTCATGAAAGTGAGAATTCGCCTCTCTTTCTATTGTCACAAAATCAACTCCCTCCATCTCAAACCATAAGGCACAACCCAATTTCTTCATATCTCGTAATATAAGGCGTGTATACATGCATATATTAACTAGAACCTCTTTCTCCTCTAAATTCACTTTGTTTTAAATCCTCTACCCTCAACACCCATCTCCCCTCCCCCCCCCCCCAATAATCACATTACTTGCATGCATTGAGGTGGTCCAACCAAGGGAGTAATTAAATTATTTATTAGTCTTTGTGTTAGTGTACCTTATAGTTTGGGATGGAGGGAGTAATACAAAATCATGAATTTATTATATTAGCTCACATGAATTTGTGATCCTTCTAGGTGTCAGTTTGGGATTTTCCTTCCTGGTTGTTGTTGTTCTTTTCACACTAATGATGCTTCAAAGGAGAAAAATGAACGAATATTTCAAAAAGAATGGTGGTTCAATACTACAGAATGTGGACAATATTGTGATTTTCTCCAAAGATGAGATGAAGAAAATCCTAAAAAACAATTCAGAAGTTATTGGTCAAGGAGGCTTTGGTAAGGTCTACAAAGGTAGACTTAAAGACAATACCCTGGTAGCAGTGACGACTTCAATTGAGGTAACTGAAGCTCAAAAGGAGGATTTCACAAACGAAGTTATCATACAATCGCGAATGATGCACAATAACATTATCAAGCTATTGGGCTGTTGTTTGGAGATGGATGTTCCAATGTTGGTATATGAGTTTGCCGCTAATGGTAGCCTAAAAGACATTCTCCATAGTGATGCCAGTCACCTAGTCCCTCTCACACTAGATCTACGCCTAGACATTGCAATTGAATCTGCAGAAGGTCTAAGATACATGCACTCGTCCATAAGTCATACCATACGGCATGGTGATGTTAAGCCCGCCAACATACTTCTAACTGACAAGTTTGTTGCAAAGATCTCCGACTTTGGGACATCCAAGCTTCTTACTGTAGACAAAGAATTCACCATGGTTGTGGCAGGAAGCATGGGGTACATAGACCCAGTGTTCTATATGACTGGTCACTTAACACAAAAAAGTGATGTGTTTAGTTTTGGAGTTGTATTGCTGGAGCTCATCAGCAGAAGGCAAACAATATATGGCAAGAACCGCAGCCTCATTATTGAGTTCCAAGAGGCATATGATCAAGCAAATAGTGGGAGGTTATTGTTCGACAAGGATATTGCCATCGAGGAAGATGTCTTAATCCTAGAAGAAATTGGTAGGTTAGCGATGGAATGTTTAAACGAAAAGATTGACGAGCGTCCTGATATGAAGGAGGTAGTGGCACGACTTATGATGCTGCGAAGATCTAGGAAGCTTAAACAAGAAAACTACAACATAAGTCGTCAACAGTTCTTTGAGGAGAATAGTATAGATGAACTCCCTAAGAGCTTTGATGACAACAGCTCAAGTAGCAGTGCAGAGCTTTTATCCAATCTAGCCACAAAGAACTCTCTAACCTATAGATCGACGACTGGAAGAGATTAGGTTTAATAAGCAATATATTTATCTTGTGTTATATATGTGTAACCTGTTTTATAAATCAATGTACTTTCATTTGAAATAGATTGATTTCAAGCATCTATCTCTCATTTATGTTCTCTGTATTTGAAAGCAGAGAAGCAACTTCTGTGTAACACAAGATTGTCTAATCACTATTGTATATGTAGTGTTTAACTCAGTTCTGTGTTATGTATATCTATTACTGCATATATGTTTCACCTCAATCTAAGTTAAAATGGTTCACCTCTATCGAAGTTAAAATGGACTTTCTATAAATGACAAGAAAAACAGTTTTTATAAGCGGACTTCTTGAAAAAAACACTCTTTAAATGATTTTTATTGGCAGACTTCTTAGAGAGCTACCTATGAAATAATTTTCATATGCGGATCTCTTAAAAAAAACTGCCACTGAAAATGGAGGCACTACTAAAGTGAAAAAAATCATAACTTATATGAAGTTGAATGATGATAAACTTTGTAACCAAATTTGTATCTCTTGAAGAGATCTTCAACATTTTAGTTGAACGTTTTTCATTTGAGATGTTAATATTTCTTACATGCTCTCAGATCTATTTTGATTTTTTTTTTGAGTTTTTCAAATTACCTCAATTGAAAATATGATCGATATGATAGTTGTAGAAGTCGACGGGATTTACAGGTTTGTAGTTAAGAACCTTTGTATTTAATATCATTTAGAGTATAATAATGTGCCAAGTTTTGGAGAGGTGAAGTTAAAAGATAGCATCCAATCCACATTCACGAAGTGCTTCATAGGTGAGATGGTAAGAGGCTAAGCAAGAAGAAAGAGTTCTGGATCAAATCCTATATACGCACTTGTACATATTTTTTCAGATTATTTTATGCCTACAAAAATAAAAAACTACAAATTGGTTCCTTAAGGGAGTTGCATGTGAAATATTAAGCGGTTCTAGGATCCGTCTATGCAAATATTAAGCGGTTCAAACAATGCCTATATAAATAAGTTATGGATCGCCATCACAAAATGTTTTATGTGCCAGTGAATTGAATTACAAAATCAAATTAATTTCACTGAAATCCATAGTGTTGTATTTTTTTTTCAATAAACTCGCTTAAAGTTAGGAAACCTTGACATAGAACAAACCTAAAATAACTTCTCATATGTATGTAACGGAGGGAACGTTTATTATGGTATTCTGGTAGGCTTTGTAAAATCAAAGGTATTGGTTGTAGAAGGGTAAAGGACCTAAGATATAAGTCGGGGAGCCCCTCACCTCAATGGCTTTTTGGGTGGGAAATGCCCTTTACGATCCTACAGGCTTGATCTTTTAACTTCTTTTTCCTATTTTTACATTTTTTTATTAAAATATTTACAAAACAGATTTTCGTTTCGAAATTTACAAATCTAGATGCCTCACGCCCTCTGGGAGATCGTTTTCTAAAAATTCCCTTTCCAGAAGGCGTTAAGGGACTTAAATGTAAATTTTTTATTTGTCATTCAAACCCTTTTCACCGGTTTTAATTGCTTAAAAACTAGTGAAGCTTATTTGACACTGTAAATGATTATAAATGGAAAAGTAAAAAAACTACGTCGAGATATACAACTTTTATATAAAGTTTATTTTCATACCATGTCTTTTGAAATGTAGATATGAGATTTTTGTTAAAATAGGTTTTAGATTTTGTAACAAACATTTGGACATCTAAAAGATCTTAAATGAAAAGGTTGTTTAAGTTCTAGATCTTCTCAAGCTCTACAATTTTAATATAAAGTTTGATTTCATCCAATTTTATATGATATATTTTTAAATTACAAAATGATAGAGTTCACAAGCTATATTGGAAAAATTACACTTAGGTCCCTTAACACCCTTTTCAAGGGCGCGTGAGGCGTTTAGATTTGTAAAGGTTTGAAATGAAAAATTATTTCTGTACATTTTTTAATAAAAAAATGTAAAAATAAAAAAATTGCCGAGCCTTCAAATGCAACTCCTGAAGAATGGAAGAACTTTCGAAGACAACAAGGCCCATTTTCGCCGCTCCTACCGGAGTACTGGCCCATCCAAAGTTTCGTCGGCCTGCTAAGTGCAGCCTATAGCAGGCCAAACGGGCGGCTCGGCCCAGCACGACACGGCACGGCCCGTTAGGCACGGCTCCTGTAGCGGGCCGTGCCGTGCCGGCCCACGTGCCAAGGCCACGGCCCAAGCACGGCCCAAGAAGGTGCTGGGCCGTGCCGGGCCGGCACGGCTACTGTAGTGGCACGTGGGCTGGTAGCCGGCCCACTAGTACATGTGGCCCATAAAAATTGAAATTTGAGGGGAAAAAAAGAAAAAAGGCAGAAAAAACATAATATAAAGGAAAAGATGATAAATATAGGATAAATGTGAGGAAAATTTAGGAAATATATCATAAAATATATGGTACAAATAGGATAAAATGTGGAAAAAAATAAAAAATATGAGAAATATATGGGAAAAATTAGAAAATCGTAGGAAAAATAAATGGGCCGGTGGGCCGTGCCATGCCTGGGCCGTGCCGTGCCGGCACGCTACAGTAAACGTGCCGTGCCGTGCCAGCCCACGGGCTGAGGCATTGGCCCAAACACGGCACGGGATAATGGGCCGTGCCGGCACGGCCCACAGGCTGGCGTGCCGTGCCGGGCCTGGGCCGGCTACAGTACTGCTGTGCTCGGGCCGGCCCGGCTTGGCACGGCCCAGTTGGCCAGGTATAGTGCAGCCCAATGCTTGTGGGATGTGGAACTCCTTATGTTTTTATTTACGTTTTCCAACAAGCCATTAATACATAGTTTTTTGAATTTCTAGTATTATGTACAAGCATTAATTGTAGCAGCAGGATAGGATCTAGACTCTAGAGTAATACGGGGTGCGCGCGGTAAGGAGGGAGGAGGGCGGCTGTGTCTTTAAAATAGCAGAGACAACTTAACCTGGAAAACAGAAAAAAAAATATGTTTATAAAATAAAATAAGCGTCACACATCTATATATGTATTGCCACTTTATAAATCAAAGGGTGTACATGCTTGTAATAGCTATATATCGTGTGTATGTATTGTTTGGTCGATCGAGAGGTGATGATGAGTAGTTGTTATGAGGGAGTTGTCATTCCTTCCATCGCTTGGTGTTGGGGAGGAGTCATCATCGTCCTCCGCGAGTTCACCTCCCATCCTTCATCACCCCACATTAATTAGTACAAATTAATTAAACACATTGAGTGAATTAATGAGTTACAAGTTACTAATTTTTTTAAGATTGGAAGATCGGAATATATATCTTATTAGACCCTCTTGTTTAGACTTATAAATCAGTCTGTGATCACAAAAATCTAAACCTAAACAAAGATATTTTTTTCTGTTTGATTTTTTTAAAGTCATAAGTCACCCTTACACTTTTAAGCTAAAAACTATATGTTGAAGAAACTTTTTTTTGACTTATATGAAATGGATGTATGATTATATCATTAAACTTATGTAATAAGATGGATGTACGATTGAGCTACTGGAAGTAGGAAATACAATGTAAAGTTGAGTTTGAGAGGTGATAGAGAGAGAATATAATATACTCGTACCAAGGTTAGGGTCGTGGCCGCGGTTCTTGAGCTCACGGTGCATCTGTGCGATGGAGCAGGTCTGGCAGCAGAAGGTGACGAGGCAGTCGGAGCAGGGCGTCTCCGGCAGGTCGTACGCCGCCCGGAGGCGAGCGCGGTAGGCGCACGAGTACACCCACTGGCACATCCCCGCCGACACGTGGAACACCAGGCAGTACAGCACCGCGTTCAACGCGCACGCTGTGCAAAACGTACAGGATCTATTTGAGAAATTATGAAAATTGGGGGAATTTCAAACAGCATCGATCTGCACAGTAAAATCATATTAATGATAAGAGAATTTGAGTCGATGAGGTTAATCAATTACATGATGAGCCCCTGTCGACGATTTCTGCGATCTGGCCGACAGGGATGCACGGGCACCAGCACGCCATACAACCTGCAGCATATATATGCATCCGTTAATTAATTCATTTCATAAAGATTATATATAATTAATCGTTGTATACAGACTTGGAGCATGATAATTAAGCTGATATGTATGGGCTAACTGCTAATTAATAATGATATTAACTAATTTGCTTAAAGAAGAAAAAGAAAGCTTACAGGTGTTGCAGTCGTCGGCGCAGTCGCAGAGGGCGGTGGTCCACGCCCCTCCAGCCGCCGGCGCCATGCGGCACGACACCACACGCTCCATCGGCGGAGCAGGGTAGAACATGCCGACGGGGATCCCGGTCACCGGCTCCGGCGCCGCCGCCGACGACTCGCCGGACTTGGACGGATCAGGGGGATACATGGCCGTGTAGAAGTTAATTTGACTAGCTAGCTAATGGATGGCTACCTGCTGTCCCTGAGATGTGATTTAAGTACTGGACGTTCTATTCGTTGATGGATATATAGATGGGGAATATTAGTCATGTTAGTTAATTAAGTAATTAATTAATTGACTAGTTAGCGATTAAGCAGAGGGACATAGTAGTTGCTAGGAAAATACTGGGTTTGAAACTTTGACGCACGCATGCAGCGGGATTGGCCTGGCAAACTATGTCCTGCAGTCTGCAACTGGAGTAGTAGTTTTCTTACATGCAAATGTCACCATTGACTTGCAGCAGGAGTATTACTGGCCAGGTGCATCTATCTGCTTACCTATCTCTACAGAACCGTACCATATTATAATGTTTTGTTCTCTCTATCTCTTGACTATTGTCTAGCTTAATTCACTAACATCTATATAAATTTAAATACATATATAGATAGCATATATACTTGAGATAAAGTCTATTTTCCTTCATCGAACTAGTTCACTAGATCATACAACCCCTAAACTATTTTTTCCCTCATTATATAACCTATACAAACGGTACACGTTACTCTATAATGGTATTTCTTTTTTTTCTCTCCACATTGTCATGGTTATGGATTGCACATACCTAATAGTAGTTGACTAAATCTCGGAAGGACCCACCACATATCATGTCCTATACGGAAACAACCTGCGGATATGGAGGGAGTTCCGGATAAGGAAAGACAACCAGAGTTCTACATGGAAACGACAAGGACTACTCAGATTGTATCCATATTGGTTTCCCACGTTCTACTTGTACAAGGGGACACCTATGGGTATAAATACAAGACCCCCTAGGAGGAGAGGGGAGAACCACCATGGAAGACACCCATGACAATCAACACACGCCCACCAGAAGCCACAACATACAAGCCTACATACGCCAAGACACGCCGCCGGATATCGACTTCAGGGATAGGCATGGCTATTCCCCTACGGTGTCTCCGGATACCGTCAGGAGATACGAAAGCGCTATCTCTGATCTCGCCGGGCACGGATTCGAGAAGGAAGACTACCCTGTTGTCGACTACGAGTCAGACCTTCAGATCAACATGTGGACAACAGTTAGATATGCTGCCCACATATTGTACTGGTGTGATTATGGTGAATAAAAGCAACTCCGGCTCCGGCCAACAGGATGTAGAGTTATTACCTGACAGCTCAGGGGCCTGAACCTGTATAAAAATCCCCGTCTCCGTCTCTTTTACCTCAGTCTCGCGTATATCCTAGCACCGACGATCCCCATACTGTCCAAATACCGTAGTCGAAACATCAAACGTCGACAGTGGCGCGCCAGGTAGGGGGATTTTGGTACTTCAGGATTTCGACGAGATGGGTTTAAGAGATGGATTCTCCAACAACAAGCTACTTGACGACTTCCGACCAGGAAGATTCAACCCGGCCAGAGTACGTCTCCCAACGAGATTGGAATCATCGTCACCATCTATTCGATCCGGTGAGATCGACCAAGCTTCGACACGTCACCACGGCAGAGGGCCATGGTGTCAGCGGCATCTAAGACTGATCCAACACCAATCCCTCGACGCGTGGGACATCGACTGGCGTAAGGCATTGGCTGCCCGAGTAGCCAAACTCGGCTGGCGTGAGGCATTGATCTGTTCATTGGCTTGTAGTCTAATCGGAGTTGAGGAGTTCCTGTGATTGCACTAGAATTCAATTCCTAGTTGGCAATCGAGCTGCTCATTCTGGTGACGTAAGCCAAAAGCAAATAGATCAACTAAACAGCCAAAAAGCCGCAGTACAAATTCTAAGGTAATTAGTAAGATTAATTTCCTAATTAATCTACTAATTTCGTAGATATATCCGGCATATATCTACAAAGGTACGCAATATTTTATATATAATTTACCGTACCTATTTTCAGATTATACGGCATTGTCAGATCTATAATTTATTATGTTTACCTAGAGCATGTTCTTTATACAGTATATATCGCGCGAGCGTCCCCGATGTTAGGCCAACTGCGGTCTAACGCTGGAGCACGCTCTGTTTTCCTCTGTATAAATCATGCTTGTTTACGGTTTACATAATGCCTAATATTTAATCTGCTCGTTATATCCTGATAATACTAGAAGATCCATGCAGTTTTTCGAATACATACTCGATATTATCTGCTATATATCTTGTCTTCTAGAAAATATTTTTCAGGAACAACTGAGCACTCGACTAGGTTATGGTCGAGTACACTCCATTATCGAGAACATTCTCGACAAATGCGGAGTTATCGCACCCAACCTACCAACAAAGACCGACGACCTATCTCATAGCACCGGCCATGGCTGGACTACTCGAGAAAAGGTTGTTAATGGATAATTCCTCGCGAACATCGTCGGCTTGATCACCCGACATGATTGCGAACGGACATCCGGATATGCTGTAAGTTAGGCACGTGAGTCATGCTGGCCACATGAGATACACTTGCAATAAACCAACTCTAGCACCTTCCATCGGTGTTCGAGAGATAATTCCGCTCGCTCACTGGTTCTCGCACCAGTACGCAGCAATCTCTCGCACCGCACCTTCCATCGGTGTTCGAGAGATAATTCCGCTTGCTCACTGGTTCCCGCACCAGTACGCATCAATCTCTCGCACCGCACCTTCCATCGGTGTTCGAGAGATAATTCTGCTCGCTCACTGGTTCTCGCACCAGTACGCACCAATCTCTCGCACCGCAACTCCCATCGTTGTTCGAGAGATAATTCTGCTCACTCACTGGTTCTCGCACCAGTACGCAGCAATCTCTCGCACCGCAACTTCAGATGGTCGAGGTACGACTACAGCAATAACGTAGTGGTCCTCGTACCACGACTCAAAATGATCGAGAGACACCTACTCACCGGTTCTCAACCAGTTAATCGTAGTGATCTCTCGTACATTTGCTTCTAGTGGTCGAGTTACGACTACTGCCTGGTCCTCGACCAGCGATGTAGCGTTTCTCCCACTTTCCACTTTAAGTGGTCGAGTTACGACTACTGCCTGGTCCACGACCATTTCTCCCACTTTCCACTTTAAGTGGTGGAGTTACGACTACTGCCTGGTCCTCGACCAGCGATGTAGCATTTCTCCCACTTTCCATTTTAAGTGGTCGAGTTACGACTACTGCTTGGTTCTCGACCAGCGATGTAGCGTCTCTCCCACTACTTCCACTTTAAGTGGTCGAGTTACGACTACTGCCTGGTCCTCGACCAGCGATGTAACGTCTCTCCCACTATTTCCACTTTACGTGGTCGAGTTACGACTACTGCCTAGTCCTCGACTAGCAGTGTAGCGACTCTCCTACTACCTCTATTTCAACAAAGTTGATAGCAGGTACACAATATCGCCAAGTGTTTTACCCAGAGATCCCTTACCACGACGACCTAGCGTTGAAACCTATCCTACTGTCCCTTTACGCCGTCTTGACAAGGCCTCCGAGGAACCTAAGGGATCTTCCGTTGGGGATGCCCAGAGCCGATAAGGCCTTGTCGGATCCTTCAGAGACGAAAGACCATGTAAGATCTGGTCGTGTAAGAGTTCTCGCCGTGCGTATTAACCAAGCCGTGTAATCGGAAGTTGACTTTTCCAACTTCACGGCTGGGGGCTAGGATCAGTGCTTATTCAACCAAGGTAGGTCAAGGGTCCAAGAGCCTTCTCCTCCGAAAATGATTCTCCGACGACAAGGCTGGGGGCTAGGGAGAGTGTACAACTCAAACGACTGACCAAAGTCGTTAACTGAGAACACACTCTTACACAAAACATTGGTCGGTAAATTTGATTCATTTTCAGTTTACCATACATATTATAACATGTCACCCTTTGAGCATTCGCTCGGGGGTTATTTCTATCTAATATTCTTTTCTGAGTATTGATTTTAGGAAAATTCTATTCGACATTGACAAAGACTCCATGTCTCTATGGTTCTACACCAAGATCGACTAAGGCGAGTACGACCAATGTTGGCAAGGCTCCGTCGCAGACTCTACGCCTTCTCGGTCGCTCGAGAACGGTTGCTGGATCTCGACAAGGAATACGAAATGAAGAGATGGTGTACCCACCAAGAAAGAATTTCTTGACTTCAATCCAAATTCTCGATTACGGCAAGACGGGAGACTTAGTCGTACGCTATGTACTTCATTGGTTGACATCAGAGAATGACTTAGACAAACCCTTTCGGTGCCCGCATGAGGCTGACAAAGGAAGTCCAACGTTATCTCTAATCTCACCGAGAACGGTCACATAAGCTCGATAACAGTTACTCCAATGTCTGTGCGCAGTTGAGAATATGAATTCGTTCATTTGCATCGAAGTCGGGGGCTACTGTCATGGTTATGGATACCACATACCTAATAGTAGTTGACTAAATCTTGGCAGGACCCACCACATACCATGTCCTATACGGAAACAACCTGCGGATATGGAGGGAGTTCCGGATAAGGAAAGACAACTAGAGTTCTACATGGAAACGATAATGACTACTCAGATTGTATCCATATTGGTTTCCCTCGTTCTACTTGGACAAGGGGACACCTATGGGTATAAATACAAGACCCCCTAGGAGGAGAGGGGAGAACCACCACGGAAGACACCCATGACAATCAACACACGCCCACCAGAAGCCACAACATACAAGCCTACATACGCCAAGACACACCGCCGGATATCGACTTCAGGGATAGGCATGGCTATTCCCCTACGGTGTCTCCGGATACCGTCAGGAGATACGAAAGCGCTATCTCTGATCTCGCCGGGCACGGATTCGAGGAGGAAGACTACCCTGTTGTCGACTACGAGTCAGACCTTCAGACCAACATGTCGACAACAGTTAGATAGGCTGCCCACATATTGTACTGGTGTGATTATGGTGAATAAAAGCAACTCCGGCTCCGGCCAACATGATGTAAGGTTATTACCTGACAGCTCAGGGGCCCGAACCTGTATAAAAATCCTCGTCTCCGTTTCTTTTACCTCAGTCTCGCGTATATCCTAGCACCGACGATCCCCATACTGTCCAAATACCGTAGTCGAAACATCAAACGTCGACACACATAAATCATATTTTTGCATTGAAATTCAAAACGATCGATAGATGCATATTACAACTTACCTCTTAGTAATATTTTTTTAAATTTGGCCACTTTTTGCATAAGTCGAAAACACCTAAGACTGATTCAAACAAATTTTAAATTTCAATGAAATAATCATGAAAGAAAAGTGAAGTACTTTGGAACTTTGATACGTATGTCATTTATGTGTCATAAATGGCTTAATAATTTTCAGTTCAAAATACAACCCATATAAAATATAAACCATAAAGAGAAATGCTAAGAATAAAGTGAAACATTTTTAATAGTTTAGGAGTAAAATGAGCTGAATAATAGTTTGAAGGAGTAAAATGGACGAATTTCCTTAATCCGTTTGTTCTTTGGTTAATTAACGATGAGTGTATTTGTAGTTGAGTGTAGGCATCATAGGTGATGGAAATATTATTTAGTGCACGCTCGCTACTTCTGATTCTAAAGCACCACTTCTTTTAATTCAGGTGACTCTTAACATATCACACGACTCGCACAGAGGACTCCCAATGTGCGAATGAGCATTCAATGAGTACTTCTTTAAGTAATTTGATTTTTGAAGTGATTTTGAAAAGATTTAACATTTGGATAGAAATTTTTTAGTTGCACAAGGTCCAGTTGAAAAACTATACTCAAAATTTGAAATCTTTGACTTCAATTAACACTTCAAAACTCAAAATTTAACACTTTCAACTATAAATTTTAAAACTTCCTCCCAAATTCGGAACTCTCAACTCAAAATTAAAACTTTTACCAAAATATTTTAAACCTACCCAATCCAACTCAAAATTTCAAATATTCACAGAAAATTTTTAAAACACTATCCAAATTTTGAACTTTCAACACAAACTTTTAACCTTTCAACTCAAATTTTGAATTTTTTTAACTTAGTAATTTATTTATAATTATTATACAATTTCATCAAGGGGAAGAAAAAAAAGTGTGTTAGCGCATTGTCCCCTCACTACTCGCGACTCGTGTGTGACTCTGATTCAATTCGCCAGACATAGGACAAGCTCAATTTGCGTCAACTAGCCGCCCCCAACCAAAAGCTTTTTGTTGGCAGTGATTATTTCCAAATTACTCATTGTTGCAAATACAACGTGTGTGCCTTAGTTAGTTAGTTAGTTATTCAGTTATTTCTGCATTTGTTTGATTCAGCTTTGCATGAGCTTGCCGAAACTTGTGGCAGTCGTGCTCCAGTTGAGGGTCGCGAGATTAGCTCATAGAGCCCGCATCGTGCACCGAGAGCGTGACGCACGTTGAGCAGCTGTGGGGATGGACGCAGCGAATTGCCAGCGTGAGAAGCGGTCCTAGTGGTTTTGATTTCATTGTAATCCCATTTTGTTATATAAGGAAGTAAACCAGAAAAGCAGCTAGCTGTTGCGCTACGCCAAAATTCTTCTGCTTCCTTTCTTTCTTGTGTTGCCGGATCGGCTACAGTACGCGCGTAAGGTGCTCGTCTGGGATCCTCACGATCTCTAGGCTTCCTGACACTTTTACCTTTTTTCTTATCGTCGTTCTGGACAACGACACACTTAAGACATGTACAAAGGTAAATACATACTCTAGCACTTAGAAAACTATACTTCTACAATAGTTGAGACAATAAGAACTCTTAGGCTGTGTTCGGGAGGAGGAGGAGTCCCTCCTCCTCCCCGGCACGCAAAACAAAGCACCTATTATTGTATGATTAATTAATTATTTGCTATTTTTTTAAAAAAATAGATTAATATGTTTTTTTAACAACTTTCGTGTAGAAATTTTTTGCAAAAAAAACGCACCGTTTAGCAGTTTGAAAAGCGTACGCGTGGAAATCAAGGGAGGGAGGTTGGAAAAGGAAGGTACCAAAATATTTTTTTACTACCCTTCTTTCCTTTTCTCCACCCTGCAACAAAATTCTCTTTAATAAACATTAAAAGTCGACTCTGATCCGCTGTGATGCGTAGCACCCATGTTTCTTTTTCCTCTATCTCTTTTCCACGTCATCAATTTTACTTACATGGTAATGAAGAGAGGTTGTTATTACACAACGTTGTACATAGCCTTACATTATTCATATGGGAATTATAATCATATGAATGTATTTTTCCATTGAAGCATATACTTCAAATTAATTATTTTCACATAACAAATCTTCATAAATTAATTTTATCTGTTGGTGATTTAAGATTTGAAAGTTTGACTAGACGTATTTTAATATTTCATCTATAATAAGTAAAGAGGTGATAGAAGTGAGCTTATGGGCCACCCCTTGATTTTTCAGGGATGCATATGCTATAGTCAAATTATTGGCAACTGACTGGAAAGTGTGGAAACTTGTTGTCGAAGAAACAAATGGAAGTTAAAAACAAATGTTTTCGGATGCTCTTGATCAAAAGGTACTTAGGCTGTGTTTTTGCGCGCATGCTTTTCAAACTACTAAAGGATACGTGTTTTGTAAAAAGTGTCTACAAGAAAGTTGCTTTAAACATCATATTAATCCATTTAAGTATTTTATAGTTAATACTTAATTAATCATGTGTTAATCTATTACTCTGTTTTGCGTGTAGATGGGAAGGGTTCCCAAGAGGTAAGTGTCATGGTTACGGGTAAGATACAACCTTCTAACCTACGACTTATGGAATATACGGATACTGCATACCTTCGTATGTACGATATGTTTCCCGATAAGGAAATCGACAAAAGATTATGGAAATAATCCTCATAGGCAAGTGTATAACATAGTCCTACTCGGAAAAGGATCGGGATTCAGGATTGTACTGTATCGTGGTGAGTTCGGTATCTCCGAGTTCTACTTGGAGATCAAGGTAACTCACGGTATAAATACACATCCCTAGGGGTCCTAAGGTATCGAATCATACGCCAACACCACCACCATAGCCTACAAATCGGAGGATGTGAAGCCTACTCGCTGGGAGATCTCGTCGAAACCATCTCGACAAGGATCTCGCCGGTAATCTTGGAATCGTCGGTCTTCTATTGGAATCTATGGTTTTCCATGTCAATCTCATACAAACTGGACTAGGGCTATTACCTTACGAGGGATCTAAACCAGTATAATCCTTGTCTTCTTGTTTGCTTGATGTTGTATCGTATAGATCATCGTACCAACGTACCCTAAAACCCTATTCATCCTGTCTTGGGGTATCCACGTCGGCAGTAAGTAAAAAGAGTAATTTTACTATCTTGAGAATATATTCAAAGGTACCATATTTTTTTATGATAAAATTTAATACTTTAGGTAGTGGAGATATTTTTTTAAATGTAAAATTCGGTGTACTACAAATTTCCTAAAGTGCAGTAAAAATTTCTCCCATAAAAAACATGCATTTTTAAATTAGATGTACCATGAATGCCGAAATGCACCAATTAGCCGAGTCATAGATAGTGGTTGATTAATAGCATGTCCAATAATTAAGTTGATCCAGGGAATGGTTTGAGCTAATTCGTGAAAAAGAATAGGCGACAGTCGTTTATTCAAAGACCACGTTAATTTGGGGTGACTTATCCATCTGTATGTGTAGTTATATTAATTGTGTACTTTCTCCTTTTAAATTCATCGTCGTTTTAGTTATACTTATTAAACTTTTTAGCTTTGACCAACATTTTTTATAAATTTATATGTTAGCTACAATCATTAGAACTTCTGTCCGGTCTTACTCCCAACAATATTTTTATTCACCACATATTATTTAATGAGAGATATCATAGTTTTTTTTTTCTTCATCTAGAATTAATGTGTGCTACTACCTACTTTTTCTGTCTAAGAACATATTGCACAGTTTGCATGGAAATTGCGAGACGAATCTTTTGAGTCTAATTAGTCCATGACTAGCCATAAGTGCTATAATAACCCATATGTGCTAATGACGGCTTACTTAGGCTCGAAAGATTCGTCTCGCGGTTTCCAGGCGAGTTATGAAATTATTTTTTTCATTCGTGTCCGAAAACCCCTTCAAATATCCGGTCAAACATGCCACGTGACAGTTAAAAAAAAATTCGTGAACTAAACAGGCCCTTAAATCCTACAGATGAACGTGGAAAGAGGAACAGAGGAATGACTAGTCTGCCCAGTATAACCGCTGGCACTGTGAGTGTGATGGAGACATGGAAATTAAGGGCCTGTTCACTTTGACGCCAAAAAAAACCTTACCAAATTTTGGCAATGCCAAATTTTGGCAACTATGCCAAAATTTTGGCATAGTTGCCAAAATTTTGGTAGGATTTCTTATATAGTTATCAAAATTTGGCAGCAAACTAAATATAGCCACTTTTTTGATAACTTTATCAAAATTTGGTAAGGTTGGAAATGGCATCAAAGTGAACAGGCCCTAATTAACCTTGTCGTGCGGTTGGTGGTTTGCGTGGCTCAGATTTCAGGCCCTGATTAGATAAGACTAAAACTTTTAAGTCCCTATCACATCGAATGTTTGGATACTAATTATAAATATTAAACATAGACTATTAATAAAACCCATCCATAATCTTGAACTAATTCGCGAGACGAATCTATTGAGCCTAACTAATCCATGATTAGCCTATGTAATGCTACAGTAAATATTCTTTAATTATGGATTAATTAGGCTTAAAAAATTTGTCAAGTGAATTAGCTTTCATTTATGTAATTAGTTTTATAAGTAGTCTATATTTAATACTCTAAATTAGTGTCTAAAGACAGGGACTAAAGTTAAGTCCCTGGATCCAAACCCCACCTTCCACATGAACCAATCAAATTCTACGAATGCAGCTTGCGCATTTTTTCTAAAGATAATTGAAATGCGTTGCCTCTATCATTGCTGAAATTAATAAGGTTTGTAGAGTAGCTTTCTTTGCTGAAAGGAAAAATACATTAGCTAAAATAATGGCTAGTTCAATCTCCGTTAAGGAAACCAGATTCTAACAAATAACTCAATAGATATTAGTACTACATACACATTTCAAAAAAAAAAGAAAGAAAAGAAAACGTCAACTATCAATTCTATGAGTGCAACTCTATAGTATAGAACCCCATTTCTCCTCTCATGTAATCATAGACCAATAATAAAATTAGATGAAAGAAAAAAATAATCTATATAAGGTTAGAATTTTTTTTTTATTCTTAAAATACTCCATCATTTCAGCAACGCTAGATTAACCAACACAACAGGCTAATCGTAACAAAAATCCTTTTTTTTAATAAGTTGGCATGTACACTACCTTGAGTCAAATCCCAAAAATCAATTTTGGCAATTGCAGCTTGTGCATACACCTAACTCCTCTCTCCAATCTAAATTTCCCCCACTAAATTCTCATCAAAATTTCTTAAATATTCACTCGGAAATACGATATGACATAAGTCCATGAGCTAGTAGCTCCTAGCAAGACACACAGACACAGTGGAAGCAAAATCTCCATGGCGGCGGCGGCGGCGGCAGCAGCAGCAGAAGACGAGGAGAAGAGGCCTCTGCTGCTTCGTCCGAACGGCGGCGGCGGCAAGGAGGAGGAGGACAAGGGCGGCGGCGGTGGGTGGAGGGCGTGCGTGCTGATACTGGGGACGGAGCTGAGCGACTGCCTGGCGTTCGCCGGCATCGCGAGGAACCTGGTGAGCTACCTCACCGGCGTGGTAGGGGAGAGCAATGTCGCCGCCGCCAGGGACGTGTCGGCGTGGACGGGCACCTGCTTCCTCACGCCGCTCGTCGGCGCATTCATCGCCGACTCCTTCTTGGGTCGCCGCACCACCATCCTCCTCTTCCTCTCCATCTACTCCATGGTATACTTTTTTATTTATTAAGAAAAGTATGCTCAAACAAGTTTTTTGTTAATGCGAAAAACTGAATGTTTGAAGAGATTTTTCTTAGTTTTTAATGTGAAAATATATCATACTCCTTTATTCAATTTTCATTATTCAGACATTTTTGTGAATGAAATGTTTTTACAACAAGATTTAGATAACAAACAAAAGCATATCAAATATGACAATAGAGAATTTCGGAATTAAAGGTCAAGCAAAGCTTAAGAAGATTTTTTTTGGGCAAATTTTTTTATGGTCTTCATGCTTTACAGGGACTGAAAAAGAGAGAGAACAATAAATTTCTTATGGCAATCAAGAATTTCTGCGAAATGTCAAGCAAAAATTAAGAAGATATTATGTTTTTTTTTCACAAGTTCTTTAGAAAAGAACATCTTCTTATGGCAATCAAGAATTTCTTAAAGGTCAATCAAAATTTAAGATTTAATTTTTGTTTCACAAATTATTTTGATGGTCTTCACCAGTGGACTGAAAAAACAATAAAGAACGAAAAATTTCTGAAATTTCGTTATAAAATTTCAATCTGTGACAGGGGATGATCACGCTCACAGTCTCGGCGTCGTTCGCAACCCCACACCTTGATGCATCCTCCGATGGCGTCCTCCGCGCCACCGTGTTCCTGGGGCTCTACCTCGTCGCCCTCGGCGTCGGTGGCATCAAGCCGTGCGCCTCGCCGCTGGGCGCCGACCAGTTCGACGACGACGACGCGGCGCCGGCGGCGAGGGCGTCCTTCTTCAACTGGTACTACTTCTGCATCAACGTCGGCTCGCTGCTGGCGGCCACCGTGCTTGTGTGGGTGCAGGAGCGCGCCGGCTGGTGGCTCGGCTTCGCCATCCCGGCGGCGGTCATGACCGCCGCGCTCGCCGCCTTCCTCTTCTGCTCCACCCTGTGCGGCCTCCGGGCGTTCCACACGCCGCCGGGGAGCCCCCTCACGCGGCTCTGCCAGGTGGTCGTCGCCGCCGTCAGGAATCGCGGCGTGGAGCTTCCCGGCGACAGCTCGCTCCTGCATCAGCTCCCCGACGGCGACTACCGGATCATCGAGCACACCAATCAGTTCGCGTTCCTGGACAAGGCGGCCGTAGTGGCGTCGCCGCCGGCGGTGGCGATGGCGAGCCCGTGGATGCTGTGCACGGTGACGCAGGTGGAGGAGGTCAAGATGCTGCTGCGGCTGTCCACCGTGTGGCCGACGGTGGTGTTCTTCTTCGCCGCCACGGCGCAGATGTCGTCGACGTTCGTGGAGCAGGGGAAGGCGATGGACACCCGCGTCGGCCCGCTCGACGTGCCGCCGGCGACGCTGTCCACCTTCGAGGTGGTCAGCATCCTCCTCTGCGTCCCGGCCTACGACGCCGCGCTGATGCCGCTCGCCCGCCGCGTCACCGGCGACCGCCGCGGCCTGTCGCAGCTGCAGCGGCTCGGCGTCGGGCTGGCGCTGTCGGCGCTGGCCATGGCGTACTCGGCGCTGCTCGAGGCGAGCCGCCGGCGGCGCGCGGCGACGAGCATCGTGTGGCAGGCGCCGTCGTACATGGCGCTGGGCGCGGCGGAGGTGTTCACCAGCGTCGGCCTGCTCGAGTTCTTCTACGACCAGGCGCCCGACACCATAAAGAGCCTGTGCACCGCGGTGAGCCTCGTCGCCGTGGCGGCCGGAAGCTACCTCAACTCGGCCATCGTCGCGGTGGTCGCGTGGGCGACGGCGCCGGAGAAGGGCGGCGGCGGCGGGTGGATTCCCGACGATCTCAATCGAGGACGGCTGGATTGCTTCTTCTGGCTCATGTTCGGCCTCAGCTGTGTAAACCTGCTGGCGTTCGTTTACTCTTCTACGAGATACAGCTACAGGGTTGCTAACTAATACTTCCTCTGTTTCACAACGTAAGTCATTCAATCATTTCCTATATTCATATTGATGTTGATGAATCTAGATAAATATATATGTCTAGATTCGTTAACATCAATATAAATGTGGAAAATGCTAGAATGACTTATATTGTGAAACGGAGGGAGTACACACACTCCTAAATTTTACTGTGTATAAAATTTTCTTTCAATTATAACTTTGTCCTTTTTAAAATCATATGGTATTAGGCCGTGACAGAAATTTAATTGAATTTGCACATGTTTTTAAGCTCGTGTGCTAATTCATATGGCATTGAGGTATAAATTCATATGAAAGTTTTTCATCCAAAAAACTGTCAAATGTTGTATAGCTATTCCGATTCGTTTGAGGTAGAAACCAGGTTGTCTTTTACTCCGAAAATTCTTCTGTGGATAATTTGGGGATAGTTCCATCTGTGTTCCTGCACACTTCTTCTAGGCTGCCATCTGCAGCTTTGAAGCCCGTCGCTTCTTGATTTTCTTCTATTTGCTGCTGCTTTTGTTTTAGCTGACCTGAAAGTGAAAAGAGTAAAGTATGTTCCTAATGATGTAAGGTCGGGAGATTATGATCAGTTTTTATATTAGCTGTTAGTTCCTCTGCATTCTAAATGTTACTACTATACTGTTCGTCATCTTGCAACTTTCCTGTCGATTCAGTCATTGAATCGCAAATTGCTGTAGCTTCTCTGACAACTCCAGCTGTGGAGTTGTTTCTGGGCATTGCTAATATATGTTTTAGTCTGAAGGAAAATTCTATGAGCATCCTGCTGATGTTTCTGGACGATGTAACATTCCTGAAAGGAGCTGTTCCTGTTATTCGTGTGCTTGTCATTGCTTTAATCAAGTACCATAAATTGCCATTGCTTTAATTCGTGTGTTCTTTCAGTTCATAGGTCATGATATACATAACAGAATTGGAACTTTAAAATTATTTTGAATGATTAGTTTATCAAATACCATTGTTTGCAACAAGTGTTTTCAGATAACTAATTTTAACTTTAAAAACTATTTTGAACGACTGGTCTATCAAACCGAAAGTTAAAATATGGAGTACCACATGTTGCTAGTGTTTACAGAGACTATAGTGGTCACTCAAGGGTAACAAAACAATTACAGATGTCATAGTTTCTATTGGTTTGTTTCGGATCAAGCTTTCAGGCTATAATATTCAAGAGGTTGCTCCTCTGAATTCTTACAAAATTCATCAGCACTGTCTCTCAACATCAAGGGAATGGAATGGTGTAAAATTGCTAAGCACGATTCCTTCAACAATGATGCAAATTACAAGGACATAACACATAAAAAAAGAGCCGCAAAATTCACCACATCAGTCGTACAAAATGGAACAGATTTACTGCTCACTACCTTTTGCTATGAATAATGGCTAATCAATTGCATCAGCTACCTCTGGTTTCTTTCATCTCTGGCCTTCACCAACTATGCATAGTCTACTCACATTTGATGGATTTGTATATATGGCGAACGAACAGCAAGGCGGCACGGAAACCAACCATGCCCAGCATGAGGAAGAAGGCGTAGCAGATGCAGGCCATGTAACCAAAGAAGAATGATGTCTGCATGAACCCAGACATGTCAGACCGTTCACGGTAGTAGTATAAGCAGTAAGCGAAGACGAAAAATCCAGTTGATCCACCACAAAGGAATGACCTGCATCAGAGGAAAAAAAAAAGAAAGGATAAGATGCATTAGAACTTGCAAGGCATAGCAGGGAATGGCTTCTTGAACTCCTGAGAGACAACCAATTGGCAGAAAACACACAATTACTGTGATATCTAATGAGGAAGACAACTCTGTTTTTTTTTTAAATGAAGACAACTCTGTTTTGATGCTAGAATGGAAATCATATGCAATCCAGCAAGTACAACAGTAGAAGGTGAAAGAATGCATACCTCCACCACCACTCGTGGTCTTCAGCAGTAAGCTGAAAGTAGGTCAGAGCAACAGTAATGAAGGCTGTGACAATAAGGAGGATGATAAAGACTATAAACAGAATGCTGTAAATTGTGTAGATCCTGTGTCCCCAGATGCTTGCAAAGATGTAGTACAGCTCAATGTAAATGGCACTGAAAGGAAGAAAACCGGCCATCGCCATCTGCGGAATGGTTCTCCGGTACCAGGCAAGTGGTGGAACCTCTCTCAGGAATTTGGTGGTGCGGCAAGGAGCCTGGAACTCATTTTTGCTGTTTTTCCCAGCAATGCCTCCCAAAACAAGCAAAGGAAATGTGACCAGCGTCCATATGAGCACAATGACACAGATAGTACCAAAGGGCAATGCTGCCGTTGAATTGTAAGCAATAGCAACAGTGTTCAAGAAACAGAATGTCAGAAAGAGAGGTCCACAAAACAGGCATCCAGTCAATAGCAAGTTCCTCACCTACAAACAGAAGAAACTAAGATGTTAATTGGCAGAAAATAGGAATAACAAGATAATACGACCCCTGATTCCAAGGCATTTATGCAATGCTAATCTGTAATATAGATAATAGAACATACCCAGTTTTTTCCTTCGAACTGACAGTAGAAAGAGGTTGCACTGTACCCAGCAATTCCTGAAGTGAGTGCATAAATGACAACGAGTGCAGTAAAAAGCGCACCCCGGTTGTAAGGATAGAATACTCCGACCAGTGCAAGTAGGAATATAAATGTTGTGCTGCATAGGCCAGCATATGAATTGTTAGATAAGTCCGTTAAAAAACTAACACTATAGGAAATTCAGTGTGTAAAACTAATAGGGACTTACAGAGCAAATAGCTGAGTGCCTGTACCAAGAGCAGCAGAAAATAACGATTTGTTAGTGGGGAACCGAAAGACATCCCCATGGATATATTTCCATCCTGTTTCTTCCTGGTCATCAGGTTCCTCCTCATCATGTGAATACCTTCAAAGGGAATAATATTAATAGAAACCTTGAGAAATCAAAGCTACGAATGAAGCTATATAAACAAGTGTCCAGGATATTTTGTTCTTAGTTATGAATGAAGCTAGAGAATCCCAATATATAAAAACCTATCTATATTGTCACTAGAAAAAATTTCAATCTTCGAATCAATCACCACAAAGGATAGGAAATGATAACTTACTTGACAAAATCATTCTTCAGTACACGCATGAGGATCGTTGCCAGGAATCCTGTCAAGAGGAGAACTGTGACACAAGAGTTTACAATTGAGAACCAGTGAACTTCCAAGTGATGTGGCATGACAGATGAGCTCGAGTACTTCTCCATCCTCTTCTCAAACGGTATCTGTGTCTCCTTCCACTTGGCTGTATAAAGGAATTCGACATCAAGTTCCTTGTCTTCTGTCAAGTCCACTACCGCGTTCTGGTCAGTGTGCACATTGATCTCAATTACACGGTCCTTATTGTAGAGGATGTCAAAGATGATGTGCCTGTAAAGATAATACTTATCCCCTGCATCTGCCTTTTCTGGCTTAGTCCCAATAAATCCCCAAAAGGGAAGGTCATCATAGTACATCTGGAAGTAGTAGTCCTTGGAAACAGCGTGTCGGAACTTGACCACATCATCCTTGGAGAGCCGTCTACTGCAAACAGACTTGGCATCAAAATCTACACGGAAATCAAGCTTGTAGGGCGCATCAACCAGACGATCCCCATTAAGGACTTCACCAAGGGCTTCAATCTTGTCCTTTACTTTCTCTGTAGTTGATGACAACACAGATAACTTGATTAAAAGAGAATGGAGGTTAAGTCAGAACTTCATCTTTCTGTAAAATTGAATAAGCATCAGAAAAACAAGTCTAGTTCTGTACTAGAAGGTGTTAGGAATCAAAATTCAGCTTAATTGCAAAGAATCTTTCTTGTTTATAGTAAAGAAGTCAATGGCCTCCACTTGGGAGATGACACAGTTCACTAAGTAAACATAAGGCAGATTACAGCTAGCAACACCTTAATTAATTAGGGAGAATCTAACCTGGGGCACAAAAGGGCAAGTCAAAGTACCGGTACGTCTCACTGCAAGGGGCAAAATCAATGTGTGAGAATAAAATAAAGCTGAACCTTGTACATCTGTGATTCACTCTACAATATACATCAACAACTAGTAGAAAAGAAATTATGTATAAATCCACTTGAAGCATTTGACAAATCTAGCGCAACTGACGGCATCGCTACTAGAGAAATATTTGCAGTCTCTAGTAGCAGCTGTCAGATAATGAGATCCATTATATCATCTGCACATGAACAGTGTTGAGAATTTTTTGGTTATTCAGCAAGGTATGCACTTAAAGGTATTACTTATTATATCCAGGAAAGAAAAAAGAAGACAAAATAGGGAGCCATTGTGGGCGTCTTAAATTTCGGTAGTATCTGTCCTGGGAGCAATGGATATCATAGTTTATTACCCTACTGAAAGAAAGCAAATGATCCCTTGCATAATTAAATTCTTTTATCCTGAATTATTCCAAATTATTTCTTGTTTTCAACAATTCTGCAGGTTTGTTAATAGGATGCAGTATTTCAGAATATCGCTTGTACAGTACTATTTCAGAAGGAATCTAATCTTGCTCCTACAAATTAAATTGGTACTCGTATAGATTCGTTGTGGGGATTGGAACAGGAAAGATTGAGAAACTCCGAATTAAGGAAGATTGAGAGGCGGAGGGACGGACGGACCTGGGGTTGTGGAAAGGGCCGACCTTGTTGGCGTAGAGCGGCACGGCGTCGCCCGGCCTGTAGCGGTGGCTGTCCGCCGCGGCGCACCCGACCAACATCACCAGGCCGAGGAGGAGCTTCGGCGCCGCCATTGCTGCCATCTCAATCGCGGTGGGGGATGGAGGCAGTCAGGCAGAGCAGCGGAGAGAGAGAGAGAGAGGCGGACGAGACGCGTTTATTAATAGCAACCGCACTCAAGTGGAGTATAGGCTGAGCTGCACCTGCAAACGACTGATTTTTCTTTTCAAGCAAAATTTGTTCCGTTTTCCGTCGGTGGTGATTTGCTGCCCAACATGCCAAACATCTGCCATACTTTTGGTGGTGTATGTATCTAGGGACTAAATTTCATATAGAATGTTTATACTAATTAGAAGTATTAAACGTAAACTAATAATAAAACTAATTGCATAAATGAGAGTTAATTTGCTAGATAATTTTTTTAAGTCTAATTAATCTATAATTAGCACATGTTTACTGTAGTATCACATAAACTAATCATAGATTAATTAGGCTCAATAGATTCGTATCGTGCATTAGTACAGAGTTATAGAATGAGTTTTATCATTAGTCTACGTTTAATACTTCTAATTAGTTTCAATAATCCGACAGGGGTTAAAAATTAGTCCCTACATCCAAAACAGGATCTTACCTTCATGTACCTTCGTGTATAAGATCAATGTGCCTTACATAATATAAACGATTGGTTGGATGAGATTTAACATTTACTCGCTCCATCTCATTGTAAATGTAAGTTTAGAAGTGAGATGAGAAAATAAAATAGAAGGAAAATTATCCAAAATACCCCCTATTAAATGACAAATGGTACGGAGTGAGATGGTAGCTGACTGTAAGACGAACAGAAATTTGAATTAAATGTGATTAATGTCACAATAATAAGTAGTATAGTTGGATTGTCCTTATTTTGAGACAAAATTTAAATATAGAATTGTATTTATTTAAATATATGACCCGCACCTACATGGATAATACCTATCGATTTATAGTGACTATGAGTAATGCAAATATGTCTTGTTTTCTATCAGTTGACCGAGATTTTCTCTTAAGTATATACTAGCTGTAGGTTATCAATACAATGTCTGTTAATTCGAAATCATTTACTCCTCAAACATATATTATACAAATTAATAAAGGGTGTTTACAAAATAATTTAGGGTATAATTGTACCCTCTATGTCACATGCTGGATCTGCCCCTACATTGGTCCCACGCATAAAGGATTTTACAACCGCATATATCAAGTATGCGAAAAGGGTATCGGAATAAATTCGATAAAGGTATATGTTTTTCTTTTCAAAAACAGGAAATCAAATTGATATTTAACCTAAAAAAGCCAAATTTTTCTAGCAAATTCTACTAGAAGATGCGAGATTAAGTGATGAGTGGGTGTTGGCTCTCCTCAGCACTGTACTTTAGTGTGGTCATACCAAACCGTACGTTAACGCGTGTTAGCTTCTGGTTCGGCAAATTGGCACCATTTTCTTTCTAGCTTTTGTTTGGTTTGATTTAGCTGCTGAGTGGTGTCCGATTAATTAGTGGAATTGGGGTTTAATTTCTGCTTGATATATGACAAGTTTGGCCACTTGTCCAGCTACTTTCATGTTTGATAATCTCATTATGTTAGGACCTGAATCCTTTTCTTTTTTGCTAATCAATTTGCTACATACGTGTGTGCTACAAGGTTTAGTTAGTGGGGAGTGGCACTGCCATTACGGGTGCATCGCCAGTGCATGACAGCCTAACAAGTATATGAGATTTTGATTTTCTAGTGTCAACTAAGATCGATTCATTAAGGGTTGTAGTGCTTGTTTTTTTTTGGTAATATATATTTTTTTGCCTCATAGAAAATAGTTGTAAAATACTTTAAGATGACTGTTATTTATTATCTCTTTGGGAAAAGGCCTGGATCATTCAAGCCCATTACACCAAATTGAGGAGGGACTAAGTTAACTTTAGGTCCCTCAATTTATCGCCCAGCCTGAATTTCATCCTCAATCCGGAGAACCGGATACAACGCATCCTCCAACTTACAAAACCAGTACAAACGAGGTCCACGGCAGTATTTGACCCCGGTTTTGACTGACGTGGCACTTACGTGGATCGTTTGACTCGGCATTTGTCCTACGTGGCATTAACGTGGCACTTACGTGGCAGTTTGATCCCAAGAAAATAAAAAATAAAAAATTGAAAACCAAAAAATTAAAAACAATATTTGAGGCTCATGTCAGTCAAAAAAAAATAGTGGGATCCACATGTCAGTGGGTCCCACTTCCTCCACCTCTTTCTCCTAACCTCTATCTTCTCTCTCTCTACCGACGCTCTCTCATCTCTCCACACCGGCAAGCGCAGACGAGACGGGGAGGCCGGAGGGGCTACCGGCGCTAGGGAGGACAGGAAACCCGTCCTCGCCGGCGGTGTCCCTGCATCTCCACGGAGCCACGCCTTTTCTCCAGATCCGGTCCGCCTCGCCGGTGATGGTCGAAAATCCGGTGGGGTCCCGCTAGCGGTGTGACGCCGGCGAAGATCACGGATGGCTCTCCTCCTCCGCCGCCGGTGGTCGCAATGACCACTTCGACCGCTTCCGTCCTCGTGGCATTCGTACCCTCCGCCTGCAGATCGAGCTCCTCGCCGGTGAGATCAGCGTGGAAGAAGGCGTGATGCTCAAATGGAAGGCGGATTTCGGATCCACGCTTGGCAGCTGCGTCATCCTCATCGCGTCCTCTGCCAGCAAGGACGGCACACGGCAGCTGCATCCACACCGCCGTCCTCCCCCGACATCGCGGGGCATGCTGCTGTGTACTCCACGATGGGAGGAGGGGATAAGGAGAACTGGAGAAGGGGAGGAGAGAGAAGAGAGGGGATGTGGGGGAGGTAGTGGCCCCACTATTTTTAAATTTTATTATTTGACTGACATGTGGGCCTATATATTTTGTTTTATTTTTTAAATTATTAAATTTTGTTTCATGTGCCATGTTAATGCCACGTCAGATGAAGATCGAGTCAAATTGGCCACGTAATCTAAAACCGCTATGGGACCTATATTGTACCGGTTTTAATAGTTGAGAGAATTATTTATCTGGTTTTTCGGTTGAATGATGAAAATCGGATTCGTTGACAAGTTAAGGTATCTTAGATGAACTTATTCCATTTGAGGAACAACGGTTGAACTTCACGGCCCATATAAAATAGTTATAAAATCACAGTAGTTCAGGCCAATTGGATCGGAATTGGATTTTGTTTTGTTAATTTGCAGTAAGTATCAGTAGAATTTGATCATGTTCTGCTAAAAGTAAAAGGAATTTGATGAAAAAACAAATTCTGACCATGTTGACAAAACAATACTTATAGTCGATGCCGGATGCAGAGCTACAGTATGATCCTTGTGATGCATGTACCACCATAGAATGGACCAAGGCCCATTACCTGCATACACTACTAAAAAAACATCGATGCTTCGTTGTTTCGCCGCATGACAGCGTCTACTTGAATTCTGCCTTCCCACGCACGTCTTTTGTGAAACGACGGCGGCAACCGGCGGTGGCGATTTGAAGCAGAATCAAACACCGGCAGCAAGGACGAATCTACAATGCTAACATTGGTGTCAGGCGATGCCGATGACTTTCAGCAAAACTTATAATTAAACTGCTTATCCATATAACACTATATTCTAAGTATATATAATTAGTATGCTATGACATCAATAGACATATTATGACCGCTGCCTGTAGGCAACATGTTCTCATCTCCTCCCACCCTCGAGGTTCAATTTCATTTTGATACTGGATTTCCTATTAGAATGGTAAATTTAAAGATATTTGGTTCATTTTATTATACTATAGATGTAATATGCCAACGTACAAGTGTAGAATTTACGAAACGCAATCTGATCAAATAAAAAAACGTTGGCACATTAAATCTATAGTGTTCTTAAAAATTGTTGAGCTGGGCCACCTAGCCTGAAATCCTGGATATGCCACTGGCCAATGGGAGTAACTAGCTAGCTATTCGAACTGAACCATAAATAATTCAATCCATACAAAAACAATTATGAACTGTGTCATTGTTTTGGCAAAAATATTGTCACCCTCTGATATGCCTTGCAGTCCACCAGAACTTGAGCCCTTGAGGTGCTACTGTTGGGGGGAAGATAGGGGGACCTCCCCCTAACCGACTGGCTAAACTCTATCGGTGTGGAGCCTCCTAAAAGCACTGTGGCCTTCCTTCCACTCAACCTGGGGAAGATGAAGGATGCGGGCTATAAGATATAGCCCCTCCGTAGAATAAGAGGAGGACCTCCGATACCTTACATGGTCCACAGGTGCAGCACAATCTGTTCATTCACTAAGCTGCACGAACTGAATAACAATGGAGTACATGGTTTACATATATAGCTTCATGATCGCAAATTATTTATAAACATGTATTAAGGGAAACACCACTACCAACATTGAACATGAATTTTCTATATCCACTAGTAGAACCAAGTTCAGATAAACATCATGGGATCGACCGCATAAGAAGCAGATTGCATGCAAGTTCAGATAACATCATCCGAATGGCAGCATATACTGCAAGATGTTCTGGTAACAAATAATATATTACAATTCACACACAATGCTTGTACACGATCACTTAGAGTGAACCAAGTGTACTGTCAAGTTCAGTTCCTTGATCAGCTCTAGTGATATATATGAGATTTAATTAGTTACCAGTGAAGCTCCATCGGCTGTGCAATTATTCTTCCAACATCTCCGAATGATCCGAAGGTGTTGTGCCACTTGTTTCATTGTTGGTCTTTGATCTATTTCCAAACAAATACACTTGAGCAATAGCTTCCCTATCTCTTCGAGGAGAGCAACATCTTCGCTACGAGTTGTGATATCATCGTCGAAAAATGCCCTTCCACTGTTATCTGCCTTGTAAGCTGCAAGGAATTGCGAGACAAGGTGTTCGTGATCCGCATAAAACGCAAAGTTCTTCCTACTAATGAGCGTCAAGACAAGAACACCAAACTGATACACATCGGTTTTCAGTTTTAGTGACACACAGTACTTATCATGATCATGAATTGCGCTGTCATCATTGTTGAGCCTCTGCGCCCATGAGAATCCCGTCAGCTTTGGCGTGAAACTGTCATCAACAAGTGTCTTGGATGGTGCAACATAGCCATGTCTGATCATACCAGCTGCTGAGGAATGGAGGTACTCTAATGCTTCTGCTGTCTCAACTGCGATCTTCACGCGTAAATGCAGTGGGAAATCTTCACGGCCATCTAGAATGTCAGAGAGGGTTCCTCTAGCAGCATACTCGTACACAAATGCGGGACAATCAGCATTCAAGCAGTAACCCAAGAGTCTGATGATGTTCTTGTGGACAATTTGAGATAGGATCATCCCTCCGTTGATAAACGCCTCTTCGAAACCCTCAAGTGCCTCGGAAAATATCCTCACCGCTACCACCGTATTGTCCTCAAGCGTTCCTTTGTAAACCTTACCCGAAGTACCTCCACTGAGTAGACACGAGTAATTCTGTGTGATTTCATTTAGCTCCTCCTGTGTGAAAATTCTCATATTGCCGAGTCCCAATAGGATCTTAGAAGAATTGCTAAGATTTCTCTTGAAAATGCTCAAACTCTTCTTCAGTTGCATCCTAGAATTATAGCTCGGCCCCTGGTTGTCATTTTTTCGCCATGAGCGGTGTGATGCCAAAATGTGTTCTGAGTATCTTCCATGCATGTCTTTTAATTCTTTTTTAAGTGTACGAAGGCGTTTTGCCACAACATTCATTTGAGGACGTTTATGAATGTCCAGTGTTAGGCATTCAATTGCCAATTTCCTCATTTCTTTTAGAATCTTCATATTGCTCCGGTTTGCTATCTCAGCATCAAATATTTCTCCACCTCCAATGAGGTTAATGTCACCTTTTCTTACCCTTTTTCGAGCTATTAGTTCCAAGAGAACCATTCCGAAACTATAAACATCACTCCTCGGAGTAAGACAACCCTCATGAAAGTATATAGGATCCATGTAAGATACGCTTCCTTTTATATGTACAGTGTACTGAGTGACACCACCTGAAAGAAGCCTTGACACTCCAAAGTCTGACAATTTCGATGTCAGATTGCTATCTAGAAGTATGTTGGCAGGCTTAATATCACCATGACAAATAAGACTGCCATTCGATAAATGCATCGAATGCATGTAGCTCAATGCGTCCGCACATCCTATAGCAATACCCAGCCTTACATCCAAAGGGATGGAAATGTCACTGTTGTGGAGTATGTCATCAAGGTTTCCTTTGGAGATATACTTAGTAACAATCATTAGAGTACTTTCTCCAATGCAATAGCCTATGAGCTCCACCACATTTCTGTGACTCATTTGACTATGGATGCTTACTTCTTCCATAAACTCTTTCCTTAAATCTTTGCTAATATATCTCTTCACCGCAACAAGATCATAGTCATCATCAAGAGTCCCTTTATACACTTCTCCAAAGCCGCCTTGTCCGATCGGAATGCTGAAGTTGCTAGTAATCCGTTTAATCTCATCTTCTGTGAAAACCTTAATATTCTGATTGATGTCTACTTTGAACTTCAACTTATCATAGCATCGTGTGATATTTCCAATCATAATCTTATTTTCTGCAAGCTGTGTCGTATACCAACATTACAGATCCCTCAATGTTGACCACCCTGTCTCTGCCAAAATAATTAAAAAAAAAGATAACATGGTAAGCATAAGAATACCAATCTTAATTAAAATATGTTGAACACAGAAGCTGCAGGACCAAAAGGAGTAGATTGTCAGTTGTAGGATCAATTCTTCTAAACTTGTTTTAATAGAAACAATATAGCAAATTTCACAGGTATATAGAGCAAATTTGTGATATAAAAGCACACATGTTTGTATTCCTGTGCACAAAACATATGAGAAAACCTCATATTTTTAGCACTCTCCATTTCAAGCATGCAAGCACAGTACTTGGTAGCAATGGAGGGCTAATATTGTGTTGCAGAAGTGTGAGCTAATTGATGTAACCGATTCTATGTAAATGCAGCATCAGAGCTATACATATTAAAGTCGTTAAGCATACACGTCATGAAGAAAAAAGAGATAAGGTTGATGAAAACACCTGTACCAGTTGAAGCAAAGCCTTTTGCGCGTGTAACTATTTGCTTCCTTCTAATATTATATCAATGCATAAGTCTTTTGCGTGTTTGCAAAAAAATGACCTAATTAAGTCAAGAACGAAGCTGTTGCCCTCCTTGCTACTCTCAGCCGATGGCCTTGAACACCTCCAGATGGCGGATGCCTTGTTGCCGACGCCGGCGGTGAACATTAAAGGTTCATTACTTTTGCTTTTGTCGGATCTGACTCAGTGGCTCTCTATCTCAGCAATCTTTGGCCACCTAGAAAGACAGAAGCTCCATCACAACCATCTGTTTAACTTTGTGATATTGGCTAGCTGTTCTTTAGAATCAAATTTCCTTTTGTTCGAAAATAGCAGTATCCATGCTGGGTCTACCGTTCGGGTTGAGCAATTTTTGCTCCTCAGATTTAACAGTGGACTCCGTGGAACCACTTTGCTGAGTCCGGTGATGCATACACCAAAATCTACGGCTCAGTATCAAACCTCCGATTTGTGCCGTTACCGCGGTGGCAGGCGTAGGAGCCTTTCGGTCTGTCAAACGGTGTGCACACCAATGGAGGCCCAAGGATTCAGTCGTCGCGGCAGTGCCGCAAAGCTCCGTCGATCTGGTCCTCTTCTGCTGTTTAGTCGCATCTGGAAGTTTGTTTCCTTAGATTGGTTAGTCTCTATCTCGTTAAAGATGGTGTTTCTGCTACCTTTGTATCCATCTGTGGATGTACTAGGGTGTATCCCCTTAACTCTGTCTTTGTTAATAAAGTTGTTTAAGTTTCAAAAAAAAAGTTAAATAAATTAATTACCATGATATAGACTCACAAATTAATTCCCCGAAGGTAATCAAAGAAAACATCAGATTAATCTAGTATTAACAAACTCGCAGAAAGAAGCTCGATCAATTGCTGCTCGGATAATCCAATATAACAAATCTTGCTAAATTCGGACCCAGAAATTAAATCCCCTTAGTTAGTAGCCTAATGAAGAATTGGCCTTGATCCAGAACCAGTGCAAGCTGGAACCTTAATTGCTATTCAGCATAGCAGCGCACTACGGCGTTTGCGCTGACTTAATTTGCTCTCTCATGTCATGCGTGTGCTCATATGGAATGGAGATTGCTAAATCATCTTGGTTTGTGCTTACTAGGCAATTTCACGAGGTTAGGTTAATTAATTTTGTGCAGAAGAACAAGTACATCAGCTATGGTTAATTTTGAAGTCCATATAGCTAAAGCATACCACTCCTCCTCTAAATATATGATGCTACTTAGTTCGAAACAAAAGAACACGAAGGGAATTAAGGGAGTAGTAACATACCTTGGGCGATATATAGGATTATTCCACAGAGATTTCAGTATGGTGGATGCATGGTGATGGTCCTGATCAACGCCGGCGCCGGCGATGGCTGACACGATCGACGGACTTATATATATTAGAGGTACTTCTCCGGCCGGCCGGCCGGCAGCGAGCTAGCAGCTAGCAGCTTCTTCTGATCCCTCCTCTCTCTCTAATAGCTATAGCTTTTCCTTTCTTCTGCAGCTAGCTAGCAAAGCAAAGGAAACGACCTTGAGAGATTCAACGATACAATATTTATCTACCTATGGACTAGTTTTCTTCGATCGATATCTGTAGTGTAGCAAAGGAACCTTCAGATTTGAGGATACAATAATACTTCAGATATAAGGAGTATTTAATTATCTATAGTTGGTACTCAAATTGAAGAGCTGACCCTGACTTTGCGCGCATCGACCGTCTGGCGCGAGCGCGACTGGAATGGAATCATCCACGTGGGGCGTAACCAGTCTTCACTCTCTTTCAGAATGTAAACGAAAGCAGCTAGTGGTCGATACTCGTTTTCCGTAACTATACTTAAGCTGAACCCCTCCTCCGGCATGTAAAACGGAGCACGCATTATTGCATGATTAATTAAATATTAGCTATTTTTTTTAAAAAAAATGGATTAATTTGATTTTTTTAAGCAACTTTCGTATAGAAACTTTTTGCAAAAAAATCACCGTTAAGCAGTTTGAGAAACGTGCGCGCGAAAAACGAGGAGAAGGGTTGGGAACTTGAAGGAAAGAACACAACCTTAGAGCAAGTTTAATAGTATAACCCACTACTAGCTCCAAATCATCTATAGCCAATGTAATAGTCAATTCATATAATAGTTGCTTACTATATTATTAATACATGGTCCCACCTATCATACATACATTACGTCTTGGAGTCTGTGCTGCAGCTGGCTACAAATCTGTAACCCGCTGCTCTTCTCTCTCTTCCTTTATCTCTTTAAAATATGTTTATAGCTGGCCTATAGCCTGCTGTTGTACCTGCTCTTAGGGTGTGCTCTTGCCCGAAGTTTCCCAACTCATCTCCCTCGTTTTCCGTGCGCACGCTTTTCAAACTGCTAAACGGTGTGTTTTTTTAAAAAGTTTCTATACGAAAGTTGCTTAAAAAAATCATATTAATCTATTTTTGAAAAAAATAGCTAATACTTAATTAATCACGCGCTAATGGACCGTTCCGTTTTCCGTGTGCTAATGGCTGGTTGGGAACATCCTCCCGCGAACACAGCCTTAGGCCTGTTTGGATCCAGCGACTAAATTTTAGTCCCTATCACATCGGATGTTTGACACTAATTAGAAGTATTAAACGTTGACTAATGACAAAACCCATTCTATAGCCCTGGACTAATTCGTGAGACGAATATATTGAGCCTAATTAATCCATGATTAGCCTATGTGATGCTACAATAAACATGTGCTAATTATAGATTAATCATGCTTAAAAGATTTGTTTTGCGAATTAGCTCTCATTTATCCAATTAGTTTTATTATTAGTCTATGTTTAATAGTTCTAATTAATGTCCAAACATTCGATGTGACAGGGACTAAAATTTAGTCCCTGGATCTAAACACCACCTTAGGCTGCGTTCTTATCCCAAGTTTCCCAACTTATCTTTCTCGTTTTCCGCGCACATGCTTTTCAAACTGCTAAACGATGTTTTTTTGCAAAAAGTTTCTACACAAAAGTTGCTTAAAAATCATATTGATTCATTTTTCAAAAAATAATAGCTAATACTTAATTAATCACGTGCTAATAGGCCGTTCCGTTTACCGTGTGCACTGTTTCAGTTGGGAACATGCTCCAGCGAACACAACCTTATCTACCTGTTAAATGGTACTCCTACTATCTCCTTTTTTTATTAAAAGCACTTTTTTTATAGGAGTTTCTTTATAAAGCTAAAATAAATCTATTTTAAAATTTATAATACTCTCTCCATCTACTTTTAATAGTCATATTTCATCTTGACACATAGACTAAGGATAAGTAATTCTACTTATCAGTTATTTAAACATGCTACTAGTCATTCCTCGTAAACAAGCGATTCATTAATATTTGCATTTCTCGATACCTATGTAGCCAATCTTGTATGGAAGAATGGAGAGTCACACATTAAATGCGAGAAGGTCATTAAGATGATAGGTTATTAGATTGAAATATGCCTATCAAAAATAATTTTTTCAGATTTGGAAATATGCCTATCAAAAGTAGGTGGAGGGAGTATTAGTTACTCCATCCATTCCAAATTGATCTACATATAGTTTTTTTGAGGTTGTTCCTAAATGATCTCCATATTTGTGTTCATTTATTATATCTATTCGTTATTTGTATATTGGAGTAAATGGACATTGATGCATGTATCCATGTACACATGTATTTATAACCCACATGCAATATCTTGATTTGCTATTGGCTAGGAAATAGTGGGGATGGTGCATGCATTGAGTTTGTTGCTAGAGTAAATATAATATGAGAGAGTTATTAGCTTTTCTTGGTCTTTGTGTATCTATGAAATATGTAGATCAATTTGGAATGGAGAGAGTAATACTTAATTAATACTCTCTCCTTCCAAAAATTTGAGACCTATTTCATTCCTTGTTTCTCCAAAAATCTGAGTCTTATTGATAGTCACCATGTGCTAAATTAAATTGTTGATCGAAAAACAAGAAATCATTCTAATACTTATTGGTTGCATGCTTATTGGTTTTGTCACATAGTGAGTGAGTTTATTGCTTCTTGATTTTGATAAAAAATAAATAGGTCTCAGATTTTTGGAAGGATGGAGTAATATGCTACTCCCTCAATCTCAAAATAAGTGTAGTTTTAACACTGTTCATGCTCAACGTTTGTCCGTTCGTCTTATTTGAAAAATAATTATGATTAGTAATTTTATTGTTATTAGATGATAATAGATGAATAGTATTTTATGTGTGACTAATATTTTTAATTTTTTTCATAAAATTTTTAAATATGATAGACGATCAAAACGCTGGACTCGAATATCTATAGCTGCACTTATTTTGGGACGGAGGTAGTAATATATATACGTTCTTTTGCGTGCTTCGAGAAACACTGGGCAATAATAAGCTGTACCGAATGAAGCCTTGTCTTACCGTGGACTCAGTCAACTCTGGATGAGGAAGTTTCTTAGATGGCGAGAGAAAAGAGCCGCCGCTGTGGAGTGTAGGACGGATTGGTAGGAGTAATAAATTTAATGAATTGAATGCGCTGCTAACGACAAATCATTGTGCATACACACTACAGGCACTGTTCAACTGTTCACCTGCACCACACTGTAGACGGAGACACGGTCAAGACCGCGTCTCGATATTAGAACATGAGTTCTCGTTCAGGGGGTGATTACATACAGCCGGGTAAAGTTTCAGCGTTTTACATAGCATATTATATAAGGTATTGTATGGGGTCTTCGAACACTAATAAAACAACTAATTACAGATTCCGTTAGTAAACAACGAAACAAATTTATTAAGTCTAATTAATCCGTCATTACCAAATATTTAATATAGCGCCATATTGTCAAATCATTGAGCAATTAGGTTTAAAAGATTCGTCTCACAAATTAGTCACAATCTGTGCAATTAGTTATTTTTTAGCCTATATTTAATACTTCATGTACGCCATCAACTCATCATCAGACGCCAGTCGCTGACGATGCTACCTCCGTGGCAATGGCGCCTCCGCCTCCGCCGCCCGCGGCTTGCTGACTCCCCAACCCACCCCCTCTCCCCCTCCCCCCGCGCCTAGCTCTCCTACCGACGCCGACGCCCTCCCCTTCTCTTGTGTCGCGGGCCGGCACCGCCGACAGCCGAACCTCTCGTGACCTATGGGCCGTGGCTCCGTGCACACCCGCCGCTCCGCTGTCGTGCTTGCCCATCGATGCTCTGCCCACCGCCGCTCCGCTGGTGAAGAGAAAAGTGAAGAGGATAAGAAGAAAAGGGAAGAGGAGGAGGAGAAAAGAGAAGAAAATATATGTGAATCTTACATGTGGGCTCCACGTACTTTTTTTATTTTTTTTCTGACTAGGATGCCACGTCAGCAAAACCACCCACGTATGCTGTTATAGGACCTTGAGTGTACGGTTTGTGTAAGTTTAGGGGTATATATTTCTGGTTTTGTGGTTAAGGCACTAAAATAATCTCGCTCTTAAGTTGAGGGATCTCCGGTGAACTTATTCCTAGTACCGACGACAAAGGAAAAGCGAGAAAGGTTGGGCCAAGCTTGTTAGTTAGGAAGGCATTTGTTACGATGGGTTGTGGTCCGGCCCGCAACAATATTGTGGCCCGTTGTGAGAAATTCATGCCGCTTTGCTGCCAGTTATTGGCGGAGCCATAAATTTTTTTGGGACCGCCTATGCATCGCTCGGGTGATTTTTGAGAAAAAATCACCCAGATTTTTTCTTCCCTTGGATTTGCATCCAACGGATTACAAAATAAAATAACTAATAAAAATTTACTTACACAACATTTTTATCAAAATTACAGTGCACTTATATGTCATATCAACTAAATTTTCATATGTAATTTTAGTTATATAGGACTGTAATTTTATATTTGAAATAAAATAACTAATGCAAATTTACTTACACAATATTTTTAATAATATTTTTATCAAAATTACAGTGCACTTACATGTCATATCAACTAAATTTACATATGTAATTTTAGTTATATAAGACTGTAATTTTATATTTTAAAGAAAATAATAAGTACATATTTACTTACACATTATTTTTATCAAAATTAAAGTGCACTTACATGTCAAATCAACTAAATTTACAAATGTAATTTTAGTTATATAGGATTGTAATTTTATATTTTAAAGAAAATAATAAGTACATATTTACTTACACATTATTTTTATCAAAATTACAGTGCACTTACATGTCAAATCAACTGAATTTACAAATGTAGATTTAGTTAAATAGGATTGTAATTAATATCAACTGAATTTACATATGTAATTTTAGTTAAATAGGACTGTAATTTTATATTTTATTTTAGTTATATAGGATATTTACACGTAGCTAGGATGTAAATTTCTTGTGAATCGTGATCAGCGGCAAACGTGTAACCCACGAGGTCTCCTCTCCACCTCACGACAACATCGACGCAGAATCGTGTACTGATCTCGACGCATAATTGTAGGGGCAAAAATCTGTCAAATATCAACGAAAAAATCACCCGTGTGATGTTTAGCAAAATCGATTTTCTTGAGGCTGGGCAAGCCTAGCAAGAGATAAAAACTATGGGCCTGTTCACTTTGTTGTCATTTTCAACCTTACCAAATTTTGGTAAA